TTATTCCAGGTGCCTTTTCCTTCTTGACTCTAAAACAACATTTTCAAAAGTTGTCTTCAGCCAGAGGTGACTACCCTGTGTCTCTAATCCTGGACTACAACTCCCATCAGCCCCCGGCCAGCATGACCAGCGGTCAGGAATGAGAGGAACTCTAGTGCAACATCTGGAGGGTCTCTGGTTTAAGCTTCTTAAATTTCCAGATGCCTGATTTGTATTTATAGCCAGTCATGGTGGTACGGCACAGATGCATATTAATTATACCCAAGAGGCAAATGGCCTTTGGACACTATCCCTTAGTCTGCGATCTAGGATCAGTTCCTATATGCACTCTGGAGACCAGAGGCCTCCCTTAATTACATCCACATGTTCTGGGAGTCTCTACCTACCAGCAGCACTGGCTGTCACTGCCCTTGAGACATTGACACCCCCCTCCCACGGCTTATTATAATATCTACCCACCTCCTCCAGCTGTCATTTGGATGCCCAGAACCTGCAGGCTTCTCCTGCCAATGCACAGGAAAAACCAGCAGGAACTAAGGAACCCATGGACTTGTAGTTTGTGGGAAAGGACAGAGCTAGGGAACCTGAGATCTGGGGGCCAAATGTGATCCTTCGGGCCTCTCTGCCCGGTCCTTATTTTATTTATTTAGAGCTCTTTAACCAATATGGTGGTACCTCAGTTTTCGAATGTAATCCATTCAGGAAGACCATTCGAGTTCCGAAATGTACAAAAACTGAAAACTCAGTACAGAAGCCTCAAAACGGAAGGAAAACTTAATACGGAAGCCACGTTTCCGGTTCGACTTCCGAGGTGCATTTGAAAACCGAAGCATTTATTTCCAGGTTGACGGCGTTCGAAAACCGAAATGTTCGTCAACGGAGATCTTTGAAAACCGAGGTACCACTGGAAAGTTTTCCAAAGTGCCTTACATGAAATCAAAACAAGACGCTCCCTACCCACAAGTTTGCATTCTAATTAACTAACTATGGTAACTAACTAGCAAGCAAGCAAGGGACAAGGGACAAGGAGGAAGAGGAAAAATAAAACTCAAAATGCAGGCACTGATTTCTATACAGTTGTTCCATATAAACCAGCTGGCATAGTTCAGAGGCAGGAGGTTCCTGATGGGCTGCAGCAAAGCGGATGCAATGAACCCTGCTTCCTATCTCTCACACTGAGGCAGCCTGATGAAAATGGCTGCCCCAGGTGACAGTTGAGGGGAGAGGAGGCCTGCTGGAGCCTAGCCGGGCTCTGCTCTCCAGCTTCTCAGTGCTTACACTTCAGTACCAAGGATGCTGCTGCTCTGTTCAGTTAGGATTAAGCAGGGTCAGCCACAAAGAGGCAAACACAAAATCCAAACCCATGACTCCAGGCCGCCCCTCTCTTCTGCTACATCCACTTCCCCCAGACCAAACCCCATCACCAGCCTTGCTTCACTTCCCCTGGAGTGTTTTTGCCTGGCTGGAACGTGTCCTTGACTCAGATGATGACTGTTTCTTGCCTGGATAAAACATTTGGGGAAACTAGCCTACTGTATAAAGTTAAAATTTGCTATCATGGCTCCCTGGACTTTTGCCTCCCCTGCCATGTGGCCTTCCCAAAAGTGGATGTGCCCCTCAGGCTGTAAAAATGTTCCTGATTCCTAATGTAGGGAGTTTCTCTTCTCACTATCTCCCAAGTGACAAATCTTGGCATTTACGGCATCTATTGTTTAGGCCACTTTTCTGGGCGAATGCCCATCCTTGATGTGGGATCTGCTCATTGTTCAAAATGTGTATCTGAGTCCACCTACCATTAGGTATGGTGAGGTGGTGGCCTCAGGTAGCTGCTCTTGGGTGTCAAGACAGGTAAACTATTGTTGTTGTACAGGCAACTCCCCATTTGTGTGAGGGTTGCATCGTCCGGGTCATTTGTGTGCATCAGCAGTCACACGTAAGCTCATTCCACCCCACCTGGTTCTGCCCCCTTCTGGGGCCAAAAGCAACATGTGCATCAGCAGTTGCACGTTAATTGGACATGTGCAAAATGGTTGCCGCCTGTATTTTTATCCCATGGAAGGTGTTTTGAGGGGTTTAGGAACATGAGAAGAGCCCGACGGATCAGCACCTGGTTCTCACAGTGGCCAACCAGATGCCTATGGAAAGCCTAAAAGCAGGATCTGAGCACAGCAGCCCACATTCCGGGGAAGACCATCTCTGATAGTGAAAGAATAATGTAGTTGTCATGGCTAGTAGCATCCTCCTCCATGAATTTATCTAATTCTCTTTGATGGCTATCCAAGTTGGTGGCCATCACTGCTTCCTGTGGAAGCGAGTTCCATAGTTTAGCAATGCACATTGCTTTCCTCTTGTCTCTGCTGGATCCTCCCAATTTTCAGCTTTAAGTTTTTCCTCCCTCAACCTGGCTAGCCTTGTACCCTTATGAGAGTGGAGAGATGCAAACGGAACAGGGATATTGCATCTTTTAACCATTGCGATTTCAGCAGGTCACGCTTGTAAATGAACAACACCTACTAAAATTCCCCATTGCAAGTACAGTCATACCTCGGGTTACAGACGCTTCAGGTTGTGAGTTTTCGGGTTGCGTGCTGCACCAAACCCAGAAGTACCGGATGGGTTACTTCCAGGTTTCGGCGCTCACGCATGTGCAGAAACACTAAATTGTGCTTTGCACATGCGCAGAAGTGCCAAATTGTGACCCGCACGTGCGCAGACGTGGCGCTGCAGGTTGCAAATGCTGCGGGTTGTGAACGTGCCTCCTGCACGGATCACATTTGCAACCTCAGCGTCCACTGTAAATGTTAGAAGGTGCCTGGTCTGCCCTAGCTGCTGTGTATCTCAGCTTCGGGGGTGGCATCATTTGCTGATCTGCCCTACATGGCCCGCACTGTCTGTCCCAATGCTGCTTCTGAAGAAAGGGCAATACGTTTGTATCAACATCCTCAAGCAGGATCTTCAAGATAGTTGGGGGGGGGCGGGACTTGTGGCCCTCCAGTTGTTATTGGACTCCAACACTCATCAGACCCAGTCACCATGGCCAATGGTCAGGGCTAATGGTCTGAGAGTCGATAAGGGTTCCCCATCCTTAATTCCTTGCTATAGTGGGCTTTCAAGTGAAGCTGCATTGACCCCATGCATTTAAAGCAGTGTGGAACCACTTAGAATCATAGAATTGTAAAGGTGGATGGGTCCTCCAAGGGTCTTCTAGTCTAGCCCCCTGCAGTGCGGGAATCTCAGCAAAAACATCTAAAGCATGTTAAACAGTCATGGCTTCCCCCTAAGAATTTTGGGAGCTGTACTTTGTTAAGGGCACCGAATGTTGCTAAGAGCCCCTTATTCTCTTCCCAGAGCCACAGTTCCCTGAGTGGTTTAACAATGAATTCCTCTTCTCAGGGAATCGTAGGTCTGTGAGGGGAATAGGGTGCTGGAGTTGTAGCTCCATGCGGTATAAACTACAATTCCCAGTATAAAAAAAATGGGGGGGGGGAAGCTTTCAATGTATGGTGTGTACATCTTAATTTGACTCACTTGGGTACCTGGTGAAAAGATTTGCATGAGCTTGTGCAAGGTGGAACAGCTATTGCTGCAGATTCCCACATAATGGCCAGTTGGACCTGCTTGTTCTGTTGGAAACTCATGATGGCCATCTGTTATGGATGCTTTAGCTGAGATTCCTGCATTACAGGGGGGTTGGACTAGATCACCCTTGGGACCCCCTTTCAACCCTACAATTCTATGATTATGTGAGTCTCAAATTCATTGTGACCTAAGTCCCACTGACTGGATACAACCCAATATATTTATTGCTATATACCACTTGATTGTACACAGAAGCTCTACGCGGTCAACAAGAAAGTTAAAATAGTCAATAAAGAAAAAGTTTAAAACATGTATTTAAAAATATGATTAAAATCAACAGTTAAAATGAAGAGCAGATTTAAAAGCACCTCTATATATATATACCTGTCTACTTGGAAATAAGCCCCTATGAGATTTACTTCCATGCAAATGTGCACAGGATTACAGCCTATTTAATGGGTTCCCAAACACATTTACTGTTCAGGTATGTAGGACAGGGAATTCAGATGAGCCAAAGTTCCTCTTTCCTGCCCACTTTTTCTTTTCAGTCCGAAAAATAATTCTGTTGTCCTAAAATATCTTAGCAATGTCTTGCCTGGATTTTTGTGCGCCTGTTTATTTGTTTACCAAGTAAATTATGACTTGTAAGTAATTTCCCCATAATCTCCTCCGCCACCCCCCCTTCCCTCACACACGTTTCACTACCATTATTGCTGGCTCAAATCTGCTTTCTCCATCGTAGCCTCAGCTTTCCCGCAATTAATTTTTTTTTTTAACTTGGTCACAAGATAATTCCTGACGCCAGAAAGTCTGGAGGTCATATGAGTAGCAAATTGAGGAACAAGGCGGCACTAAGTCCTTACAAGATTCCCTCCCCCAAACCCTGAAGAGGAGGAGGAGGAGGAGGAGGAGGAGGGGAAAAATCTAAAACCTTGGGAAATTTCTCTGCCGTGATGGGATTTATGGCTCCTGAACGTTTTAAGGGCTGGGTGAAGGCAGAAAAGCAGTAATAGAAAAATGTGCCCTTTTCTTCTCGGCACAACAGCTCTCCCTCCCTCCCCCTTTATAAGACTAATAATCATACCCAAATATAAGAATTAAATCGGACAAGGCGAATGGCACACATTTCGAATTTAACTCTGTTTAATTGAATGGAATAGAGAGAGCGAAAGGGGGAGGGAAGGAAGGAAGCGCTTTTGATAGCTGGCCCCTCCTTCTTTGTAATCAGAGCTTCCTCATTCCTTTGATGTCCTCTGCTATTCGGTGTCAGCCGAAGCCAATAGAAACCTGTTTTGCAGTTTAACCATCTTGTAAACGTTCCATTCCAACATTTTCGCTGTCATCAGAGCGAAGGGGAGTGGGAGGGGGAACGCGGTGGCTCATTTGCATCAGCGGGCGGGCTTGAGCGCTCAAGCTCAGCTATAAAAGCAGAGCGGGGTGACAGCCCTTGCTTTTTTGCAAAGAAGCATCTTCTGTGTGCGCACAATAGAGAATTAACCAGGCCGGCAAGCAAGCGGCAGTATCGATCGCTCGCTTCTCCGCCTTAAGGAAGGAAACCTTGCTCTTCTGCAAATCCCTCTCTCCTCCTTTGCTGCCATGAAAGCCATCAGCCCCGTCAGATCGGTCAGGAGCTGCTACGAAGCCGTGTGCTGCCTCTCGGATCAGAGCCTCGCCATCACCCGGGGAACGAACAACAAGAGCCCGGCTCTGGAGGAGCCCATGAACCTCCTTTACGACATGAACGACTGCTATTCCAAGCTGCGGGAGCTGGTGCCGGGGATCCCGCAAGGCACCAAAGTCAGCCAAGTGGAAATCTTGCAGCACGTCATCGACTACATCTTTGACCTGCAGATCGTGCTGGAGGAGCAGGCGAAGAAGGGGCAAGATCCGTCCGCAGCCGAGACTTCCCTACTCTCTTTAAAAGTAAGGAGATTTCCCTTAGAAGGAAGAGGTGGCGAAAACCCAGGGAGCCTTCGTGGGCGCACACAAGGTTGAGGGGCGGGGGGGGGGAGCCAGGGAAAATGCTGTTGCTATAGACGCGCCATCTAGGCTAATTTGGGTTATGAGTTAAAGTAATGATCTAACGGGCGCCAGCGGGAGCCGCGTCCTGCCTGCGCTCCGCAGAGCGCTGTAAGGCAAATTGCAGTGGGTCGCGAGATAATCCGTCCTTTGCGCTATCCAGCCTTGAGCAAACTGTGGGCGCCTCTAAGGCTGTGGAGTCCTATCGCAAACTGGCTGCGGGAGTACTTTGCTTGCTCGGGAATAGGCGCACAGTTTGCGCTCTTCTCTGCCATATGCGTTGGGAGGGAGGGATTTATGGGCACTTTTGGTTCCACTGACAGCTGCACCTTCAGCAGGGTCTAAACTGCGGTCCTAAACGTTTTACCTCCAAAAGAAGATCCGCTGTATTTATTTGTTGGGGGGGTGTTTTTTAATCTTAATAATCTTTTTAATCTTAATAAAGTGCTTGGGATCCCAGGTTCAGTGGGACTACTTGAGCAGGATCTAAGATAACAATCTTGGGTTCTGATCCTAAGGACCCCATGCTAAACACATTTGATGTAAATTGAATTGGCACTGCTGTCCATTCAGGCTGCAATCCGTGGCATTTTCCTGGGAGTAAACCCTGTTGAATGTAGTGGGACTTCTGGCTAGGCTTGCATTGTCAGTCAATAGGTGTTGCTCAGCAGAAATCCCACTGAAAAGTCAATAGGATCATGGTCCTGTGTGCAGCAAACCCATTCTCACTGTTCCCAATCTTTATTTTTTTGTATCATGTGGCATATATTAAACTGTGAACTCAGTATCTCCTTAACGCTTCTCTCCCCTTCTCCCATAGGCTGCAGAGCTGGCATCAGAACTTTGCTCAAAAGAGGAGAGGAATCTCTGCCACTAACCTCTTAAAACAGGTAACAGTCAAGAAATACCCAAATTATTTTTTGCCCCATCCCCGATCTCAACCAGCAAGACACCTCAAGCAGGTTTTTTATTAAAAAACAACCACCAAAATATTTTTTAAAAACCCTACAGTCAGTCTAGAAATCTAGATTTGCACCCCAATGTTTACTCCAGAGTAGTCCTACTTGACTGCCCTCCCTGGAACAGATTGTGGTCTTTAGAGCCCCTTGTCACTGCTTGGCAATAAGGCAGCAGCCTCAGATGCCTCCATGCTTTTGCCTGTAAATGGAGTCATTATTTTTACAATGTCATTCTTTTTATAGCTTTAAGTCTCTGCAGCTGCTTAAACAGCCCTGTTGAAATCAGTGAATCAAGAGGCACTCTTCTTCTTTCTCTCTCCCTCTCTTCTCTTCTCCCCCCTCTTCTTTCTTTTCTTTTCTTTTTTTAAAGTCGAGAAGACACCACTAAACGAGCTTGTCCCCTCCCTCAGAATCTGTAATTTTAGATACATCTGCAGAAAGTTAGAAAACAGAAGGGTCCATTTCATTCCACCCTCTGCTGCCCCGCCTGCTTTAGATTTTTGGTGCCAATTAGCAAACCTCCAGCTTAGAGTGTTGGCTCCTGATTCCTTATCAGCTGGAGGTAAATAGAAGCTTCCTCCCTGGCGCCAGGATGTCTGCAGACCTGCCTCTGATCTGTTGCTGAAACTGACATGTCTTTCTCTCCCGCCTCCTCCCCCTCCCCCCTCCCTCCCCCTTTTTTCAGACTGCAGGTGTGGGATCCTGACACTTGGTTCTCTCCAGTGAGACAGAAGATAGGAGAAGAGGAGAGAGAAAAAAGATCTTGAGTGGGGAAAGGATCTGACGTTTTAACCCCGTGCATCCAGTAATGGAGAGACCTCCATCATTATCTTCCAGATAAACTGTGGAACATGGGTCTTGCCCGGCAGTTTCAGATGCCTTGACTGGTCTTCCAGAAACAACTTTCTGCCCTCAATCTGTTGTTCTCTTCCAACTGCCTGAAAACAAAATTTGCAGGCCAGAGGAGGGGGGCGGGCGGGTTGAAAGCAAGCCCACCTTTTAATCCACTCTCAGATTTAACTATCGGATTGCTGTATTGCACAAGAAGAAACTTTGTGGGGTTTGAGTGTGTGTGTCGGGACGGTTTTTTTTTAAAAAAAAGCTCTGAGCCATCAGATTTTTCGCGTTGATCCTGGTCGGGAGATTTCTTAGTGAAATCGCACACTTCCAACATTGCAACAACTTGTGACAAATGTGGACCGATCTATCGTTTGCTCAGAAAAAAGGGCAACAACAAAAAAAAAAACTTTGCAGATATGCAGCTTGTATGTATATTTTGGATTATAGTTTTTTAACATCATTTTTGGGGGGGTGGAAGGGGACTTTCAAGAACATGAAAACTGAGGTGTCTTGGGGCTGTTTCGCCTCATGGTTTTTATTGTTGAACTCTATAATAGAGAGAACACATGTACCTTTTTTTCGCAGGAAGGTTAATTTCTGCATCCATGAATTGTACTTCCTTTGGTTAAAAAAAAAAACTTTTTATAAAAGTTTCTTACATAATAAATTTTAAGCTGGTTTTTTTAAAAAAACATATCTGAAAACTTTTTGGGAGGGGGAAAAAACTTCTTAGAGAAGACCACCACATCGCCTTTCACACCCCTTATAAACACTTGAGGTATTCTGAGCCAGCCCTGGCCCAACCTGGTGGCCTCCAGATTTTTTGGACTACAATTCCCATCAGCTCTGGCCAGTATGGTTGTGTTGGCTGGGGCTGATGGGATCTGTAGTCCCCAAAATGGGACTCCCACCAGGTTGGTGATGGCTGATCTGAAGAGCCTACAGATTATAATCCCCTTAAAACTTGGAAACTCTTGTCTTGCAGCAACTGCAGTTTCCTAAAATAGGTGCAATGGCTGCTGCCTCGTTTTGACAACGCCAGTAGCCTTTAACCACCACCAACAAAAAAAGAAGGCAAATGTTGATGAGTGTTGAAGCCTTGGAGGAAAACATCCAGTTATCTCCTAGGTGGCACCAGCTATAAACAATATTGCAAATGTTATTGGTGGTGTTAAAACAACTTGTGTGCACTGTAGGCAGCAACTGAAGGTGTTCTCCACTGAAACTGTTTAGGGAGCTGCTGAGGCAGCTGGCGCTCAACAGAGATGCCATTCTAATGGAGTTGTGTGGAAATGGGACGAACACAGGGCTGTACCAGCTGCACAAACCACCCACATAGTTGCTTACGGCACCAATATTTTTGGGGTGCAGTTGGGAAGCACAATTAACACAGCTCTCCAAGGGATCCTGGGATGGGTATTATAGAGTCATGGCTTGTGGAAGCAACATATAAACAACTCTACAATTAATTCATATTTAATCCAGAACTCTTGATGGGTGAGTTAAACAGTGAGAAGTGTTAACAAGCAAGCATGAAAAGAAGGCACTCTTTGAGCTGGTGTTGGGTGATGAAAAAAGAAGCTGTTAAGTCCCTGGTTTGAATCTCTGAACTCACTAGGTAATCTTAAGACAACAATTGGGTCTCTGCCTCAGTCCTTGCATCTGCAGCATGGACATAATACTAAGTGGTTGCATTTGACCACTTGCACATGCACTCCAGACGTCAACATTGTATTTCTTTGCTTCTGTCCTCTGCCTATGCACGGGTAAAACTTGATAATACAGCCTCTGTAAAGGAAAGTAATTTCTCTTGGGGGTGTAAGGGTGAATTTCACTGTGTCCCCTCCCACAAAAAAACCCTAGTTTGAACTAGTAAATCATTCTCCCATGCTCAAATGGCCAAGCTGAGCAAGATCCCAAGGTAGCTGCCAGTTGCAGGCTGGGAATTTACGCCTAGTTGAAAGTTGGCAAAGCAGCCGGCAGTTACTGATCTATTGCAGCTCTTCAACTGCGCATCTGCCAGTCTTAGCCTGATTGTCTTGCTGGCGCAGGCCAATGCAAAGCATACCTCTCTGCCTTTGCAACACTTTAGGTCATTGCAAGTCAAAGCGCTTTTTCACTGATCTATGTGGTACACGATTGCTTAAGGTGGGGTGGTTGTTGTTGTTTTTTTAATTTAAAAAATACAGTGTCATCCAACCAGTACTTGTACTTGATATGCTTGTGATTCTCTGGAATCACAGTATATTCTGAAGCCACGAAGGTCAGTTGTGCAAATAGATCTTTGTTCCAACCTCTGCTTAGCTAACATTCAGTGATTAGTGCTGAGCAAGTCACTCCAGTTTCAGTACGGATTGTATATATCAGGGACGTTCAACCTGTTGATCGCAATCTACCGGTTGATCTCTGGGCGATCCTGTTCGATCACGTGCTCCTGATTGATCCCCTCCGCCCAAAAAGCTCAACAACTTTGGTCAATCCAATGGGTAGATCACTGCCAGTTTTTTTTATAGTGAGAGTAGATGGCAGTCTCTTGGGAGTTGGACATGCCTGGTATATATCAAGTGGGTAGACTGGGATCTACTGGTAGACTTCTCTGATTTACAGGGAATCTGCTTAAATTTATGACTCTTGACAGGTTGAACAATAGGGCCTTGTTTTGTTTTGTTTTGTTTTGTTTTAAATTAAATTTCTGGGATGGCTGACGTTCTGCTAATCACTTAGCCTTCGTGATGCTCACCTGTAAAATGGGAGATATTGCAGCGCATTAGGATTACTCAGAAGTCCTATTGAATTTACTTCCAGGTAAGTGCATTGACTAAATAACATTAAGTGCAGTGAGGTAAGTGTTGCAGCCTTAACTAGTGGCCTTTCAGTTAGGCCTTGCACAGTTTTAAAGAGTTTTGAGGTGGAATACCTGATCCGCAGTAACTTAAGATGTAGATACACACTTAATGTGTGCAGCTTATGGGATGTGGAAGGAAAGTAGCTCTGCCCTATTTGCATTTGGTTCCACCTTCATAGCCACTGTTTTCACACCTGGATGTAGTTGGTGGACCTTGGTGTCGCTAGTGCAAACAGCAAAGCAGATTCTGTAGGCTGGTAAAGGAGACTCTCTGGGCCAATACAAAGGTGGTCACCAGCTAGACAACAAGTTAGTGCTTATTGACATGATATGGCCCCTGGGTTTAAAGCAGACTGCCCAGGTGGCCTTTTCAGTAGAGAGGGATACATGGTTAATGATGTGTTGGAATGCTGTTTCTCTGCGGCATAAAAGCTGCAGGACTTCGGAGAGTGAATAATAATAATAAATAGGACCCCGTTCACATCTGTCTAGAGCAGGAGTCAGCAAACTTTTTCAGCAGGGGACCGGTCTACTGTCCCTCAGACCTTGTGGGGGGCCGGACTATATTTTGAAAAAAAAAATGAACAAATTCCTATGCCCCACAAATAAACCAGAGATGCATTTTACATAAAAGAGCACATTCTACTCATGTAAAAACATGCTGATTCCTGGACCGTCTGTGGGCTGGATTTAGAAGGTGTTTGGGCTGGATCTGGCCCCTGGGCCTTAGTTTGCCTACCCCTGATCTAGAGCCTCTCCCACCCACTTCTATTCTTTACCAACTGAAGAACATAAGAAGAGTCTGCTGAATCAGGCCAGTGGCCCATCTAGTTCTGCATCCTGTTCTCACAGTGATCAACTGGATCCCTATGGGAAGCCCATAAGTGGAACCCAAGCACAACAGCTCTCTCCGCGCATGGGATTGCCAACAGCTGGTATTCCAAGGCAGACTGCCTTCCAACAGTAGAGGAAAAACAGAGCCATCAGCATTAGTAGCCATTGATAGTCTTTGTCTGAAGCCAGCGACATGCCTGCTATGTTATTTATACTCCAATGCAATTGGATTTAGATGGCATTCATGATAATTTTGCAACAGCCCTCATGCCACTCAGCTGGGGGCAAGAGCAATGGGTAGAAACAGACATAGCTCATCCCCCTTTATCTTATGTGTTCAGTGAGGGTTGATGAGATTTTGGCCGGTTCCTTCTATCTTTTGGTATAAGGTTTGCAGTTCAATCCTACACATGCCCATAATCGGAAATAAGTCACACTGCATTCTTGGATAATTAATCCCAGATAAAACAGGATTGCAGCACCCTTTCTCTCCCTCTTTTTGATGTGCCCTCATCTCTTCTGACACCCCTGAACATATGCAGAGTGTCCCCCGCCTCCCTCTTTCCATTGCTTTATCCATTTCACCTTATTTCTCCTCTCCCTTTCTGGGCTCCCCATCCCACATAAAATTAGTTCGAGGTCTCCAGTTGCCCCACCCAAAGTGTTGCTTTATTTTGTGTAAGCTATTTGTCTGCCATCCTTCATAAAATCTTATCCCAGGGTAGTACATTTTTTTTAAAAATCAAAATAAAATATACAATAAATTTCAGGAAATGGTAAAATGCTTTTTCTGAAAAACTAGTTATGTGCAGAGACACAACCTCCCTGCTTCTTTTATTTTTTGGGAGGGGGATTAGACAGCAATGTTGGGAGGGGAAAAAATTGGAACAGAAATACAACACGGAGACTAGTTGCTTAATCCTTTACCCTCCACTCCAAACCCTCCCGCTAGCTGCTTTTCCCTTACAGCAGTGGTGTCCAAACTTTTTTCCAAAGAGGGCCAAATTTGATGAAGCTTTTCTTATGATTTTACCCCACAGTTGTTGAACTTACATAAAATTAGTTCAAGGTCTCCAGTTGCCCTTCTTTCTGGGAAGAAAAGTAACCCACAAGTGGGTAATTTTGAACAGAGAAGTTGTGAGTGGAGAAGTTAAGCTCCTTCTTGCTGTTGCTTCTCTACTGCAAACTTCCTCCCCAGGCTGCTTTTCTTCAACATTTTGTAGATAATGAGCACAACTGATACGGCTGCATCTCTGCTTTGCACCCCGTTTTGCATGAACAGTTACCTGCAGCTCCACTCCTTGTTGGCAAAGGCCTCTTGAGAAAACCACCTTCACTGCGTTTCAGGAGCGCGTTGTTTTTCAAACCTGGAGCTATTAAAAAAATGATCAGCCAATGGAGGGACAAACCGTAATCCTGATACCTCTTTTCTACCTGGCTTTCAGGATTCTTTTTCGCTCTCTCGCTGTCATAATTTCCCAATCCATGACAAGTGGGGAAGTTCTTCCCAGCTGTTTATTCTATAGTTAAGCACATGGAATTCGCCCACGCAAGAAACAGGCACCAAGCTGGACGGCTTCAAAAGAGGATTAGGCAAATTCATGGGAGAGAAGTCTATCATGGAATCAGTGTGTGCCTCTGAATACAGTTCTCTTGGAAAAGCTGCTGTTGTGCTGAGGTTCTGCTTCTGGGCTTCCCATGTGCATCTGGTTGGCCACTGTGATAACAGGATGTTGGCTTGTGACAGGCATTTGGTGAAGGGTCCTTCTTCTGTTCTGACAATCCAGCACCAAACAGGATAGGAATATCACCTGCTTCCTTTCCCAACTCTTCCTAATGACGAAGAAAGTTTAGGCAAACAGTGTACAAAATGGTACTGAAATCCAAGCAGCAACTTCTGCTTTGACACTCGTCACTTTGTTCTGTGGTCACATTCACACCAGGGATTTAAAGCACTTGGCTTCTTCCACTGAACTGTAATCTTACCCCTCACAGAATTGCAGATCCGGAAGGGACCATGAGGGTCATCTAGTCCAACCCCCTGCAGTGCAGGAATTTTTCACCCAACATGAGACTCGAACCCACAAACCTGCGATTAAGGGTCTCATGCTCTACGAACTGAGCTATCCCTCCCTTAACACACTACAGAGCCAGTGTGGTGAAGTGGTTAAGAGCGGTAGACTCGTAATCTGGTGAACCGGGTTCGCGTCTCCGCTCCTCCACATGCAGCTGCTGGGTGACCTTGGGCTAGTCACACTTCTCTGAAGTCTCTCAGCCTCACTCACCTCACAGAGTGTTTGTTGTGGGGGAGGAAGGGAAAGGAGAATGTTAGCCTCTTTGAGACTCCTTCGGGTAGTGATAAAGAAGGATATCAAATCCAAACTCTTCTACAGTTCCCAGGATTCTTGGGCAGAGGCCATTTTGTGCTTTAAATGGACATTCAAGATATAGTATGCATGTGGTCTATAAATGGGCAGGACAGAGAGCATGCAGAGAACTAGCAGAGGAACCACAACAGAGCTCACCTCAGTATGAGCAAATGCACCTATTTCCCCCCATCCATATTTATCTATTTTAAAGTATTATTACCTTAAACATTATCCCGCCTTTCCCCGCTTAGCTGTCCAAGACAGCTAACGACAATAAAGCACACACAGTTACAATAAAAATGAAACCTATTAAAAACCAGCAGAAGGAAACAGTAGCCAACATACAAATCACACGTGACAAACAATAGATTCGTGCAACGTATCACAAACTGATGAAATTTGCTATTGCAAGAAGTGGTGACGCCTGCTGGCTTAAATGGTTTAAAAAAGAGATTAGCGTAATTCGTGGGGGAGGAGATGTCTATCATTCACACTGTTTCCAATGTTCAGGTGTGAGTGCCAGTGCCAGTGGAGCCAAAATGGAACCACACACACACAGAGGAGATTTTGGCATGTTTGGGGAAACCCTGAGGTTTGCAGAATACTGGAGGCGGGCAGGGAAGTTAGGAAAAAAGTCTTAAAATGAGGATTACAATAAAAACAACAACGGACCAGCAAGGACTGTCAGTGCTCAGTGGCAACATGACCTGAGTCTTGGAGGGGAAATGGAAAACTGGAAGTGGGTGGTGGAATAGAGTATCACAGGAGGGGATGGCTGGCTGGAACTCTGGGCAAGAGCATTTCACACTTGAACATTCTGCTGCCAGTCCCCCTAGGAGGTAGGTTAGGCTGACAGATGGTGACTGGCCAAGGATCACCCAGTGAACTTCATGGTTAAGCAGGACTCGAACCCGGGCCGCTCAGACCTGGGTTCGAGTCCTGACTCAACCATGAAGTTCACTGGGTGATCCTGGGCAAGTCACCGTCTCTCAGCCTAACCTACCTCACAGGGTCATTGGTGAGGATCACATGGAGAGGGAAGGGAGAACCTGAAGGTATGACACCTTCAGTTCCCTGGAGGGAAGGTGGGATAGAAATACAATAAAATAATAAGCTCCCAAAATATTAATGCTCTGGTTATCTCCCGCTTGGACTACTGCAATGCGCTCTACGTGGGGCTACCTTTGAAGGTGACTCGGAAACTACAACTAATCCAGAATGCGGCAGCTAGACTGGTGACTGGGAGCAGCCGCCGAGACCATATAACACCAGTCTTGAAAGACCTACACTGGCTCCCAGTACGTTTCCGAGCACAATTCAAAGTGTTGGTGCTGACCTTTAAAGCCCTAAACGGCCTCGGCCCAGTATACCTGAAGGAGCGTCTCCACCCCCATCGTTCTGCCCGGACACTGAGGTCCAGCGCCGAGGGCCTTCTGGCGGTTCCCTCATTGTGAGAAGCAAAGCTACAGGGAACCAGGCAGAGGGCCTTCTCGGTAGTGGCGCCCGCCCTGTGGAACGCCCTCCCATCAGATGTCAAAGCGGTAAATAACTACCTGACATTTAGAAGACATCTTAAGGCAGCCCTGTTCAGGGAAGTTTTTAATCTGTGATATTTTACTGTATTTTTGGTTTCTATGGAAGCCGCCCAGAGTGGCTGGGGAAACCCAGCCAGATGGGCGGGGTACAAATAATAAATTATTATTATTATTATTATTATTATTATTATTGGAAGGCAACAGTGCGGGGAGAGGGCTACTTTTGTGCCACACTGGGTGGGCTTCCCAGAGGCACCTGATTGTCCATTGTAAGAGACAAGATGTTGGAGTGGATGGACCACTGCCCAGATCTAGCAAAGCCCTCCTGATGTTTGTCTCTGTCGAGGGACCCACCTGGCAACAGAGCCTGCAGGGAAAGAAAACTGGTTCAAATTAAAGCAACTCTCTCACTTTGGAGCGGAGAGACTGTCTGTTCCACCCACACTTTCCCCCAAACGTAGGCATGAAAGCTGCTTCCCGGGCGCAGATGTTGGTACCTTTGAACTCTTGTCTTCCTGTCATCAGCTGGATGCCTGGCGGGGTGGAAAAAAGGAACATTAGCCTTAAATCTCTCCTCAAACAGGTGAATGGAGAAAACCTCTGTCTCTATAGACCTCTCCACAACAGGGGTCCTTCCTAGCAGATGAAGGACCTGCCACTGCCAGGATTTTGCCTTCTTCCGCTCCATCTTGGCAGTGAGGGTGTGGGGGTGTGGGTGTGGGGGTGTGTAACTCCCCCTGTGAATTTTCTGCAACTTACATAGATCCTACATTTATATGTATTGTCACCAGATAAAAGGGGGGCGGGTGGTATATGGAACCAGAAGTAATGTGCCTATTTTGCCTCTTCCTCACCCTGACCTAAGAGCTATATTTCACAAGGGGTTTGCTTCAGAGCAGGCCAGTGTGTTACAGATGAGCAAGCAAAGGAGACACGTCATTGCCACATATTCACATGTAAGAATAAGCCAGGGTCATGATTATGCCATTTCACTAAACGTTTAATTGCCTGATGATATCAATTGTTCAATCACTAGTGGTTAAATGTTTGTTTATTTTGAGTATTTCTACCCTGCGGTTCATATTTAAAAGGCTCCTTCAGTGGCTGACATACAATCAGTTGAAACAAGGCAGCCCGTGCTCACAGGTTTACAGTCTAAGGATATGTAGACATTAGTGGCTGGCTTACGACACAGCAAGGTCGTTGTTCCCTCCTGCTGCATTTCAAGTCTTGTTGCACACATCAGAGACTGGGGTGGGGTGTCTACACTCGATTCACATTACCCAATTTGTTTCTGCAAGCCTGCAACTGCCCTGAGCTCCAATTCAAGGGAGTCGAAATCTGAGCATACACTTTCATCTGCACATGTGCAATGGCTGTCTGAACTGTATACACCTTGGCTTAACCTGGACCTGGTGTTTTCAAATCAAATGGAAGCTGGTTTAATAGGAAACACATCAAACAGCAGTATTTCTCAGGAAACGACAGGATGCATTATGGATTGTGGCTGGCATCATGTATAAAGGTAAAGGTAAAGGGACCCCTGACCATTAGGTCCAGTCGCGGATGACTCTGGGGTTGCAGCACTCATCTCGCTTTATTGGCCAAGGGAGCCAGCATACAGCTTCCAGGTCATGTGGCCAGCATGACTAAGCCGCTTCTGGCGAACCAGAGCAGCGGACGGAAACACCGCTTACATTTCCGCCAGAGCGGTACCTATTTATCTACTTGCACTTTGACGTGCTTTCAAACTGCTAGGTTGGCAGGAGCAGGGACCAAGCAATGGGAGCTCACCCCGTCATGGGGATTCGAACTGCCGACCTTCAGATCGGCAAGCCCTAGGCTCTGTGGTTTAACCCACAGCGCCACCTGCGTCCCGGCATCATGTATACTTGACTGCAAATGCCAGCGGTTGGGAGTGCACTGGAGCTGAAGGAAACGGGAATGTGTACATAGCTGAACAGACATGAAAGGAAAAGGTGACAGGGAGGGAGGAGGAGAAGCGGTTTTCATTATTTACCGTTCTGTTACTGGTTTATCAAAACTGTGCTTTCTTTTTTATTGCTACTTTCTGTTTAAACTTTATATAAAATTAAATAATAATAATAATAATAGGCGAAGGCATTCTCCCAAAGCAAAATAGGGACAATGATTAATCAGGGACAGATAGAAGAAAATAGGGGCTTTCCCTGTTTAGTAAGGTAAATTGGGAGGGATGAAGATAACAACCCTTGTGGGTGAGATTGACAAGTCAAATGTTGCACTTTACAGGAAGGAGCATGACTCAACTTTGCTTCTGCTTTGTACACAGCAGTTCCCAGAAACCCAGGTCCAGAGATACACAGCTGAACAGAGCAAACGCCTCAGAAATCAGCAGGGGAGGACTGCCACAATCCTGAGGGTCGGAGTTTAGTGGCTTAATTGTCAGTGGCTGCTGCTTCAGGGATCGTGTGTCCAGAGGAAGATGGCATAAGGGCATTTCCAGACTCTTGTTATTTTCCAGTGGGATTAAATAACATCCTAGCAAATCCAGGTTGCACCATCAGAGATGGAGTGTTTTGTGCACACACACAACCCCCCCCCCAAAAAAACCCATACCTTTGCACATTATTAATAATGATCCCTCTCCATTCTGTCCTCACTGCAAACCTGTGAGGTAGATTAAGCTGAGAGACTGTGACCAGTCCAAAGTCACCCAATGAGTTTCATGGTGGACTAGTAGGGACTTGAACCCTGGTCTGCCAGCTCTTGGTCTACACTCCAGTTGCTGCACCACACTGGTTTACGATCTCTTCTATCTATTATCACGCCTTTTAATGTTTGTCCAGGTCTTTTCTGAGCTGGATCCCACCCTGCCACTTGATTGACTAATTGATGGGACATTGCAAGTTTAATAAGGAGAGAGTCAACCATGAAAAATTGACAATTGAGAACTGATTAACATGTTCATCTGGAAATGTGGTGCAGACCTCCACTGGACTGTACCCCCTTTGCAATACAGAGGAACTGTGAGTGTGTGGGTGTGGGTGGATGTTAAGTACCATTGCCACCTTTCCCAAACTCAGTCAAACCTTTCCTGCAAACTTATAAGGAACACTAGTGCTATAACTCTTCCCTGGAGCAGGGAGGTCAACAGTACGTAGAGCCAGAGCCAATGTCAAGTCAAACTGACTAATTCTAGGTTTGTCCCATTCTACTCCTTGCTGAGTTCTACAAGGGCAAACTGGGAAGGAAGCTAAAAGGCAGGGCCACCCGCTGGACAGGTGATATCATAAGTTTATAAAAACTATGCATGGCATGGAGAAAGCAGATAGAGAAGTTTTCTTTTCTTTTCTTTTTCTCATAACACTAGAACTCACGAGCATCCAGTGAAGCTGAATGTTGAAAGGATAATCAGGAAATTAAGGAGTTATACAATTTTGCAACATGCAGAGAATAGCATTCATAGAGAAACCAAAGACTGGAACTGAGGGAAGTCGGGGGGGGGTATGGGAGGGTGGGGGGAGGGAGGAAAATGGGGGAAAATTAAGGATATTATGTTTTCAGATATAATGTTATGTTTAAGTTTCTAATAAAAAATTATAAAAAAAGGGGAAAAAAAGAAGAAGAGGAGGAGGAAGAGGAGGAGGAGGAGGAGGATAATCAGGACAGATAACAAAAGAAAGAATTATCTTCCTGCGGTGCATTGTTAAACTATGGAACTCCCTCCCACTAGAGGCAGTGACGGCCACCCATTTAGTTGATTGGACAAATTCATGGATGGCCCAGGGGTATCAATAGCTACTGGCCATGAGAGCTATGCTCTGCCTCCACAGCTGGAAACACCTTCTGAAGACCACTTGCTTGAAGCCACGGGAGGGGAGAGCATAGCTGTCAACTTACAGATTTGAAAATAAGGGACCAGCAGCCTCTAAAATAAGGGATCGACAGCCAAAATAAGGGATTTTAGTCAACCAGCAGCCAAATGAAGCCTCAAGTGGTGGTTCCCATAGCGCTGCAACCCAGCAAAGGGGATGCAGCAAGGAAAACCACTGTCACCTCTCCGCTGGGAAGCGCTGAGCAAAGGCAAGTCCCCAGGCAACGCGGCCGATTTGATCGGCACAAGGCATGCAAGCTCCACCCCCCAGTCATCCTTAGACTCCTTATTGGGTGAGCAACGCAGCCAAACAACACAGCTGGAGCCTCCCTCCTCCCTGACCGGCAGGGAGGGAGGGAGAGGAGCTGCTTCCTTTGAAACCCGGGAAATTTAAGGGACATCAATAAGGGACAGCAGCGGGACATGGCGCTGGGATAAGGGACTGTCCCGCCAAATAAGGGTATGGGGAGAGATGGGGGAGAGCTATGGGGGAAGAGTGCTCTGGTGCTGAAATCCTGCTCGCGGATTCCCCTGGTCGGTCCCTGTGAGAATAGGATGCTGGAGTAAATGTGCCATTGGCTAATCCAGCAGGCTCTCCTGCTGCTTTTATGTTGTAAGAAGGGAGGCAAGTAGGAGCTGACTGAGGCAGGCTTGAGGCTTATGGGGCAGTGCCCTGCAATGGACTTGTCCCATGTCCCCCTTTGTGTCCAAGCAATTGCTTCACAAAATAAAAAATCCTGCTGTCGTTTGACTCTTGCAGTGTCCCTGATGCTCCTAGTATCAGATAAGGCTAGAAAGGAAGTCACCCCAACTGCTCCTTTTGCCTGCTCCCTCGTCGCAGCCTTATGGTTTGGTCCTCACAGAAAGGGGGAAGCAGTGAGAAGGACCTCTGTTGTAACTCGAAAGCTGACTCCTCCTGAAGAATGTGGTTCAGGAGGCAGGACGTCACGACAGTGCTTGCTTTGTGTAACTTTAGCTTCTGGGCTTAAGTGACTTAGTCAAAGTGAGTCAGGTGCCCAGCTGGGACTAGAACCTTGAAGTCTTGGCTGGTCTCCTGCAAGAACCTGAATGGCTGGTCCCGAAACTGCCCCTCCTCCCACATAATAACCTGCCATGAGCCAAGCGACTGAATCCACCCACTGTGGCTTTGAGAAGCACCTGCCTCTCTCTGTTTCTGCATGGCGGGGGGGGGGGGTGAAGGGGAAGCTAGGTGCACACAGCCATCTCTTCAGCCTCACTGGGATCTCTCTCTCTCTCCCCCCCCCTTTCTTACAGCAGAGGGAAACTGTGCCCAGAGAGGAAGCAAGGTGACGAGGTGCGTGGGATGGCACACGCATCAGGCACAAGCGCCGCTGACGCAAGAAAGGTATCCACGTTCCCCTCGTTGTGCTTGTGGTGGGGGGCGTGGGATGAGACAGGAACAGGGGTCCCCTTGATCTCAGTGCTCTGAGGCAGCCTGGAAACCAGAGTTAAACAGTAAATTGTTTGCGCTGAAAGCTGGGCAGGATGCGGCGATGTGAGAAGGGGGTCTGTGTGAAGTACATTGTTCTGATTTCTTATGTGTTTATCCCACCCTGCCTCTAACGTCACTTCCATAGGATCATAGAATTGTGCTGATATAAGTAAAGTCCAACCCCCTGCAATCTGGGAATTACAGATAAAGAATCCCTGCCATCCAATTTCTGTCTAAAAACATCCATTGAAAGAGAGTCCACCACTTTCCAAATCCATTTGATAATAGAGAGAAGAATCTGTTCATTTCATTTCTCTCATTTTTTCCACTTTCCAGTTACTCAGATTTCTGCAGTTAATTTGGAATCTTTAAAAAACAACAACCAACCACACAACCCCACCATGAAAATTCTTTAGCATTCTAGTGTGGATTTCAACTAATTAAACACATTTTTGTATGCAGTTTTGACTAATGCACACATTTTGCCTAGCCGTTTCTCCTACTATAATTCCTTTTTGTGTGTTATTTGCAAAGGCAGGTCTCTCTGCACAGCCAATGGACAAGCCCAGCTTCCTGGGCCATGGCTCAGTGTTGGGGCCTGCAGAAGGTCCCTAGGTCAGTCCCCCAACAACTGTATTCACAGCTGGGAAAAACATCTGCCTGAGACCCTGAAGAGCCACTCAGCATAGGTGATACTGAGCAAGATGGACCAATGGTCTGACCTGGTATCCTATGTTCCTGGTGATGGGACTGGAGAAGGTTGTGTCTGGATGGTGGGTTTATGGCAGTGATGGGGAAGCTCAGAGCAGTGGACCATCAGGCATCTCTACTGGGCCCAAGAGGCCACCTTGGGCAAATTTCCAAGCCAAAAGGCATTCCATCCTACTCAGTCTTGGTCCTTTTTGCTTTGGTGCATTGATCAGCTGAGTCCCTGAATAAGTTAGCTGGCCTGCATTCCCATTGGAATGAATGGGACTTAAGCTGTGATTAAGTAGATTCAGTGATTTCTGTGGGACCTAAGCTGTTCAGCTAAGTCTGGAGCCAACTAAAGGACATTTATGGGTACATTCCTCAACACTGGCACACATCTCTCTGTGTTTTAAGGTATCTCCTCTCTGTGCTACCCCAGGAGAGGTTAAAAGGCATTTTGTCTGCATATCAGACAACAGGAGCACCTCCTAGTATCCCGAGTATTTAAATCAGGGGCTGCTAACCTGTTGTTGACCAACAACTCCCATCATCCCTGACCGTTGGCCATGCTGGCTGGGGATGTTGGGGCTTGGAGTCCAGCAAACATCCAGAGAGCTGCAAGTTAGAGCCACCCTTGTTTGAAACGAAGCACTCGTGTGACGATCTGCCCTTGTACTTTAGAAGGCCTGAGTTCAAATTTCAGTCCAACAGCAAACACTCCAGGCAGCCTTGTGTGCAAACTGCTGCCTCTTAATCTCTCCTGTCTGTCTGTCGCATGGAACTCTCTTTTTTGGGGGGGGGAAGTTTTATTAAAAGGTTTTCTTGGGTAACAATAGAACATTCAGAGTCTCTGTTTTCAAGTCACAGAATCATTCAAACAAATCAGTCATATTCAGAGTGAGACATTACTGTTACAGGGGTTGAGGGAAAAGAAAAATAAGAAGGGAGAAGGAGGTAAAGGGCAAGACAGTAAAAAATCATTCTTCTACATAGTATATGAGCAAAGCTTTTGTGTCAGTGTCATATAAACAGTTACCTTATTCTTGATGGTGGTGCAAGAGACCAGAGGGCCCAGGGCATGTTTGGTTGCGAGTTGGTTGCAGCATGTTTTGTCTGTGTGTGAGAGGGGTGTGTGTTGTTGGGTGGGTCAAGTTAACCATATTGATTTGTATGCTGTCTAGGGGTGGGGTTGGTTTATTGTATTTCTGGCTTGCATATGTAATAAAGGGGTGCCACATCGGGGTAAAAGTGTCCTCCTGTGTTTGTCCCCATGTAAATAAAAAGATCAGTAAATAAAAAGATTAAACGAACAGAATGTCTTACCAGTTGGATTCTTTAATAATCACAGTGAAAGATAAAAGAACACGTCTACCTAGAAATGGTGGTGCTCCCAATTAAGGCGCACCCCCCGTCCCTATTAATCTACATCACTCCTATGTCTTGTAATCTGAGCTTGTTCCCTCTGCGCTTTCTGTTCTAACACTTTCTGAGCTCTCCGTGTCTTTGGAGAAGGGGGATGAATGCTGTCCAGAGACTGTGAGTCTGTTTACTCTCTCTCTTCTAGTATTTCTTCTGCCAGCTATTCCCTATCCAGTATTTCCCAGCTTCTGCCTTCTGAACCATGCCCCTCTGCAAACCACTGTTCCAAATCTATACTGTCCTCCTGCTCCTGGGAAGATTCAGGATCAGGATCAGGGCAAGGGGGTGGCTCCCACCATTCTTCCTCAGTGCAGCCCTCCTCAGCACGGTCTCTGACAGTTTGGTACCAGTGGTCCATGTTCACTCCCAACAGATCCCTCCCGTGTCTAGTTATGACACTCCTAGCAGCTGAGAGTAAGTGGTTTGTGACTTCTTTGTCATGTGAGTGCACATAATTGTCTTGGAAGATATTGAGTAGGACTAGTTCTGGAATTGTTTCTATTACCTGTTTTGTTATTTTGCAAATTTATTGTAAGACTAATATCCGAAAGGATCAGATTTGGGGGCATTCCCACCACACAGGGAGGAATGTGCCCATGGAGGAACAACCTCTCCAGCACCTAGGTGAAGTTCCTGGATATATCAATACTAGCTTTCATTATGTTAGGTACCATCTATAAATAAGTTTCAAAGCGAGTTCCCTTCTTTTGGCTGAGATATATTTAAAGTGTGACTTAGGCCAAAGTTCTGACCATCGGGTTGAGTTTTTTTGTGTCCTGTGTCACGTTCCCATTGGTCTTTGATTGTGGTGAAGGGGCCTGTAGTGGCGTGGATCAGTATTTTTGTGTATTGCAGATACCATTCCTCTGTTGTCAGAAGGGGTTTTCCAAAGTTAGCCAGTGGCCTGGTAGCTGCCGCCTTGGCTACTCGGTTGTTTAAAAGGCCATCTAGTTGGTGATGGGTCAGCCAGGGTATTTGGGTGTCTCCTAGTTTCACATGGAACTCTTGACCTACCTCGGAGGACAGAAAGAAAAAGATAAGGGAGCCCTATGTAATTAACGTAAGCCTTATTCCCAGAAGGGAGCAGGGAGCAGGAGGGAAATGAGCCACCTACGCACACACGCACCCAGCTGCACAGCTGTCTTGCTCTTGTTGTGAAACAACTCTTGATCGATGTCACAAGTCAGCCTGGAGCATCTTGAGACCGGGCAGTCATTTGCAATGCTTAAAAAAAAAAAGAAAAAAAAAAAAAGAGGGATAGGAACATCAGAGCAATTTCTCCATAGAAAGGATTGCCAGTCTAATCAGCAGCAAATGGAATTCATGTTAGCATATATATGAAAGTGCTGTTCCTTCTGCCTTTGCAGTAGTAGCATATCTATCTATATATGTATATTATGCACACATGCACATGCACACAATCTAGGCAGGTGACAGATTGCTCTTCTTAAAATCACAGATCTTCTGAATCTATAGTTATACTAGAGCTGCAACAGTTTAATCCCGTGGTTCCCAAACTACCCCCCCCCACCGCCACAGACCACTTGAAGATCGCTGAGGATCTTGGTGGACCACTTAATGGCTTTTCTGCTTGCTGTAGCAATTGCAGTTGCAATGTGCTGTGTGCTAAATGCCATATGATCTTTAATTGCATTTTTTATTCTTTCTTTCATATATATTATATTCTACTGTATTAGGAGTTAAACCACATGGAATTTAAATGCCAACACAACGGAACACAGTATAAGAAATAGAAGAAGCAATAAAAATACAACTGAAAACCAGTTACAGATATTTAACATCGGTGCATTTTTTTCTGGGGGTGGGGGACACAGGTGTATGCATACCCCTAAATATTTTGTGAATCTAAGTATGGCCTCATTGAGGGGCAGTATTTCAATATGAGTAGGAAAATGAGAGTACCCCTAAACATTTTTTTAGAAAAAAAGCACTGTTTAACATGATGGGCGTCATGTCTTGTGTCTTCAACCACAAATCCACAGACCCGCTGCTGCGGACCACTTCAGTGAAGCTCACAGACTACAGTTAGGTTTAACTGATTAACAAATTGTAGCTTGACTCTCTCCATTCTCCTCTCTGTTGAGTCTTACAAGGGGAGAACTGAGAGGAAGAAGCTGGCAGGCATTGCCACCTCCTTGTCTGGATGGACCCAGAAGGAAGGAAGATGGGGATTGGCTGAAGGCTGGCTGAGATTCTTGGGGCAGTGCCTCACTTGCCCTAGAGAACGAACTTCAGCTGGGGAAGGCACCTTCTGAGTCTAAAGATGACATGGCCACATGGTCATAAAAAACCCCACGTTCAGAAGGTGTTCTATGATTCATCCTCATCCCCTTTCAGTTCTACAAGGCCAACCCTGAGACTAAGGAGGAAGTAGGCAACCCCTGCACCCCTTAGACTGGTCACAAGGAGGAGGCAAGCAGGCAGGGGCTGGCTAAGGACAAGCTGAGCTTGGTGGGGCAGGGCACCATTTGCCCTCCTGGACCAGCCCTTCTCAGCTCTCTTGGAGAGAGCTACAGTTTGCTATCACCTTCCGCCGAACCTGTGTGGAGGTTAGGGTGGTTTGATGGAAAGGATGCCAGAGTTCCCGAGCCGTGTTATGAATAATAATTTTATTACTTATATGCGCCCATCCGACTCCTTTCCCTCTCTCCCTTCAGGCCTTCTCCAGCTTCAAAGCAGCTCCCTGTGTAAATACAACAGGAAGTGCCCACGGGGATTCTCGTAGATCATCACCCTCTCTTAGCTCATGGCAGTGATGTATGTGTACAGGTGTCTCTTTCTAAACCCCTATATAGCCAGTGGAAGAAGAGTCTGGCTCAGCATAACATGTGGGAGATATTAAGTGGGGATGAGGGGGGAAGAGGGCTCGATGGGGGGTGCCTGACGTACTGGCTGGGAAAACTCAAGGAAAGCAAGAGCCCCCACCCCACCCTGATTTCTCCCAGGCAGGCAGGCAGGCAGGAGCTGCTCCTGCTCCTGTGTACATAATCACTGGCTATGAAAGGCTCGTGATTGATGGCAAACAGCGTGGAAACACTCCCTCAAGAGCACCTGGCTTGAGGCAGGCAGCTTCCAAGCATGTTTGGTAAAAGCTGTGAGGCAGTCGGATGCAGGCCGGCATGACTTCCGGGAGAGGAAGAAGAAGCAGGGGTCTCCCAGGAGGAATGTTGGGTCCCTGGGCTTTCTGAACTTGAGTCGCCATCAGGGATAAAAGGATCCTGCTGAAGATGAACAGACGACGTTCCTGAAAATGGGCCTCATCACTGCTCCTTGCTACAGTGGTACCTCGGGTTACAAACACTTCAGGTTACAGACTCCGCTAACCTGGAAGTAGTACCTCAGGTTAAGAAATTTACCTCAGGATGAGAACAGAAATTGTGTGGTGGCAGCAGGAGGCCCCATTAGCCAAAGTGGTACCTCAGGTTAAGAACGGTTTCAGGTTAAGAACGGACCTCCGGAACAAATTAAGTTCGTAACCAGAGGTACCACTGTAATTGAATTTAACACAAGGGTGGTCACTTATGCATGGTGGAAAACGAAGACACAGACTTTCCTGATCCGCGTGGGAAGGTTGGGGTGGAGCAGGCATGCACCCCACACAATCTCTTCAGAACATCTACTGTGTGAGGTGGAATTGGTGGGCCTTTAACAACATACCTTCCAACATTTCTCCGATGAAAATAGGGATGTTGTTGTTGTTGTTGTTGTTGTTCCTCCACCCATTTGACTGGGTTGCCCCAGCCACTCTGGGCAGCTTCCAGCATATATAAAAACATAATAAAACATTTAGAAAACTTCCCTATACAGGGCTGCCTTCAGATGTCTTCTAAAGATTGTATAGTTACTTATCTCCATGGCTTGTGGGTCATGTAACTCCATACCATGCAACATTTCTCCAATGGAAATAGGGGCGCCCTAAGTAAAAACCAGACATTTTGGGATCAAATCAGAAACTGGGACGCCTTTTGTAAATCTGGGACTCTCCTTGGAAAACAGGGACACTTGGAGGGTCTGTAGAAAGCCATGGCTGGTGCCCATTGAGACTTGTGGGGCATATGGGAAGTAGCCCAACAGTAGGTGGAGCCAGATCCAGACAGAGGCAACTAATTCTAGTTGTCCCCATCCTTCTCTCTGCTGAGTTGAGCATTATTTAATATTTATATGTTGCTTTTCAGCCCTCAGTGAGACTCCCAATGCTGTACATGAGCATGATCAAACCAGAACAACCCTTGTGCATTCATGATCGGGGCAGTTATATGCAATCCCACTTTCAATACCGTATCATCTGCAAAAGTTTTGGGACGGACATGATGCTCTGTTTCCATTGGGACTTGTCCCATAGCATCCTAGTGAGATTCTATACCTTTTCAGGCCACAGATCTTCCCGTGTGTGTGTGTGTGTGTGTTGTCCTGCTTTTGCTGCATTACAGTGCCCAAGTGCCCTTGTGGACAGCAATAATGCAGTAGCACTGAGAAAGCAATGCAAAACAACTAATAAAGTGGGACGATGTGTGGGTAGTCCAATATTAATCCACTGCTAAAGCATTATTATTGCATCAATGACATGTTGCAGAAGATGCCTGCAAACAACAACAACAACCTATCAATCTGGATTGCTCCGAAAGCTCAACTATACTCTACTTGCCATCTTTCCTGGGTTGTATTCAACTAACTTTTACTCACGAGTAAGTCTACTGAAATCAATGGCCATGATGACTAACTTTGGCCCATCATTAATGTCAGTGTATCTGCTCTGAGTAAAGTTAGTTGAAAGCATCCCCAGTGTGTCAATATTGTTGTTGCTGTCTCCCTGGATTGGGGCCACTGCAAAGATATATTGAGTCACAGGGAACTAGTTTTCATTTTGGGTTTCTGTCTTTTAAGCTGTCTCTTGAGGATGGCAAGAGAGGATTTGGTTTTGGGTGACTCACATATTGTGACCAGCATATCCTGTTGGCGTTCTAAAGGATGGAATGAGGCTACAAGACACATGCAAACCAAGCACAATAATCTTCCCACCCCCCACCCCACCCCAGTTGTAGTAAATGGGATGCCACAACTTGTGACTCTTCTCTAACACGCTTGCACAATGGGGCAGGGTTCCAAATGGCAGTGCTGTTTATCATCCATTGAAGGCATCCAGCTCACCAAAAAAAACCAAAACAAAAAACCCCAACAAACCTCTGAATGCAGATCGTTATTTCCTGCATTATTGAGCTGGGAAACTGGATCCAGGCCCCAGCCAAGAATGGTTCACTAACCCGTAACATTATGCAGGGAGACAATGATCCTCCGGGAATGACGCATGAGGCTTTAGTAGTTCCCTGTCCTCTACTGTTACAGTGGAGACATCCATAAGGGCACTCACTGGCTCCTCTTCATGAGAACCAATTTCAGTCGATTGGCAGAAATTCAATTTTGTTTGCTTTTCCATGAGAAACTTGAATCAGAACGTGAACCCAAACACCTCCAAGTTCACACGTCCCTGAATTTGGCAACATGGTTCTCCAACCTGGCTATGTGTACCAAAAATGAGTGCATTAGGGGGAAGCGTGTTTTAAATGCATGTTAGTGAAAATATCATACAAAGATTCATAATACATGGGGAAATAGTAAGTACATTGGTCAATACTGCATATAAAAATCTGCTCATTAGAAGAAATTTGTAGTAAAATACTAACAGCTGTTTTGAAGGGGGGAGGAATCTGTAGTAAGGTGCAAAACTGAGATTAAGATTGGAAAATTGAGAAACTGGGTCAACAAAAGCTGACAGATTTGCCGATCCCTAACCATGGTATAGGGACGCAGGTGGCGCTGTGGGTTAAACCACAGAGCCTAGGATTTGCCGATCAGAAGGTCGGCGGTTCGAATCCCTGCGACGGGGTGCACTCCCATTGCTCGGTCTCTGCTCCTGCCAACCTAGCAGTTCGAAAGCGTGTCAAAGTGCAAGTAGATAAATAGGTACCGCTCCGGCAGGAAGGTAAACGGTGTTCCTGTGCACTCCTCTGGTTCACCAGAAGTGGCTTAGTCATGCTGACCACATGACCCAGAAGCTGTACGCCAGCTCCCTCGGCCAATAAAGCGAGATGAGCGCTGCAACCCCAGAGTCGGTCACAACTGGACCTCATGGTCAGGGGTCCCTTTACCTTTAACCATGGTATAACCTTATATTTCGAGGGCTGAAACAAGTGTAGGGACAGCAGAGGTGGCCAAGGTTCGTCAACCATGCATGGCATTTTGAAATCACAAGACGTACAGTCAACATGTGGATATACATCAATCTGCAGTGCAATTTTAAGATTTGGGTTGGAAAGGCTGGATTCCAATTTCTGGTCAACCTTGAATCTCACTGGGTGGCCTTAGGTCAAGTACTTTCTCTGTGCCTAACCTACCACACAGGGTTGTGGTGACCACAATCCCCATGTAAACTTCCCTTGGGGAAAAGGCAGGATACGACCGCGAGAAACAAATCAAGAAAAGAACCATACATTTAATGTTCAGGAATGATTCTGCTAAGTGGCTAGAGGGACATTGGTTTGAAGATGTGGTAAGCCCTGCAGCCACATCCTATGGGTGCCTTCTAAGATTTGCCACATCAGCAATGGCAGGAGTCAGCATTGCATTCCTGGTCAGCATCCTGTGCTTAATTTTGGGCTGTGAGCTTTTATGTTTGGTTCTATGAGACTCAATATGCACTTTTTTTCGCTCACAACATTGAATGGGCTTAAAGGCACAGCTCAGCTTGATATATTGCCATACTGCAAAGGATTCTGGGGCATGCGCTAGAATGCACCCTGGATGGAAGGCACTGCTGTTCCCAGTTGCTCTCACCCTGGCTCCAATGTCAACCAAGACTGCACTCTGTACTGTGCCTGATATTTTTGTACAGCTTCCTAAAATCCTAGAATTGTAGAGTTGGAAGGGAGCATAAGGGTCCAACCCCCTGCAATGGAGGAATTTTTTGCCCAATGTGGGGTTCAAACCCCCAACCCTGAGATTAAGGAGTTTTGCACTCTACTGACTGAATTTCAAATGCAGAGGAAGATTGGGAGTGGTGGCCAATGCTCCCACACCACTTCAGATTGCAGAGCAGGATCAGAATGGCAGTGCAACCATTCTCAAAGGGCAAGCATTCTCTGCGACTCTGCAAGGCATGGATGCTAGCCCTGGTTGCAATCCCATCAGTTGCAAGCAACATTCCCATGCAAATCTGAATTGTGGGGCAAGAGTAGTCACAGGGAGTGCTGTGGAACACTCCCAAGGACTCTTGAGAACTATATCAGAAGGCAGCCCTAAAACTCTTTTGTAGGGCAAGAGTGATAGGGATGCACAAGAGAAGGCCAGGAATTTTGGGCAACACTCCCTTAACCCCTTCAGATTCCCAAGGAAAGATCCACATTGGCAGGCAAGAACTTTTAGGGAAGATTTGCACACCCATGTCTGAACCTCAGAACACGAAAGAACGCCCGATAAACACTCAGTAACGGACCCCTGCTCCCCTCCCCAAAACACAGCTTGGAAACCACCACACAACATCTAAAGAAGAAAGATAGTCAAAAGTCCGATTTTATTATTACACAATTGGTAGCAGCAGTCTCTGCTTTCATATTCAGAGGCGGGAGTGGCTTCAGGTTCAAGGGCACCTGGGCAAAGCAAATATTTGTAAGCCTCTCTGGATTCACCTGGGAGAAGCAGCCACAGCATTGCAAACAAGCCACACTGGGTGGCTGCGCCAGGCAGCCATTTTAATTGCCCATAATGCCCTGGAACAATGCTGTCCTAGAGCACTGTGGGAAATCTGACATGGCCGCTCCACCCAGCCAACCAGTGTTGTTCAGAAGGCTATGGTGAAGAGGTGTGTGTGTGTGTGTGTGTGTGTGTGAGAGAGAGAGAGAGAGAAATTAAAAGGGGTGGGCAGGGCTGGTATCAGCAGTGGGCCTTGCTACAGTGCTGGCAGCCCAAGGCTGCTGGGCACCAACCCCAGCCCTGCTCTTCGGCAAACCTAACCCTGCTCTGATCCACTGCACTGCAAGGGCACAAGAAAGGGCAGGAACCTACTGGTTGGAGGGGGGGGGCTCAGATCGATAACCCTCAAGCTGATCCGGCTTGGCTTTTATTCGTTCAGCCAGTGAGACTCTTACTCTGAAGCCTCCCCCCACCTGTTTCCCTCCCCCTCCCTTTTTGTGCTGAAAGGGGGGGGGAATTAATGCAAAGTTGCTTTAAATTAGAAAAGAAAAAAAATCCTGACACAGAGAACAACTCTGGCCGGCTGCTGGCTGGTGGGTCTTGGCAGGCTTTGGAAACTGATGCAATCAGCCGTGATTAACAGTGGGGAGAGGCCTGGCTTGACAGCACTCCCCCACCTGCGTTTGCCATTGTGTTCCTGTTAGCTGCTCGCAGGTGTTTGCTGGCGCCAGGCTGTCTGAGCTCCCAGCCTCGGCTCCTTCCCCCGCCCCTCCCTGCCGGCTGATCTCTGCCTCTCCGCTTCCAAGTCCATTCAATGCGCCTCTCTCTCTCTCTCTCTCTCGCTCGCTCGCTCGCTCGCTCGCTCATTCACACGTCTGCAAACAAGGCCCCACATAGAAAAGGCCCAGCCGCTTGCTCTCGCGCTTAATAGCCTCTTTCCAAAAAAGAAAAAAAGCACCATCCATTGCTTTCGAAACGCCAAAAATCCTGCACAAATTCCTGTCTTAATTTCTCTGCGAGTCTCTCTCTCCCCCCCCCCCGCGGCCTTCCTCGCGCGTGGTGGTACGGGGAATACTCAGAAGTCTTCTCTTTGGTCCTCCATTCCCCCCCCCCCGCTCCCAGCCCTTTCCCCCTGTTTATTACTCGCTCTCGATCGGGCCAAAGGGGGCTTTTGACCGCGAAATAATTGAAAGAATTTCATTCCTCTCATCTCTCTCTCCTCCCCCCCCCCCCCGCCCGTCTTTCCTTTCTCTTCCCACCCGACCTTTATAAGAGAGGAAGAGAAACGTAGAGGCCGCTTCCAGTTTTCCTCGTGCATTGAGATCTGTTTAATCGCTCCTGGAAACCGGGTAGTTGGGGGCGGGGGGGGGGGGAAGAGAAATGTGCCGAGCCTTGCCCTTAAGTGATTTAAAATCATTTCCAAGAAGGGGGGGGGGGGCGGTATGTAAAACAGGGTTGCTAATAATATTGCTGTTGTTCCCTTGGCAGGGCTCCTGTGCCTTTTAACAGCTGCTCAAGCTGAACTCCCCACAGGTAGCATTTTCCCCTAGGTTTGCATGTGCTGGGCAGGGAGCGAGGTTAGGGGTTCACTTGTTGAGCTTGTGCTGGGAGTTGGGGTGGCGCCGGCCACCCTCCGTCAACACGAGTGTGCAGTGGCATTTGGGTGCAGAGGAACGTAAGCTGCGGCTCAGGCATCTGATCCTTCTCCCCTTCAGCTCAGCATTTTCCACACTGAATGGCAGTGGCTTTGCAGGGCTTTTAGACCTGGGACACCCCCAGTCCTATCCAGAGATGCCAGGGGTGAAACCAGGGGCCCTTCCACCGACCTATAGCTTTTCCCCACGGAGGAGGCCTGCCTGTGAATCACCTGTGAACCTGTGCCTCTCTAGATGTCTTTGGACTCCAACTCCCATGAGCCCCAGCCAGTCTGGCCAAAGCTCAGGTATGATGGGAGTTGGAGTCCAGCCACATCTGGAGGCCCACAGGTCCCCCAGCCCTGGTCTGTTCTGACCGGTAGCAGCTTTCCAGGCTGAGGTTGTTCCCAGTCTCTGCTCCCTGGCTGTTTTAATTTTCTATGCCAAGGATTGAACTTGGGACCTTCATGTTCTCTGCCACTGAGCTGTGGTTCCTGCCCTTGAAAGCCCTGCTAAAGAGAGAAAACATGGGATATCAACCCATCAGTCAAGCTCTCCTCTTCCTCCTCCTCCTCCAAAATGCTGTGGAGTGAAGAATCTATGGATCTCCAGATGTTGCTGGACTCCAACTCCCATTATTCATGACTATTGACCATGCGGGCCAATGGGAGCTGCAGTCCAACCACATCTGGATGGCACCAGGGTCCCCACCCTAGCTGCAGCAGTTACCAGCATGCTGCCATTACATGCTGTAGCTTACTCTATACTTCAGACTTCTCTGTCGTTGCAGAAGGATCAACACAAAACAAGAGGATATAGTGTTTGTGTGTGTGTTGTGTGTATGAACACACTTAAGAACTTTGTAAAATTTCCCAAACATAAAACAGATCTGAAGGAGGTCTTCAAAACAGAAGAGTAGACGCCCAAACAAATCATTCACATCTTTTACTTACACTCACTGCCAGCTTTTGGAATCAGGCATGGCCAATGGTGAGGGGAGGATGGGAGTTGGAAGTCCAAGAACCCCTGGAGAACACCGTATTGGTTCCCCTCAATTTGGAACATCTTCTCCAGGATCACTGATTTGGCCTGCACCACAGCTTGAGCCTTCTGGTGTGGCTGGTGTGCACCATCCCAATCAGGTTAAGGCCAGATCTGGGGGTTGGGGTGGTTGAACAGCCTAAGAAAACTGCATGCATACATAGCACTGAAAGTGAAAGATGTCTAGAAGAGGCCCAGATCTTTTATAAGGCACTCACCACTTTTCTCCACTTCTACAATCTCATCCACCACTCCGCCTACCTCCACCCCCGGCATTCCCTCCTTCTCACCAAACTGCAGAGTCTTAGATAACTTCTGCTCTCCAGGCCTTTCCCCCCTTCTTCTTAAAGGTTGCCAGATGTTCACTGTCAATAGGAAATGGACATGATTTCAAAAACACCTATGAAACAGCCAGCTCTATCCTTATCTCAGTAGAGACCTGTAAAAGGGAGACACCCTCCCCCCACCTTCGATTCTTCCAAAGCATGGATGGGCAATTTGTTTGATGCTGGAAAAGCAACCATGACCACAAGGACTCCAAGCAATTTGATGCCTGTATGATTGACATAGTTTTCACAAAGCTGGCGTGTTCAAGCCGAAAGCTGATGAACACATAGCATTTCCTCTGTGCACCTACTTGTGCCATTTTTAAACTAGCCTGCACATACGCACTCTCACAAAAAGACCTGAATTTGTTCTTTGGAAAAATCATCAGCTCAGATCCTGATTTATACTTAAGACGCAGTAACGGGAATCCTTCCTGGCAAATAAAAGATAGCTTTGGTTTTAGGAAACTGCAAGCCTGAATAGCTTTAGGAAACGGGTTTTGTTTACATTAGGAAACGTGATGACTCTCACCAGCTTCAATCTCCCAGCCAGCTGAGATAAGCAGGAGTTGCGGAATTGCTTAACCCTGAACCTTAAAGAACCTCCTGGGTCAAAACAAATATGTAAGGTTGGGGTCTGTATGCCAGTGGTGGGTGGGGCCATGGCTACATCATCATAATTATCATCATCATTTGTTAAATTTACATTTGGTCCATGCAAAACCCAGAGGTTCCTGCACACGCAGTAGACACAAATGCCTCTCCATCAAAAATCACCTCTCCAAGAAGCATTCTGGTTACATCAACACCTTCCAACTAAAGCACATTTATGCCACTTTTACTGTTATGGCTTCCCCTTAAGAATATTGGGTACTGTAGTTTATCTCCTCATTGAGCTACAATTCCCAGCGCCCTTGACAAACTGCAGTTCCCAGGGTTCTTTGACGGAAGCCATGTGGTTCAATGCACAGGGAGGACGCGACCTATGACAATTAAAAGGCGCATACCAGCCAGGCAAAAAGCACTGAAGAAGGGAATATAACAGGGCCAGTGAGGATATGTGGTTGAAGAAGAGCCCCAAAGGTCAGCGAGATAGGCTTGGTGGGCGGCTCATATACACCCTTAGCATATGTCATGAACTGGCAGGATGACAGGGAAGAGGAAGAGGATCCTGCCGAGAGGTGTAGCTGGGACCGGGAAAACACCGGGGCAAGCAGGGGATGGGGAAGGAAGTACTCACAGGGTGATGAAGCATGACAAGGGGATGCGGGTCAGTGCACAGGAACCAGAGAACTAGGACCCACCACCAGAAACAGAGGGGCCCCTGTTTCCACAGACACACAAGGGGCACTCTAGAAGGCTGAGGCAGGCAAGGGCCCACAACCCAGCACACTAGCTGGCTAGGTGGGGCTTGCTAGCTCTGGGAAGAGGTGTGATTCCTCAGCTGCTGTAGGCTTGGAACAGGTGAAAGGCACCTGCCTCCTCAAGCCCAGATGCTGCAATCAGCATGCAAAGTACCAAAGGGAAGCAGAGCTGAGGTGCTGTGTTTGCTCAACTGCCCATGTTGATGGACCTTGTTTTGGATGCTCCTGGACTTTCATAGGACTGTACTTTGGGTTTGACTCTGGACTGTATCCTGACTGCTGGACTTCAGCCTTGGCTACTTGGATTGACCCTGGCCATTTCCTGACCTTTGGACTTGGGGTTTTGGACTTTGCTTGTGTGGGTTGATCCTTGCACTTTGAACTTTTGACTTGGCATGCTGCCTTGCTGCCAGTTAGGCTAGGGGTTCAGAACAGCTTAGTGTGTGAGAGATCCCAGACATCTCCAGTGCTCTCTCTTCTAAAGGAAACCTGCCCTGTAAAACTGGGGTCCAGGAACCTTTAGCCTTTGCAATGTGCTAGACTATATCTCTCTGCATCCATGATTGCTGGTTTGCCTGCTGGGTCTGCTGGGAGTTAGAATCCACAAACTAAGCAACTCTGTATGTAGTTTATAATATATACAGTGCCAAAATAATAATGGCTTGTGCAATTCAGTATCTCAAAATTGCGCATGCCATTATTATTTTGGCATTATATATATTATTTGAGATTTAATGTAACAGAAGATGGTGAAATTCTGTATATTATTGTTAATGGGTTTTTGTAAACTACATACAGAGTTTGTGATTTATCTCTCTGTGTTCCTTGGGTGTGGTATGGGAGTTATACAGGAATTCATTGATGTGTGATGGTATCTTAACAGCTTTGGCAATTCAGCTGTAAGGTCTTTGAACTGATCTCCAAGCTGAAGTTTGACACGCAGAGGAGTGTGATGGGCATGTTAGGCTTGCCATACACCAGGAGAATGTCCTGGTTTTCGGGCGTAAAAATGGCGTCGGGGGGAATTTTGCTGAATTGGCAAATTGTCAGGGAAAATCTGGATGTAGGGCAATGTGATGGAAAAAGCAACGAAAACAGCTCCAAAATCTTAAAATCATTATTGTTGGGGGAATTCCCCCCCCCAAAAGCTCAACAATTTAGGTGGGTTCCTGGTGTCAGGAATGATGCTTTTTGAAACATGGCAACCCTAGGGCATGTTGCCTGATTTGTAGCTTGCTCATGACTGCCAGTGCAAGATCTACTCCTGGCTGAGAAATCTCACCACCCCATAGGCAAAGCACAACCTCTGAAATGCAACGTACGGATGCAACGTCCATCTTTTGCCAAGCTGAAACATCAGCATAATATGACATTAATAACATTTATTATTTTTATTTCATTTATGTCCCACCTTTTCCTCAAAGGAGCTCAAGGTAGAGCACGTGGTTCTCCCCGTCCTCATTTAATCCCCACTACAACCCTGTGAGGGAGGCTAGGCTGAGAGGCAGCGAATGGCCCAAGGTCAGCCAGCGAGCTTCATGGCCCAGTGTGGGTTTCAGCCCTGGCCTGCTGGGTCCTAGTCTGACACTCAAACCACTATACCACACTGGCTCTCAAATTCAGCCGTCGGAGAGTGGGGGTGGTGAAGGAATTTTAAAATGTGTGTCTTGCAACTTGACGTTCAAACCATGAAATGCAAATTTAATGTCAAACTTGTATCTCCGTGTCATCTTGAATGACGGCACCCACATTCCGTGGCTAACCCTAGATTTGGTGATGGATTTCACTCTCGCCTGGGACAAAGAGGCTCATTCAGGAGATGAAAAGGAAGAAGTGCTTTCTGCCTCTGATGCAGAAGAGTTGTTATGGTCACAAGAAAAGCCCTGCTGCATCAGAGCAGAGGCCCATCTTAGTCTGGCATCCTGCTGACCACAGCAGCCAACCACAAACAGGACATGAGTGCAGCAGCTGATTGTGTTTCCCAGGAACTAGTATTTATAGGAACATAGAATCACAGAATTGTAGAGTTGGATGGGACCCCAAGGGTCATCTAGTCCCATCCCCTGCAATGCAGGAATCCCAACTAAGAGCATCCATGGCAAATGGCCATCCAACCTCTGCTTTAAAAAACCCAAGAAAGGAGAGTCCACAACCTCTCTTACTGCAAGATTATTCTTCCTGGTGTTTGGTGGGAATCTCCTTGGTTTGGGGGGTGTTGTTGTTGTTAAAAAGGTAAAGGTACCCCTGACCATCAGGTCCAGTCGTGACCGACTCTAGGGTTGCGCGCTCATCTTGCTCAAGAGGCCGGGAGCCGGCGCTTGTCTGAAGACAGCTTCCGGGTCACGTGGCCAGCGTGACTAAGCTGCGTCTGGCGAACCAGTACAGCACACGGAAACGCCGTTTACCTTCCCGCTGGAGAGCGGTACCTATTTATCTACTTGCACTTTGACGTGCTTTCGAACTGCTAGGTTGGCAGGAGCAGGGACCGAGCAACGGAAGCTCACCCTGTCGCGGGGATTCGAACTGCCGACCTTGCGATTGGCAAGTCCTAGGCACTGTGGTTTAACCCACAGTGCCACCCACGTCCCGTTGTTGTTGTTAAGTTAATTAAATTTGTATACCTTCTATAACCATAGATCTCAGGACAGTTCACAACATAAAATTGAGATATTAAATACATAGTAAAAATAAAAGCAAAGACAACCCAATACAGTGGTACCTCGGGTTACATACGCTTCAGGTTACAGACTCTGCTAACCCAGAAATAGTACTTCAGATTAAGAACTTTGCTTCAGGATGAGAACAGAAATCGTGCTCCGGTGGCGCGGCAGCAGCGGGAGGCCCCATTAGCTAAAGTGGTGCTTCAGGTTAAGAACAGTTTCAGGTTAAGTACGGACCTCCGGAACAAATTAAGTAATTAACCCAAGGTACCACTGTAACCCCCAATTTCCACAACACATTTTAAAAGGGCATCAGGTGTCATTCAGACAAAGGCCTGGTTAAAAAGGAATATTTTCGCCTGGTGCCTAAAGGTGTATAATGAAGGTGCCAGCCAAACCTCCTGGGGAGAGTGCTCCATAAACGGAGCCAATGCAGAAAAGGCCCGTTCTCATGTTGCCACCCTCCAGACAAAGGAGGAAACAAGCTTGCTCCATCTTCCATGTGAGATATTTGAAGATGGCTATCATATCTCATCACAGTCTGCTCTTTCCCAGGCTAAACATACCCAGCTCACTCAACTGTTCTTCAGAAGGCTTGGTTTCCAGACCCTTAATCATCTTGGTTGCCCCTCTCTGCACACGCTCCAGCTTGTCAACATCCTTCTTAAATTGTGGTTCCCGGAACTGGACGCAATATTCTAGGTGTGGTCTGATCAAGGCAGACTAGAGCGGGACTATTACTTCCCTTTATCTGGACACTACTTCTGCTGATGCAATCTAGAATAGCATTAGCTTTTTCTGCTGCTGCATCACACTGTTGGCTCATGTTAAGCCTATGGTCTACTAAGACCCCAAGATCCTATTCAGATGTACTACTGGCAATCCAGTACTGGTAGAGTGAGAGATTATTTATCTCCTTAGAATCATAGAATTGGAAGATTGGAAGGGGCCCAAGGGTGATTTAGTCCAACCCCATGCAACACAGGAATCACAGCTAGCACAATGTGTTCAGATTAATGTAACATTCTGTCTTTATATTTCTCTCTCCAACCTTCTTCTTTCTAAAATGTCACTTTTTGATTTATTTGACCTATATTATTGAAATGTAAAGTGTGACGTTTATAAAAAAAAAAAAGAAAGAAAGGAAATGGAAATATGTCTTAACACTGACTCTAACCATTGACCAGCTGGCTAAGTGCTGTCTACACTGGCTGCCAGCAACTGTCCTGGGGTGTCAGACAAGGAGTCTTTTTCAGACCTACCAAGAGATGGCAGGGATTGAACCTGTGTTCTTTGGCATGCAAAACAGGTGCTCTGCGCCTGAGCTGGCCCTTGCCTGCCCCATGCTGCCTCTTATTCTGAATGGAATGGGAAGATGATGACTAAGAGCCATTGATAGCCTTGTCCTCCTTGAATTTGGCTTAAAAGTCATTAGGCATCACAACAGAAAACTGGAGAGCCTTTTGTAAACAAATTATACTGTTTCCTCCAGTACTTTGTTCGCTGTGCCTCTTTGTCTCCCACAATTGCCCTGTTGGATTTTCACGAAACTGCTCCCCCCACCCTTATAAATGCTCAAAATGGTTGTCTATGCACCATGCATTCAAAGCATGTTTAATGCACCCCACACAAAGAACATTGGGAACTATAATTCTCACAGAACTATGATTCCCAACGCCCAATGTGAGCTGTAAATGCATGGTGCAACACAGCCAATGTGCAGCCAAGAATTTGTGAGCGTGACTTTCTCAGGTACAGGTGGCCTTTTGAGTTGGGATTTGAAACCTCTATATTCCAAACTTAACTTGGTGGTGGTTCTTCATTCAGGCCAATGGCCACGTTTTGGCTGGGTGGAGTCGTGGCGCTACTTGCTTACCACCCTCTCCTATGTTGATCCATTGGCTTTCCCCTGGGCTCAGATGTGCTGACCCACTCCAAGCAACCCTATAAGCAGGGAGGCTGTCAGCTATTTAAAAAACTGGGGGGCACAGGTTCCTGACACAAATTTGCACCAAGTGGCACACATTGGCATAAAATATGCATATGCTAGTTTCAGCAGGAGCGCGTAACCTCAGGCCTTCGGAGCCAAATGTGGCCCTCCAGACCTTTCTATTTGACCCTTAGAACTTTCCCTAGACTAGGGTTCAGCAACCTTTTTCAGCCGTGGGCCGGTCCACTGTCCCTCAGACCATGTGGTGGGCCAGACTATATTTTTGGGGGGGAAATGAACGAATTCCTATGCCCCACAAATAACCCAGAGATGCATTTTAAATAAAAGAAGACATTCTACTCATGTAAAAACACACTGATTTCAGGACTGTCTGCGGGCCGGATTTAGAAGGCGATTGGGCCGCATCCAGCCCCCGGGCCTTAGTTTGCCTACTCCTTGCCCTAGACCCCATCCCTCAACTGGCGCAGCCTCACACCCTGAGTGTTATGCTTGGCTGGAATGTGTCCTTGGACTCTGATAATGCCTCTTGCTTGCCTTGTTGTTGGCGCCCATCTATCTCGAGAGAGTGCGCCGTCAGAGACAAAGTCAAACTGCATAGTAACCTCTCTGGGGGTGCAAGCCTGGGCAGTGTGTGTGGAGGTCCTGGGCTGCCCAGATGGCAAGACCCCTCCCCTCTCAGCCTCGCTGATGTGGTCCAAAGCAAAGCAGAGCAATACATGTGGCACCAGCTTGGCTGCAGGAGTTGCCAGAAGGAGGTGTACAAAGCACCATCCAACCGCCTTAGGGACCACACTCCGGATTTGTGTAGGGTTTCCTCCTTAAGCCTTTTCTTCTCCTGAAGATGTCTTGCTTTCCTGGATGGAAGATAGGGAGTGGGGTTTGTGAGTGTGTGAAGAAGCCAGCCTACTGTACAAAGGTAACATGTATAATAATTGCACCACCCACCTTTGTCTCTGGCCCCGCCCAGCACTGACATGTGGTTCTCAGAAGGTTGAACAGAAGGGAATGTGGCAGATAAAAGTTCCCCACCTTTGGGATAGGAGATCTGGGGGCTTGGCAAGAAAGACCTGGTTGGTGTTTGCGCCCCTTGGACTACCCCATAGCAACACCCCAGCCTACAAGCTTTTTTCTGCTTGGGGGCAAAAGATGATTCATGCTGCCGACTCATTCATTTCCAAGCCCTTCCTGGCTATTTTCCCACCTCTCGATCCCATCTGGTTTCCAGCGCTTCTTCCCAATGCTGACATCCACCCCACTCTCTGTCCCAGCAAGAGTTCCTCAGGTCGAGGAGAAATGCTTGGGGGATGAGTCGGAGAAGGCGATAAAACTGTTCAGACAAACCTTTTCTCTGTCTTTCCATTTTTGGCATTGATGCTCACCAGAAGAAAAAGGACCTGCTTCTTCTCAACGGTTCAGCCAGACTAGAATATAGGGTGTTTTTTTAAAAAAATAATTTTTTTAAGGCGGCTGTGCTTATTCCCTTTCTAATATGGTCAGCCAAACAGGAATTTCATTTCAAAATGGGTCATAGCTCCATAGTGGAGGGAATGTCCAAGATGCTCGAGATCTGAAGTCCATCTTCGGGTTTTGTTTTTCTGAAAGATCAGGTAGTGCAGGGGTGGGGAACCTGTGGACCCCAGAAGCTGCTGGACTCCAGTTCCCGCAAGCCCCAGATGGCATGGCCAATAGTCAGGGATGACGGAAGATGTAGGCTTTGTACCCAGCATCGTTGATGCACTCTCACTGCCAATGTCAGAAGCAAAAGTACACATGGCATCACCCACAATCCTTATATACATCTTATAGTTTCATCCCATGTCACACGTCCAGCTTCCCAAATAACTAGTGTGCACAGTTGCTCCTTCTGATGCCCTTGTCTCCATCAGGCAACATTGCTGCGATTCCTTGGAAGGGCGCTTTTTTTCCTTTTCTATTTTTGATACTTTCCTGATTCCAGAAGCTATCGAACTCCTGTAGAACCACTTTCCCATTGACAGGGCTTTCTAGCCAGTTCTGTACAAGTTCGCTTACTATCCTCTCATCTAGGCTGCTCTCTATTTTGATGAATCAGCGGTGAAATGGAAACAGGAGGCCCATTTCCCAAAGCTGTGGACTTCATGAGAGTCAACCAAGTTTGGGCCCCTTGGAGCTTTTTGGTGGGCCAGAGCGTAACTCTTTGTCACCATCTAGTGGGCGAAGCAAACAGTTGTATCCAGGCCAGGGCAGCATCTCATGTGAGGAGGCTGCATTAGAAAGCAGTCCCAGCGCATCTTCAAACAGGACGTCAGCTTGCCACAGACCCAGTTCCTCCCTAAATGGCCTCGGCCCACTATACCTGAAGGAGTGTCTCCACCTGCATCATTCTACCCGGACACTGAGGTCCAGCGCTGAGGGCCTTCTGGCGGTTCCCTCACTGCGAGAAGCCAAGTTACAGGGAACCAGGCAGAGGGCCTTCTCGGTAGTGGCACCCGCCCTGTGGAACGCCCTCCCACCAGATGTCAAAGAGAAAAACAACTACCAGACTTTTAGAAGACATCTGAAGGCAGCCCTGTTTAGGGAAGCTTTTAATGTTTGATGCATTACTGTATTTTAATATTTTGTTGGAAGCCGCTCAGAGTGGCTGGGGAAGCCCAGCCAGATGGGCAGGGTTTATTTATTTATTTATCAATCATTATATTCCATCTTTCCTCCAAGGAGCTCAAGGTGACATGAACGGTTCTTCCCCACCCCAATTTTATCCTGACAACAGCCCTGAAAGGTAGGTTGGGTAGATTAGTTGAGAGGTGGTGAATGACCAAAAGTCACCCCATTGGAAGACCAGGGTTCAAATCCATACTCAACAGCAGGACATGATGTGTGCCGGGATGAGTGTGACCTAACCACCTGTGGGGTTGGTCCGGCCTATGATACTTTTTCAAGGGTCTTAGTGAACCACAAGTTTAACATGAGTCAACAAGTGTGATGCAGCAGTAAAAGATGCTAATGCTATTCTAGGCTGCACCAACAGGAGTATAGGGTCCAGACCAAGTGTTCAATTTTGAGCACCACAATTTAGAAGAATATTGACAAGCTGGAATGTGTGCAGAGAGGAGTGACCAAGATCATCAAGGGTCTGGAAACCAAGCCTTATGAGGAATGGTTGAAGGAGTTGGGTATGTTTAGTCTGGGAAAAGAGCAGACTGAGAGGAGATAGGATAGCCATCTTTAAATATCTCAAGGGCTGTCACATGGAAGATGGAGCAAGCTTGTTTTCTCCTGCTCTGGAGGGTAGGACCCAAACCAAATGGATTCAGGTTACTACAACAGGAGATTCCGACTAAACATCAGGAGGAACTTTCTGAAAGAGCTGTTCGACAGTGGAACAGATTCCCTCAGGGGGTTGTGGATGTTATATTCTTATTTCATGGAAGTTTTAAAGCAGAGGTTGGATGGTCACCTGTCATGGATGCTTTAGCTGAGATTCCAGCATTGCAGGGGGTCAGACTAGGTTGCCGTTGGGATTTCTTCCAACTCTACAGTCCTATGATTTTATGATACTCCTGTTATGATTATTACTATTAGTTTAATAATTGCCATCTACACAATAGTCTCAAGGTGATGTTCAATACAACCAAGAAAAAACACTTGAAACCACACAAAAAACCACAGATACCTTTAAAAGAAAACAAAAACAGTACAAAACCGACACTCATGGCATAGACCCATTTATCCAGCTGGAACTGCCTGTCGGAACAAGAATGTCTTCAATTGTTTCCGGAAAGTGCAAAGAGTGGGAGCTTGCCGTATGTTGAGAGGAATGCTATTCCACAGAACGAGGGCAGCCTGGAAGTCCCTGTTTGACAAGCTTCTGAAATCTTTGGAACTTGCGGGATATGTTCCTGCAGACCATAGTGATCTACTGACTATTTAAGGGGTAAAGGGGTTTATTAAGTAATGGGCCAGCCACCACTGTGACACCACACAAAATGCCTCTGCTAAAGGACTCTGTACATAACATTCTTCTTGGGTCATTGTTGGGGAAAACAATGGCTTAGGGCAGCCATTTTGCCACCGCCCATGTCCCTGGCAGGTCCTGACTTTCGTTATAATCATGAAAGGTTATTATGTTTGAACGTTCCATTGCACTTTATCAATAACGGGTTGGGGGAAGCAAGTAACACATCTGCCTCAAACGATCAATGACTCAAAAGCTGTGTCTGTTTTCGGAACCCATAGAATATTCCAACAATCCCTCTTGCATCAGCATGCTTAAGACTTTGCCATTTACCTGTGGCATTTTTAATTATTGCCTTCTTGTTTGTCTGTTGGTGTCCTGCTGTAATTTTAATAAAGGTAAACGTAAAGGGACCCCTGACCATTAGGTCCAGTCGTGGCCGACTCTGGGGTTGTGGCCAGCATGACTAAGCTGCTTCTGGTGAACTGGAGCAGAGCACGGAAACGCCGTTTACCTTCCCGCCGGAGCGGTACCTATTTATCTACTTGCACTTTGACGTGCTTTCAAACTGCTAGGTTGGCAGGAGCAGGGACCGAGCAATGGGAGCTCACCCCGTCACGGGGATTCGAACCGCCGACCTTCTGATCGGCAAGTCCTAGGCTCTGTGGTTTAACCCACAGCACCAATAAATTATAATAATAATAAATTTTTATTTATACCCCGGCCTCCCTGGCCAGGGCTGGGCTCAGGGCGGCTAACACCAAATGTGAATTACAATAAAACGTAATAGAAAACAACAAACAAACAAACAATTAATTAAAATACGGCTTAAAATACAGCTTAACTGTGCGATTCTCAGCATCTGCTTCAGACTGACGTGGAGCATTTGCTTGCACCATTCTGCTATTTTATAATGGGAGCAGCTAATAAATCGTTTAAAGGAAATAAATAAAAATAGATGCCATGGACTTTTAACATGCCCCTTGAAAAGAACTGGGCCCCAAATGGCATTCGCCGCATGCAAAATGTGGAATAAACTGTTTGCATTCCACTTTGCCATCAAGAAGACTCCTGAGAAGTGGCTCTTCTGTTGGGTGGAGGGCTCTGGTTTGCTTTTTGCTGTTTTCGGGAATTGGGGGGAGGGAGGGGGATGGTGTTCAAAGGCGCTGTTGAAGCCCCATGAGCTGGAAGATGCAGTCAGACCGTAAACTTGGGTGGTGCAGCTCCCTGCAGCTGGGACACCACCCAGGCTTATAATTATCTCTAATTCCTCCCCTGCTGCTGCCACTGTGTTAACGATGCCCGCAGCTGCATGCTGAAGGGGCAATTAATTGCCTAGCCCACGTAACCGTGGTTACGGGAGGGATATACAGCCGGTGGGTAAAGATGGAAATCGGTTGATCTGAAGCAGCAACAGAAAAGACCGACTGACTCCGGGACAGAGCTGGCAAGAGCTGTTTATTACCAACGGGAATCCTTGCGCAGGGTTCTCAGCCTCCCTTTGAGGGAAATCGAGGTGGCAATCAGGCGAGGCTGCGTCGTGTCCAGCAGGTGTGGATGGGCTCCGAGCATCTGGGATCGACGTTCCTTTTTCCTGGGACCACCGAAATCCACCAATGGCAAAATAGTGGCTTGGGGCAGAGCCATGTGCAAGCTGGTGGCTCAGGGGGAGAGCCAGTGTGGTGTAGTGGTTAAGAGCGGTGGACTCGTAATCTGGGGAACCGGGTTCGCTTCCCCGCTCCTCCACATGCAGCTGCTGGGTGACCTTGGGCTAGTCACACTTCTCTGAAGTCTCTCAGCCCCACTCACCTCACAGAGTGTTTGTTGTGGGGGAGGAAGGGAAAGGAGAATGTTAGCCGCTTTGGGACTCCTTAAAGGGAGTGAAAGGCGGGATATCAAATCCAAACTCTTTTTCTTCTTCTTCTTCTACTGCAGTGTGCCTTACAAACCATGGCGCTGGGATGCTTTGCAGATACAGGATGCTTAAAACATTGCCTCGCTCCCTGCATACCCTAAACAGTTCCTACGTTCTGCAGGAGAGGGCCTTCGCAGATACCATCAGGAGGCCCATTGCAAAATGTTGAAACCAGTCCTTCGGTGTGCTACAATGGCAGATATTGGCGCTTCAAATTTCAGCAGTGCCTGCCCTGTGCGATGCCTAAATCCGGTGTCCCCAGCCTCTCGCCTTCCATTGGAGAGCCCATCAGACAAATGTTCCTCCTTCAATGCACCATCTAAAATCTTTCTCCCAGTTGGTATCTGTCTTTAGTCTGAATCGATTTTATGTATGCGCTGTTGTTGTTTTAAACCACAATTCTCTTTTTTTTAGAAAAGAAAAAGTTTTCCTTATGCAGTTGTTTTACATGTGCTATTGCACATCGCTTCGGGATGCCTCACGGGAAGTGATTCATAAATGAAATCATCTCCATCTATTACAGATCAGGAATTCCAATCGCCTCTTTTTGCCCTGGGGGAGGGAGGGGGCTATTGGTAAACAACTGGAACTCCTGGCAGAACTCCTGGCAGAAAATCCCCCTGCCCTGTACCAGAAGAGGACAATGATCTGTCTCCTGTACAGAGCGTTGTGCCATTCTCTTTTTTATATATAATGTGCTTTTTTCACATGTGCTTCAGGTGTTGTGGTCAACACTCAGCAAGCTGATGTGTGCAGACCCAGCAATCAACACACAGACAGATAGGGGACATCTTGGTCTAAGGGAGAATTTCCTCAGAAAAAGAGCTGATCCCAAATCAGAGGGCTAAGAGGGGCTGCTGGAAGCCCCCTAGCCCCTTGTGCCACCTTACAACTGTTAATCTAATAGCGCAGCAAGCAAGGTGCCTAGGTATGGTTGCCAGGGCAGAGTCTACTATCCAAGCCAGGATCTGATTTCCTTGCATTATTTCAGCCTTAGTACAGCACCCCTTAGGGGACGCAGGTGGTGCTGTGGATTAAACCGCAGAGCCTAGGACTTGCTGATCAGAAGGTCGGCGGTTCGAATCCCCGCGACGGGGTGAGCTCCCGTTGCTCAGTCCCTGCTCCTGCCAACATAGCAGTTCAAAAGCACATCGAAGTGCAAGTAGATAAATAGGTACTGCTCCGGCGGGAAGGTAAACGGCGTTTCCGTGCGCTGCTCTGGTTAGAAGTGTGGCCTGGCGAGAGGGGGTGTGGCTGAGGAGGGGTGTGGCTTAGGGGGAGAGAGAGGTCAGGAGGCCAAATTTCGTCCCTGGGGCTGAAGGTCCCCAAACCTTATTTAAATAAGTATGCTGCTATGCCCCCTTTCTGGGCAGCATTAGAGCAATTGTATTCCAAAGCTGTTTCTGCAGAAAAGCTTTAGATTCAGCACTAAATTAGAGGCAGTTGTTTGTTGTTTTGTTTATTTAACAAATGTATATCTCAAGTTTAAAAAAGAAAAAAAATGAATTATTCATATTTTGCAAAGCGCATACAGTGGTACCTCAGGTTAAGTACTTAGTTCGTTCTGGAGGTCCGTTCTTAACCTGAAACTGTTCTTAACCTGAAGCACCACTTTAGCTAATGGGGCCTCCTGCTGCTGCCGCACCGCCGGAGCACAATTTCTGTTCTCATCCTGAAGCAAAGTTCTTAACCCGAGGTACTATTTCTGGGTTAGCAGAGCCTGTAACCTGAAGCGTATGTAACCCGAGGTACCACTGTAATTCCTTAGCATCTGTTGTTTTGACTGTTGTTATGCCTTCCAGCCATACTGCCACAGGCTGTGGGTCATGAGGCTCTTAATCTCAGGGTCCTGGGTTTGAGCCCCACATTGGGCAAATGATTGCTAGATCATGGTCCCTTCCAACTTTACAATTCTATCATTCTGTCATGTGCACGCTGACAGTCATATGATACACTCCACAACTGAGTTGTTTCTGGTTAAAGAAATGTGAGCGACGAAGAGTGGTGGCTGCTGCCCAGTGGGGCTAGTGGGGTGGAACATAGAGAGGCTAAGAGAAGGTGGAGCCAGGGCCAAAGATAGACGGAGCCAGCTAATAGGTGGAGCCTGCTGAGAGCAAGGAAGAGGAAACCGATTGGCAGTGGTACCTCTCTGGGGAGGCAGGTGGGGGCTGGCTGAGGGCAGATTGAGTTTCGTGGGCCCAAATCAACTTGCCTCCACTGCTGGTACCTGACTGCAGCCCCTGGATCTACTTTGGTGTTTCTGCCAGCAAAGCTAGCTTAGCCTATGGCAGCATTGACAAAACCACCGGGGCCTGGTTGAAGAGGAACGTTTTCTCCCTGTTTTGCAGTCGTCACTTTTATGTTGTGAACTGCCTTGAGATCCAGAGATGAAGGGCAGTATACAAATTTAATAAATAATAAAATTAAAAATATCCATACACGCACTCCCCCAGCCAATTACCTGTTTCTTCCATACTTCCTAGTCTTTTCTATTCACTACTTTCTTTTTATCTCATCCCCTTCCTTTCTATTTACAGCTTCTTCGCTTGTTCATCACCACCACTGTCATCATCAGCAGCAACAAATCTTTGTCTCCTTCCCAGATGGCCTTTAACCCCTCCTCTGGCTTTCCCCCCTCGGAGTAGGGAGACCTTGCTCTCCTTGTCCACGAACTCCTCTGTCTCCTGGCTACCTTTACTCAGCACAAAAGGGGCTGTTGGTGCTGACATTAGTCCAGCCAAAAGGCTGTGGCAAAGCCCCAGGGTGTCGGGCAGGCAACGGAGGAGGCCCTGGGCAGGCTGTGGCACTGCGAGGCCCTTGCCCCCTGAAAGTGGGAAGGGTGGGGTCAATGAAGTATTTAATTCACTCTTCATGGGATCAGACGCATTTGCCTAACAAGGCTCAGACAGCTTTGGAAAAGCGGCTTCCATATTATTTCTTGGTCTCTTGCCTCCCCTTTGTGGTCAAAAGGTGCAAGTGCAGAGCCATCAAATCGGGGAGAAGGCATGCATGATGATGAAATGTTAGACTGAAGATGTGCTATTTTAAATCACATTGGAAGCACCATCATTCCCTCGAAGAATTCTGGGCAAGGGAAGTTTACCCGTTCACTGAGTTACAATTCCCAGAGCTGGTCCACCTCCTTACCATGGCGTTGCCTTTGTGGAAATCATTGGGGAAGAGGATGGGGTCAAAACTAGAATTAGTTGCCTCTTCCTGTCATTGGCTTCCTCCCTTTCCATCCACCCTACCAGCCCTGTAGTGGTAGCTGCTCTGTTTGCGTAAATGGGGCTCTACCCCACTAACCTCAGTTGGCCTTCTGCCAGCAGCCACCTGCCTGACTTCCTACTTACCTCCAGTCCAGGGGGGTGGGGTGGAGCTGGTTGCAATCTTCCTCCTCCTAAGTCTCAGCATTGCCCCTTGTGGACTTCAGCAGGGAGAAAGGGGACAGAGACAAAACTAGAATGAACTAGCTCTGCCCGCTATTGGCTGGGGCTCCACCTGCTGTTAGCTCTGGCGCCCCCTACAGTTGGGCTCCCTGTCTTCTGCCCTATCAATCTCAATGGGCACCAGCCACTGTTGATGTTCCTCCCACCTGCCGTTTTCTCTCTTATCCCCCGCTCTCTCCTCCCCCCTCCCCCTATAATTTCCTGTTTATTCCACATAGCAGGAGAGAATGGAGACTTTTGTGATGTCATGCTTACAGCCAGGCTTTCATGATATTAGAATGCTGAGGTCACAATTCAAGAGGGAGGAATGGTTTCGTAGGTGGTGGACTTGACGCTGCACGCACAATGGTTGAACGTCGTAAGAGCTCTCTGGTGAGATCCTGGGGGTTGATTTCTCGCAACTTCAGGAAGCCGCAGAGTTTGCCCTCCTTCTCTTTGTGGAGCAGCAGAAACCTTTCTTCCCGCTGACCTTTCTTCTCCCCAGAGAAGCAGTGGCAAATTTTGACTTGCAGGACCTCATCTCGAAAGCTGCTATGGCTCCAAGGATTGCATATTCCCTTAGGTTCGAAGCTAGACTAAAGTTGAAATTAAAAGTTTTTCTCATGCTTGTGGCATGACTGCAATCCTGCGCTTAGTTACTAGGGAGAAAACAGGCCAAGCTTTCTGTTAGAAATGCTAAAAAAACCTCAAAACCCTGTTGCAAGGAGGTGTCACCACTTACACTGCTAGCATGAAGCAGGAACCCCATCAAATAAAAGGAAAGCAGTATCCGGCTTCTACTGGATTGCTTGCTTATTCTGTGACTTTGAGTACTTTCAGACTGCAGTAAATTTGCAGGTGGGATTCAATGGCATGCCAGCACATTTGGGTTCCACAGTTAAGGTGAATTTGCAGGTCTTGTGCAACCAATTCACTTCCCTAAAAATAAAATAAAACCCAGATCTTTTTGCAATAAGGAAAGTGGCAGGGAAAATGCTCAATAAAGAGGTGATCTGGAAGTGACCTTTCTCTGTGCTAATCTGTCACAAGCCATAGCAAAACTTGAAGGCCTCATTAGCACCTTATTCATTTGCTAGATAAAGGAGGGCCTGGCAGTTGGCCTGGAGATCCTGTGGATGATGCCTTCACTTTTGCTCTGGAAACAAGTCCTGGAACTGCAGTTCCAACACATTTCCCTTCCATTACACCAGTTCTCGGCTCCCATCCCAGCACAATACACATTTGATATAGCTGAAATCCTTGTATCTCACTCACCTTCCAGTCCTTCCATCTTTCTGATGCTCCCCATGAGGCTAAATGATTTTTGTGGGGCTGGAGCAATTTGGAGAGAGGGATGTGAAGATGAAGCATATCCTCCAATGGATGGAAATAGGGGCACATCCTTGTAACATCCCAGTTCTCATCTTACCAAGGATCATTTCCTCAATCCCCAGCATATTAGGTAAAGGTAAAGGGACCCCTGACCATTAGGTCCAGTCATGGCCGACTCTGGGGTTGCGGCGCTCATCTCGCTTTATTGGCCGAGGGAGCCAGCGTAGAGCTTCCGGGTCATGTGGCCAGCATGACTAAGCCTCTTCTGGCGAACCAGAGCAGCGCATGGAAACGCCGTTTACCTTCCCGCTGGAGCGGTACCTATTTATCTACTTGCACTTTGACGTGCTTTCGAACTGCTAGGTTGGCAGGAGCAGGGACTGAGCAATGGGAGCTCACCCCGTCATGGGGATTCAAACCACCGACCTTCTGATCGGCAAGTCCTAGGCTCTGTGGTTTAACCCACAGCGCCACCTGTGTCCCTCCCCAGCATATTACACATCACAAAAAACCAGGTCCTGTCTGTTGTATGCTGCATATATTGACCCTATACGTGCCTGTTCTCCACTGACATAAAAAACCAACCACCTCTGTGCTTTGCATTAGAGATAGGTCAGAAAAACAAAGTCTTAGTAGATTGATTAGAAGGTTGTTGTTCTCCTAGTAGGGATGGGGACCCCCAGGCCCAGAATGTGGCCCTCAGGACGTCTCTGTCTGGCCCTTGGGACTCTTCTCTGCCTCCCTGCTGCCCCCCCTCACTGGTCCTGCTTTGCAGTCTCCTTGAGTGTTTTCGCCTGGATGGATTGCAACCTTGAACTCTGGCAGTGCCTCTTGCTTGCCGGGATGGAGGGTAGAGGGTGTGTGTGTGTGTGTGTGTGTGTGTGTGTGTGTAAAACTCACATTCCTTCCCCTGCCTGGAAGGAGGACGTGTGTCAGTGTGTGTAAAACTAGGCCACTGTTCAAAGGTAGAAATGGCATTTATTGCTCCCACACACTTTTGCCTCTGGCCCTGCCCTCTACTGGCATTCACCCCCCATCAGGAATGTGACCCTCGATATGAAAAAATGTTCTCCCCTTATGATATGCATGTTCAATATGTTTAGCCTGCTCCCACAAGAGTCTTTGTGTTTTCCTGTCTCCCAGGTGGTTGACGTAGGCGGTCAGGGACTTATTACTGAAGCAGAAGTCCCCGAGATCAACTGCAGATATGTCACTCGTAGTCAGGTATTCTCCTCCCCCCCCTCCCCCGCCTCTCCTCTCCAAGGCTCAATCTCTTTGCTTGTTGTTTGACTTTATTCCAGAGCTCCCTGAACTTTCTCCCCCCCCCCCCAGGTTTTGTTTCTTTAAGTTTTTATTGTTAAAATAATTCAGCATTAATACACACATATTGCGAATATACAAGCATACATTTCATACAGTCCTTTAAAATGTTCAAACATACCTACAGTCAATCCCACAGATAATTCCTTTTCCCATCACCATCCACCACCCCTCACCCCACCTTTGTGTTAGACTTCCAATCTACTCAATTGCAATTTCTTTCCACTTCTATTGCTTTCTTTCACACAGCTTTAACCTAATTTCATGCTTCTTTTTCTATTACACATTGTTATCCATCTTATTTAGTATTTCAGTATTTAAAACAGAACTTGTTTATTCTAATAGGAGTTCTGATTTTTCGATATGGTTTTGCAAGTATCCTTTAAACACCTTCCAGTCCCTGTCTATCTTCTCTTTTGAGATCCTTCCAATTTCTCCCATTGTTTTGGATATATTGTAGTACTGCAGTTATTTGGCAAGCCACTCTATTTCTGTCGGTATAATACCACTTTTCCAATTTTTCTCAATCGATAGCCTTGTTGCTACTGTTGCGTATAAATATAATGTCTTGTCTTCTTCCTTTAGACTTCCTGGTACTATTCCCAATAGAAAACCTTCTGGTGTTTTCCTAAATGAATATCTGAACATTTTTTTTCATTTCGTTATATATTGTTTCCCAAAATTGTTTGATGTTTAAACAGTTCCACCATATATGTATCATAGTACCTTTTCCAGTGTTGCATCCCTGAATTCTCATAAGAGCCCTGGTCCATCTGGTCCAGAATCCTGTTTTCCACAATGGCCAAGCTGTTGGCTATTTTTTTCTGAGTCCTGCAGAGTGATTCAGCAGTTTTACCCTCAAAGCCCTAGGGATGAAGTAGACACCACACACAAGACTTTGAAGACGACTCTTTACTTGCAGGATGGCATCTATTTACAAGCAGTGTCATACATATATACTAAGTCCGATGCAATGCCTTTTGCTCTCTTGAGCCCAAGAGAGTGTCTTCTTGCTACTTACTGTAAACGCCTGTGAAGCAGTCCAAGCTATAAATTATAGCTCTTCTGTCCTCACCAACTCCTCCAGACACAACGACTTCACACTCAGAAAAACACTGGCAAAACAGGGGAACAACCAGCCTTCCTCCAATTCCCACCCCTACCTAAGACACACACATGCTCACTTTTAAAGGGAGTTAACAAACTGACAAGGCAATGATTCAGTGTTTCTGTGACCTTAGTTGGAGTCACAAGATTTTGCAGCTCTTGCATTGCATTGCATTGGTTTTCTTTCTCCCGGTACAATTTATTCTTTGTAAAATACATTTTCGAATGAATACAGTACAAATACTAACAGTGGCCAAGCCAGAGTCGGCTCAAGATGTTTTGCTGCTTGAGGTGAAATAAAAGGTGGTTCCCTTCCCCAAGGCACAGACAGAAGCCAACTGGGTTGGTAAAAGGTAAAGGGACCCCTGACAATTAAGTCCAGTTGCGAACAACTCTTGGGTTGCCGCGCTCATCTCGCTTTACAGGCCAAGGGAGCCGGCGTTTGTCCGCTTCTGCAGACAGTTTTTCCGGGTCATGTGTCCAGCATGACTAAGTCGCTTCTGGCGAAACCAGAGCAGCACACAGAAACACCATTTGCCTTCCCGCCGCAGTGGTACCTATTTATCTACTTGCACTGTGTGCTTTTGAACTGCTAGGTTGGCAGGAGCTGGGACCGAACAACAGGAGCTCACCCCGTCACGGGGATTTGAACCGCCAAGCTTTCGATCGGCAAGCCCAAGAGGCTCAGTGGTTTAACCCACAGCGCCACCCACATCCCTCAACTGGGTTGGTAGCTGACTATTACTCCAATAGTCGGGAAGGGCAATGCCTTCTACTGCAGTTGAGGGCAGCAGTCTAGCCTAGGGAGTACATAGCACTACAGCTCTGGACACTGCACAGACATCAGAATCTGCCACCTGAGGCTGCTGCCTCACTCTGCCTCATTGCAGGGCTGGCCGTGGGCCAAGCAGATGTCCATGGGAAGCTTACAAGCAGGACATGAGCTGGTGTTCCCCAGCATTCATAGACATGCTGACTCAGATACTGGAAGTATTGCACAGCCATTGTGGGATTTTAATGGGCTTCGTAAAACCAGAAACTCAGCGCAGGAGCCCCCTGATCATCTTCAAATGCAGTGTCGGTTGAGTCATGCATGTTTCCTCCAGTGTAAAAAAAAGAAAATAAAGGATATAAACAAACATTTTCAAGGACCACTTGGTTTGATCTCTGGGTTTGCTTTACAGTAAAATCTCCTTTATTACTAGACCAGCTGGAATCATTTAACTCTTTTGCTAATACCAAGGTGGTTCTGTTGCCTTCCCTTGCCGTGTTAAGAGCTAAACTCTTGTCAACATGCCTATTATTCTGCGAGACATATTATGCAGCAGATTACATTGATGATAGGAGCAAATATTAGACTTTTCCCAATGTTGATAATATTTAATTGGATTGAGGACGATGTGTCTGCAGAACATACTTTGTAAATTATTGTAACACAAATCTGAGAAATATTAGGCTTGAAATATGTTCATTTATGTACATAAAATTTGTGGAACTCTCTAAATAAATAAATAAATAAATAAATAAATAAATTAAAGAAGAGATCTTCTTTATGCAGCTCTTAAGTGCATTGCACTATTTTGTTTTATTTTATTTTTTTTAAAAAGGTTTGCTCAGCTTCTAGCTGTTGTTGGGCCCAATACGTCAAGTTAAAAACAAAACAAGCTAAAAACAAACAAACCTTGGACTGAGAGGGTGAGGCAAATAAAACTGTTTTCAAAAATGCTTTAGAACCACTCTTGAACACACCAACTTTTGAGCAAAATCTAAGCAGACCACCTTTCTCATTTGTTTATTTATTTATTACACTTATAAACCTCCTTTTCCTCCAAGGAGCTCAAAGTAGCACCCATGGTTCTCCTTTCCCATTTTATCCTCACACAAACCCTGTGAAGTAAGTTAGGCTGTGAGGCAGTGGCTGGCCCAAGGTCAACCCAGTGAGCGTCGTGGCAGAGTAGGGATTTGAACCCTGGGCTTCCAGGTCAGAGCCCAGCACTCTAACCTTTACACCACACTGGCTAGCGACAAAGGCAAAGAAGATCCATGTAGGTAACTAAACAAGATTCACTGACGCTCCAAGGTTTCTGTTTTGTTTGTAAATGTAGCCATTAGGACAAATCTTGATTCAGGGAGAAGTTCTACTTGGTGCGAGCTCAGTTGTCATAATCGGCTCTTGAAGAGTCTCCTAAGGTCTTGCCTTCCCAGGAACCGCTGCAGCCTCCACCTGTGCTGTAGTATCGCCCACCTTCTGTCTCCACCATCTCAGGAATAGCCACAGCTCCACCTGCTGCCTCCAAAATAGCCACCTTTGTATCCACAGGAAGGTCTCCCTGCATGATCACCTCTGATCTGAGGCCCATCACCAGACTCTCCATCAGTAGTGTAGTGATAAATTCAGAAGGGATCATGCTACAGAGAAAGACAGAATCAGGCAGAGACGGGAAGGTGCAGTTCCTACATTTTGAGTTCCTATGCCCAGCCTGACTGACACCCCCACAATTCTGCTCCTCCCCACAACAGGATGACTGGGACGTGGAAGAGTTTATCTCGAAAACATGCATGGGGACATTCCTCCGTCATCCAGCCTTCAGGCTGCTACTGGCCAGCTTCATCATCCTCAACGCCATCACTATTGCTGTGCGAACAGAGCCAACGTTAGAAGAGGTGAGTTTTGACACACCTATCCAGTGCAGGGCCAAAGGACCACCAAGTGTTAAATGGGCACAGCACACCATTGACTCAGCCTTATTCCCCCTTTGTTATCCCTTTGACTCTCTATTTCAGTGGTAGGGAACCTGTTGCCCTCCAGATACTGCTGGACTACAACTCCCATCATCCCTCACCATGGGCTAAGCTGGTTGCGACCGATGGGAGCGGGAATCAAATAATGTCTGCAAGGCCACAGGTTCCTGAACCCTCCTCTGTTGACCGGGTACCAGTGGACTGTATGAGTTGCATCCAACTATGGCTTCCTTAGAGTAGACCCATTGCAATTAACAGAGCCCCCTATTGGCACTCTACATTTAATGCAGTCTCATGCCACTTTAAACATGTATAAAGATAAAGGTAAAGGGACCCCTGACTATTAGGTCCAGTCATGGCCGATTCTGGGGTTGCGACGCTCATCTCGCTTTATTGGCCAAGGGAGCCAGCATACAGCTTCCAGGTCATGTGGCCAGCATGACTAAGCCGCTTCTGGCGAACCAGAGCAGCGCACAGAAATGCCATTTACCTTCCCACTGGAGCGGTACCTATTTATCTACTTGCACTTTGATGTGCTTTCGAACTGCTAGGTTGGCAGGAGCAGGGACCGAGCAATGGGAGCTCACCCCGTTGTGGGGATTCAAACTGGCAAGTCCTAGGCTCTGTGGTTTAACCCACAGCACCACCCGCATCCCTTTAAACATGTATGGCTTCCCCCGTATGGCTTCCCCCAAAGCATCCTGGGGAAAGTAGATTGTCATGGGGGCTTCTGAGAATTGTCAGGAGATGCCTATTCACCTCCCAGAGCTACAATTCCCAGAGTTCTTTAACAGTCACACCCTCTTCCCAGGGAACTGAGATTTTAAGGGCCAGATAGAGAGGTCTGGAGAGCCACAAATCCTGGGCCTGAGGTTCACCACCCCTGAGCTACACCTTCTGTTTCAACGTTGTATCTGAGGCTTTAGGGCACAGGTGGGGAACCCTGCTCAATTTGGAGGCCATGTTCCCATTTTGGGCAACCTTCCAGGGAGCACACAGCAGTGGTAGGTGGGGCCAGAGTCAAAAGTGGGTGGAGCAACAAATGCAAATCTTCTAGACAAGGTCACACCCCCTCCATCTAGTTCAGGGGTCAGCAACCTTTTTCAGCCGTGGGCCGGTCCACTGTCCCTCAGACCATGTGGTGGGCCTGACTATATTTTTTGGGGGGGGGGATGAACGAATTCCTATGCCCCACAAATAACCCAGAGATGCATTTTTAATAAAAGGATACATTTTACTCATGTAAAAACACGCTGATTCCCAGACCGTCTGTGGGCCGGATTGAGAAGGCAATTGGGCCGGATCCAGCCCCCAGGCCTTAGTTTGCCTACCCCTGATCTAGACAGGCAAGAAAGCTCAGGGTTCAAGGACACATTCCAGCCAGGCGAAAACACCCAAGGAGGATGTGATGGAGGGCTGGCAAGGGGTGTCATCTGGAGAGAGGGGTTGTGGCTGAGTTGTGGCCTGGGCTGAGTCCAGAGGGCCAGACTGTGAAGCTCGGAGGGCCGCACCATACCGTACAGGGTCCTGCACCATACACCTCACAGTGAGAATGAGAAACATGACATGGAAAATGCATATCTGCTGCTGCCTTTGTGTTGGAAGAAAGACCTGCTTCCTGCTGCAAGGCCCATTTTCACCTGGCCTAGGGGCCCAGACTCACTCTGAATAGCTAAAAGAGGCTCATGGGAGGCCACTGGGACATTGCTGGAACAAACCTTGGGTTGGGGCAAGTGGCTAAAATGTTTTCAAATGTTTTAAACGGTTAGAATTTTGGTTCCTCTGTTCCATTTTTGTCAGGTTGGTGTTGGTTAAATGTTTAGTTGGGATTGGTGGTTACTTTATTTTGAATATACAATGGAACTTCGGAAGCCAAACGCCTTTGAACTTGAATGTTTCGGCTCCCAAATGATCAAAACCCAGAAGTGATTGTCCCGGTTTTCGAACAATTTTCGGAAGCCGAACGTCCAGTGCAGCTTCTGATTGGCTGCAGGACGCTCCTGCAGCCAATCAGAAGCCACACCTTGGTTTTCGAACTGTTCTGGAAGTCGAACGGACTCCTGGAACGGATTCAATTCAAAAACCAAGGTACAACTGTAACTGTAAGCTGGTTGTTGTTGTTGGTGGTGGTGGGTTTTATTGATTTGTTTGTTGCTTGTATAGGATATCTTGTTTTTTAATATTTGATGTTTTGTTGTGTTTTATATGTTGCAAGCCACCCAGAGCCAGATGGGCACGATATAAATTATTTATTTATTTATTTATTTATTTATTTATTTATTTATTATTATTATTAATCTAGGGAGACTGCCAACTTTGTTCTTTCCTTCCTCTACTGTAGAAATATTTTGGGTTCTTCTCAGCCATAGATATGATTGTCATGTCTCTCCTTTTCTGCGAAGTAATCCTCAACTGGTACTATGGCTTCTCCTTATACTGGAAGGTGAGAACAGGGCACCTGCCTCAGTGCATAGATCAGTTTTGTCTGCGAGTGCTTAGTTACTCTCAAGAGAAAATAGGGTGTGGTGGCTGCTTGAAAAGGCAAATTCCATGCTAGGGATCCTTAGGAAAGGAAAACAAAACGGCTGACACCTTAATGCCGTTGTACAGATCTATGGTGCAACCATGTTTGGGGTACTGGTCTGGTCGCCTCACCTGAAAAAGGATATTGTGAGTTTGGGAAAAAGTTTCAGGAAAGGGCAACGAAAATGATCAAGGGGGCTCCCCTACAAAGAATGGTCTCAATGTTTAGAACTTTTCAGTTTAGAAAAAGGGCACGTAAGAGGTGATATGAACCCTGGTCTCCCAGGTCCTAGTCCAGCACTCTAACCACTAGACCACACTATGGCTTTACACTATGCTAAGGCGTGCAGAAAAATGCATACTGTATATTAGAGGGAAAATGCATTTAAAATGCATTATAATAGGGGAAATTGCAAAACTACATATAAGATGTGTGTATTAAGAGAAATTTGTACTAAAATGCTGGCGAATTTCACACTGACTTAAAAAATAATAATCACAAACTGATGCGAAATGTGGAGAGCTGAAATTAAGATGGGGAAAATGACAACTTGAGATAAACTGACATATTATCCCACCCCTATGCCCAACATCATCCTGAGGTTCCTCAAGAAAGACAGGTATCACAGGAGTGTGCCGGTCAGTAATAAAACAGTTCAAAGATAGAGTAAATTCTTTATTAACAGATTTGATTGAGTGTCAGGCCTAATGAGCAGAGCAGCTCATTCCCGATGGCCTTCCTCCATGAAAATCAGTTGCCAAGACTTTTTCCAAGCAATCAGAGACAGCAGCTTCATGCAGCCAATATCGCCTCCACCCTTTCCATGCCCCTTCCGGTTCTGGGAGACATGGGGGGGGTCGCCTTATAGTAGGAGAGGGAGACACCCCTGACTCTTTGCCAGCCTGACTCATCTCTGCCTATTGGCCTCCCACATCCTACTCTCCTGCTTCAGCTTCTGCCTCTGTTTCTTGACTGCTCTCTGCCACAGACTCTCCCAGCTCACTAAGCCCTGTCACTTCTCCAGCTTCCAACACCTCTTCTTCCCAATCTTCTCCCTCTTCTCCTTCTGACCACTCATTGTTGTCCCGCCGCCACTCGCCGGGCTCTGAAACTTCTTCCCTAAGGGGTTCCCCAGCTGGTTCCCTCCACCATTCCTCTGCATCCAACCAGTCCATGACAGATGGGATATAAATGTGGGAATTAAAATAAATACATTCCTTTGAGATATTCCATATGACAATTCATTGTTCCCTGTTTCTTGACTCAGGATGGCTGGAACATAATAAATTTTTTCATTATGCTGCTTCTGTTCCTTGGCCTGATCTTTACCGCACTGAATGACAGAACAATTGTCCACATGCTCAGGTAGGAATGGAGGGCTGCCTTTGTTCCCAAAATTCTTAGGAGGTGTTGTTGTTGCTGCTGCTGCTGCTGCTGTTGTTGTTATACTCCTAAAGGAGCCCAGAGCACCAAAAAAGGGGGAGAGCAGCAAAACAATATTATTAGAAATAAAAATAAACATCTAAACGTGTTTAAAATCGATGATACATCCTTGTAGCTTGAGATGTAAGAAGGAACCGTCATTTTCTGTTCTGCCCTGTTGTCATTGCAAACAGCTCCGTTTCCTTTCTGCTGCAGTTCATATTGTGCTAAAAATGACGTTATGCATCTTGCTGCCCACTGTGCTGAGCTTCTGTAACTTACATTGTCATTATATTACAGTGGTACCTCAGGTTACATACGCTTCAGTGTCGGAGCCAGCCGTTACAAATGGCGCAGTTTAGCATAAAATAAAGACATAGAGAGCCAGCAATATTTTCAGGATGGTATGAGCAGCTCCTTTCGAACTTCTCTCTCCTCCCGTAGCTTTTTTATTATCCTTTGTCTCTCTCCAGCCGCATGGCCGTTTGCCAATGTCTCCCGTTACCTCATCCGGTCAAGGCTCTTATTACACCCATCACCATATAGGGTCATCACTGCCCAGAGGAAACACAACTCCATTTAAGGTCAATACATTCCAATACATTGTAAAGCTCAGAGTGCTGGTCAGCCAAGGTCAGCGAGGCACCAGGTGGCGCTACAAGCCTTTTTCCATGACTTCCTGGCTCCCACACTTCAGGTTACATACGCTTCAGGTTACAGACTCCGCTAACCCAGAAATAATGCTTCAGGTTAAGAACTTTGCTTCAGGATGAGAACAGAAATCGTGCTCCGGCGGCGTGGCAGCAGCGGGAAGCCCCATTAGCTAAAGTGGTGCTTCAGGTTAAGAACAGTTTCAGGTTAAGAACGGACCTCCGGAACAAATTAAGTACTTAACCCGAGGTACCACTGTATTCTGCCTCAGACATTTTCAGTGCCAGATAAATGCAGCAGAAATGGCAGGGAGGGTAACGTAATCCATGATGCATTGCTTTGCGGATTGAAAGCCACAGCAGCAAATGCCAAAATTTGGTGAAATGCATTCACCAAATTGAGTTCTGTTCTGGACAATGGGATGAATAAGCGAACACCAGCAGTTTCTGCTCCTGTTTCCGTTTTGGGCAGAGTTCTTCCACATGCCTACTCATGTCCCATGATTTCAAGGTTACAGGGAATAGTTTTTTGCTCGGCCATCAAGCACCTGGGTGAACAGGGGAGCTTTTCAATTTCTACTGAATGTTAATCATGAGGGAGACAGATGCGCCTTACCAGGCAGGGCATTCCACAAACGGGCAACTGCCACTGAGAAAATGTGGGCTGCATGCTCTATTCATCCTCTCTCATGAGGTCTGCACTCTGCACATGGTAGAGAGAGGTTGGTCAGATGATTTGGCCTAACACTTAATTTAGCTCTTCATCTAGGGGTTGCCCATAGTGAGAAGGGGATGTTGGACTCAATGGGTCATTGGCCTGATCCAGCAGGCTCTGCTTCTGTTCTTACATCACTTCTGAGCAAGTGAGTAGTGAGATGTACGTTTCCGAGCACAATTCAAAGTGCTGGGGCTGACATTTAAAGCCCTGAACGGTCTTGGCCCAGTATACCTGAAGGAGTGTCTCCACCCCCGTCGTTCAGCCTGGACATCCATCTCTGAGGGCCTTCTGGCACTTCTCTCACTGCGAGAAGTGAGGTTACAGGAAACCAGGCAGAGGGCCTTCTCAGTAGTGGCACCCGCCCTATGGAACGCCCTCCCATCAGATGTCACAGAAATAAACAACTATCTGACATCTAAAGGTAGCCCTGTTTAGGGAAGTTTTTAATATTTGATGTTTTATTGTGTTTTTACTATTCTGTTGGGAGCCGCCCAGAGTGGCTGAGGAAACCCAGCTGGATGGGTGGGGTATAAATAATAAATTCTTCTTCTTCTTCTTCTTCTTCTTCTTCTTCTTCTTCTTCTTCTTCTTCTTCTTCTTCTTCTTCTTCTGTCCTGCATGCAATCTGTGTGCTCTGCCCCTGAGCTTTAAATGCACACACATTATTATTATTCCTCTGCTTTCCAGAGTCATGAGACTGATGCATGTTTGCACCATGGTGACTGGTCTGGCACGGATGATCCAGGTGATCCTGCAGTCCATTCCTGACATGGCTAACATCATGATCCTGCTTTTTGCCATCATGCTGGTGAGATGCTGTCAAATTCCTCTTAAGTCAGGGTGCGGTGCATGGGAATGAACTGAGATCCCTTCTGTCTCCTACATCTTCCTGCACCCACTCAGTGCTCCTTCATTTTGTTCTTTCACCGCTGTCTTTTCTTTTTCATTTTGGCAATCCAGGCATATGTATGATGTAGGAATGAGGGATAAAACCAGTTCTGTTGCTTTGAAGTTGACCCGAACCAATTCACACTTTGCAAAACAATACACAAACTGAAACAAAGGCAACTTCGAAAGTTGAGTTTTTCTGAGTTTTTCAGTGCGGCTCACCAGCAGAGGAATGTGTACAAAAATGCCAGTGCTAGGGTAAAGTGTGCCTAAAAACCGTTGCTTTGTCCTTTTGCAGGTCTTCTCTGTGTTTGGTGTTACCCTCTTTGGAAGCACGGTCCCAACGCATTTTGGGAATATGGGGACTGCTTTGTACTCCCTGTTCATCTGCATAACGCAGGATGGGTGGATTAACATATATGACGACTTTGAGTGAGTAGCTTGCAAACCATGCTCAGCCACAATGAACAAGGGTCACTGGTCTTCTCGGTAGTGGCACCCACCCTGTGGAACACCCTCTCATCAGATGTCAAGGAAATAAGCAGCTATCTTATTTTTAAAAGGCATCTGCAGGTAGCCCTGTTTAGGGAAGTTTTTAATATTTAGTGCTGTATTGTTTTTAACACTCGATTGGGAGCCGCCCAGAGTGGCTGGGGAAATTCAGCCAGAAGGGAGGGGTATTATTATTATTATTATTATTATTATTATTATTATTATTCCAAACAAGAGGAAGTAGTGAAACCAGATGCCTGCAACTTCTCCAGCTGCAGTGAAACATGCATCTCCCATTTTGGTCTCTACAGCCACAGCAGGTGCTGTGAATCTCCAACAGTTTAACTCTACTTCTGATGGTGCACACTTCTGCTGTCTCTTGAGACAGGCGGATGCCAACAACTGGTTCTTCATTCCAAACGAGAGGAAGGGCATCATGCCAATAAATGGTGTTCTGAGTTGCAGCCATGTTAGGCTCAGCATAGTCTATGCTGACTGGTAGCAGTTCTTCAGGGATTCAGGCAGGGAGCATTTACAGCTTTACCTGGTAATGTCAGGAATTGAACCCAAGACCTTCTGTGTACAGAGCAGGTGCTCTTCTACCAAGCCCTTCCTCAAGCTTACTGTCCCCTATGGTCCAGTAAAATCAGAAGAAATCCTGGAAGAAGCCAGCAGGTGGGACCCAGACTAGGTTAGTCCAACCAGGACTGGCCCTATCATTAGATAGAGTGGGGCAGTGGCCTCACATGGCAAATAATGGTGATCATGGATTGTGAGATTTCTGCCAAAGAAGCCAGGTTTTTGCCCCCATCATAGGAGTCAATTCCTAGGGGCCGTGGGGTCTTATGATAAAATATTATAATACATTATATTATAATATTATATAATATATAAATATATAAATACATTCGTACCTTCGTTCTCAAATGGAATCTGTTCCGGAAGTCCGTTCGACTTCCAAAAATGTTCAACAACCAAGGCGCAGCTTCCAATTGGCTGCAGGAGCTTCCTGCACTCAATCGGAAGCCGTGGAAGCCCTGTTGGACTTCCAACAGGTTCCAAATAACTTTTGCAAACCGGAACACTCACTTCCAGGTTTGCAGCGTTCAGGAGCCAAAACGTTTGAGTTGCAAGGCGTTCGGGATCCAAGGTACAACTGTATATTATATTTGAGGTGGTCCCCTCACATATTTTATTGTATTCTAATATAATATATTATAATACAATGAAATATATGAGGGGGCCACCTTCCCCCAAGTTGATGAGCGTTGCTGTTCAAATGGTATGTGTGCACTGTGTCATGTGATCAGTTATGTGGGGCAGGGCTTACCTGCCTCCCCCCATATTTTGTTCAAGCTGGTACCCCTGACCCCCATTGACGGTGGCTAGTTGCAAAAGAGGGACAGGTCTTCTGCGCATTTAATAATAAGCTATATCTGCTGAAATTCTCTCTTCTCAGCAGCTTAAAGGGGCAGGAGACCTGTCTTCTTTTCTTCACCGGGCCATTCTAAATGCATCCCAGATGACATTTAGGCTGGCAGTGAAAACATTCTCCTCCTGGGTGGCTTTGATGTTCATAAAGAGATGACTGAAGGCCTTAACTCTGCTTCTTTTGATTTTAAAGTTTTTAAAACTTTTAAAGTATTTGCTTTTGTTACTTGACTGCCAAACATTTGACTTGATTTAGTTCTTTTATGTACATTGCTGCATTTTTTGGAGGGAGTTTCCTTTTCTAGTGTTAGAAAAAGAAGTATAAAATTGATTTGATGAATAGCAGAGGGCTGGTCCCAGGCTCATCCACACTGACCTTTTGCCCCATGCTTTCTAGGCACAAGTCTGTGCTTTCCTGGTCCACGCCGAAGTGCTCTTCTCTCCTTTTGTCCCACTGCTTTCCCCAGGAAAAGCTGCTCTTTAATGCTGAATTAGAACAAACAGCAGTTGGGGTTCCCCATGGATTGCTGAGAATGTTGAAGAGCTGGTCTTCACTGGGAAGTAGGGGAGGTGGGTGAAGCTCTTGGATGCAGATTGGAAAAGTACAGACCTGCGCCTAGGAATCGCAGAGGAAAATTAGTCTGGATGAGCCTTCAGACTGACATCAGAGCCCTAGATCAGGAATGAGGAGCCTGGTGCCCCCCAGACACTACTGGACTCCAAATCTCATCAGCCCCAGCCAGCATGGCCAGTAGTCATGGGATGATAGTCTAACAATATCTGGAGGGCCTGCAAGGTCCCCATCCCTGGCCTAGAGAGAAAAGGATATGGGAGCCATGGCCCCATCCTCAGAGTAGTGGCAAAGGTTTCCCGCCCACCCGCTTTGGTGATGAATGTTATGTACTGAAGTTCTCACCCTGGGCCAGCAGGGGAATACTGTAGATAGTTTTCACTCAGGTCCACATATGCAAATAAGGGATTGAAAGTGACGTTCAGTGATTGGATGGTTACAGAAAATGGTTACTGTTGCGTTCTAGTGGAGCTCTATATAAGCAGGCTGGCTGAACCCTTCAGTTCAGTTCTGTTCTGGCCTGTGAATAAACAAGAGCTGTTTGAAGAATCGCTGTGTCGTCTGATATGGTCACCCACAACTTAACAATGGCATTCCTTCTTTCCTTTACAGAAAGGAAGGTCTTGCTTTGGAGATAGGCGGGGCTCTCTATTTTTTCATCTTCATCACATTTGGGGCCTTCATCTTTGCAAATCTGCTTGTGGCTGTGGTGACGACAAACCTAGAACGGTCTGTAAGTGAATACAAAGAGAAGAAGCAGTTGGAAGCTCATATCCCTGTCAATATGACCGACGCTGGAATGGATGTGAGTATTAATTCAAGGGCTGGAGAGGGAAGCCAGGTGGGAAACTGGCACAGAAAGATGCCATTTAGGAGCCTAAAAAAGTAAAAAGGCCTCATTCACCAGCATTTTACTAATACAGTATACCCATTTTGGCATGGATTTTTGTTTAATATTGATTTTTTTTGTATGCTTTTTTTGCATGTATACACATTTTGCTTTTTTTTGCAATATAGAAATTTTGGTATGCAATTTTGTTTAACATAGACTTTTTTTGTCTGCCTACTATACTTTTTTGTATGCAATTTTGCCCAACGTACACAGTTTTGCCTAGCCACTTCCCCCAATGTAAAACATGTTATTTTCACTAATATATCCATTTGTAGGCACACTTTCCCCTCAAAGATGCGTTTTTGTACACATTACTCAAGCAGAAAAGTACATTGAAAAATTCAGAGAAGTGTGAGTTTTGAAGAGTTGGCTATGTTTTGGATTGCATATTATTTTGGAAAGTGTAAACTACTTAGTTTCAACTTTCATGTGAACTGAATTTCAGCCCTATCCCAACTCTCAGCTTTATTCAGTTTGCCCTTCAACATCAATAAAACAGACACAGTTATATTGTCTGAACCATTTAAAAAAATATTTGCAATCAGTCCTGTGGAATTCTTTGATGAAAACCCTAGGAAGGAAAACTTTACCACTATATGGTTGTTCCCTCCTCAGGGTTCCAAGTTTCTGGTGTGTGATTCTCATGGCTGCCAGCCAATGTGGTGTAGAGGTTAAAGTGTCAGATTAAGACCTGGGAGATCATTGGCTCCCAGTACGTTTCTGAGCACAATTCAAAGTGTTGGTGCTGACCTTTAAAGCCCTAAATGGCCTCGGCCCAGTATACCTGAAGGAGCGTCTCCACCCCCATCGTTCAGCCCAGACACTGAGATCCAACACCCAGGGCCTTCTGGCAGTTCCCTCACTGTGAGAAGCCAAGTTACAGGGAACCAGGCAGAGGGCCTTCTTGGTAGTGGCACCTGCCCTGTGGAACGCCCTCCCACCAGATGTCAAAGAGAACAACAACTACTAGACTTTTAGAAGACATCTGAAGGCAGCCCTGTTTAGGGAAGCTTTTAATGTTTGATGCATTACTGTATTTTAATATGTTGTTGGAAGCCGCCCAGAGTGGCTGGGGAAGCCCCACCAAATGGGCGGGGTATAAATAATAAATTAATAAAAATTAATTAATAATCAAGGTTCACAGCCTCACTCAGCCAGGAAACTCCCTGAGTGACCTTGGACCATCCAGTGCCTCTTAGTCTGACTCTACTTCATAGGGTTGTTGTGAAGATAAAAATGGGGAAACAGAGACCCACATATGCCACTTTGAGCTCCTTGGAGGAAAGGTAGAATATTGAATGGAATTTTGAAAATTTTTATTTCAATCCAGGGAGACACCAGGGGAAAAAAGCTCAGTGGATTGGGATGGCCCCTGTCATTTTATGACACTGGAATAAATACAGGGACCTAACTATATTCCTCCTTGAGCAGGAAGGCAGTGATGATGATGTTGAACCAAGTCACCAAGAACCTCTGCATGTAAGAGAGGTCATGCGTGCTACACCCATGGTGCACCACCAGAATTTGCTTAGCCTTGGAAACTTGGGCAACCTGAATGAAGGCACCTGCGAAGAACTCTGCGTTGTCCTGGAAGCAATCCACGAGAACCTGAAGGCGTACAGGGTGATCCGGGATGAGATTGACCAGTAAGTCTTGCCTGTTCTCCTGAAGGTTGAGAAGCACCTCAAATGTCACTTCCTAACTGGAAGAGCTGACTTGACCCCATCCCCAAAGCCAGAGTAAGGCAACCTGGTGGCCTCCAGCTGTTTGGTGGACTCTAACTCCTAGCAAACCCAGCAAGCAGGGTCAGTGGTCCAGGATGGTTGGAGCTGTAGTTCAGCAGCATCTGGAGGACACCCCACTGACCCTTCCTCTTGAGCTCTGGCCCATCCCGGGGAAATCTGTGATCCTGTTACTTTTTTCTTTTTCTTTAAAGCAGCTAAAGTGGGTGGAGCAAACTGGACCAGGAGTGCAGCAGAGGGAGGGAGGCTTTTAAATTCCTCCCTAACTGCTTCCCTGGCCTCCCCTTCCCTGCCTCCCAGGAGCTGCTATTAGTCACACATATCTCAGGTGTCAAAGGCTAAGGTAAAGAGATATGTCTTCAGCATAGAATTGAAACTATAGTGAAGGTGCCAGGTGCACATCTTCGATGGATGAAGCAACTCTCCAGCATTCTTTCTTCTGTGGTTACTCTCCACAGAATAGTCGATGAAGTGAGGTCCATCAAATTCAATGTAGATCAGGAGCAAGAGGTGGTTCTGCGAAACATCCGTGGATCTAACATCTCGGAGAGTATGCTTAATGCGGATCCCATGCAACCAAAGGGTGGCGATGTTCTCAGTGCAATGTTTAGCCTGGAAAAGGTATGGTTGCTTTTTCATGCCTTTGAAGGCAATGCGGGGAGCAGGTCATTCCACATCAATCAACATTACTTCTATCACAAGTCATTCTCCTCGCTCAAGGGCAGCCAAGGTGCTGCCTTCCATTTGTCATTGGGCTCCAACTCCCATCAGGCCCTGTCAGGGCCAGCCCACCCATAAGGCAAGGTGAGGTGACTGCCTCAGGTGTCAGGATCCACAGGAGCAGCAGATCTCAATGTAGATACTCATGCCCTCCCTCCTTGCTCCTGATGTAGATATTCACTCACCCCTTCTTCCCTGGGGGGAGAGGACACCATTTTGTGGTCCACCTCAGGTGCCAAAATGTCTTGGGCCAGCCTTGGGCTCTGTGGTGGGTCTCGGGACCAAAGTCCTAGAGGAGTAGAAAGGAACAGGTTGTATGTCTTGCACTGTTGGAAAGGGACTGGGAAGCACTTTTGTCTGGTGAGCCATTATGCCAACAGGCCCATCTCTTGGCATCACACAGCACAGGTAGGTTCAAGCCTATCAGAAAGCAGTAGGGCTTGAATGCGCTCTGAACAGAAACAGCGTGGAAGGCAAGAGCTGCTACCAAGGAGCTATCAGGAGTGCATGGCTTAGAACACATTCCCAATTGTCGCTTTGCACAATTGGGGCTGTTTAAATTTGGCGCCCTATTGTTTTGGCCAGCCTTTCAGGCCGAATTTGGCCCATGGGCTGAAGGTTCCCCTCCCCTGCGGTAGACATCCTGTCCTCAAACCCAGTGGGCTTCAGACAGCCTGCCCAACCACATGCCACACTCTTTGAACCCATTTGCACTCTTCATCTAGAGCAGTATCATACTGCTTTAAAGAGCCATGGCTTCCCCCAAATAATGCTGGGAACTGTAGATTGTCACGGGTGCGGAGAGACACTTATTCCTCTCATGGAATTACAATCCCCTGAGTGATTTAACAACTAGTCCCTCTTCCCAGGGAACCCTGGGAATTGTAGCTCTGTGGGGATTTATTGGGGGAAGCCATGGATGTTTAAAGTGGTATGAAGCCAAATGCATCTAAATCTAAATCTCAGGTTCATGGGTTTGAGCCCCACGTTGGGCAAAAAAGATTCCTGCATCGCAGGGGGTTGGACTAGATTTTATTTTGGGGAGCCAAAGACCCCCCAGGAGTCGGCTCCTATGCACAGACCTCTCATTTGCTCCTGCTCTGGCTCACCAAAAACCTCCATCTCTTTTACACATCGAAATGGACACAGGTACATGTTCTGGGTCCCCAGTCTAGACATGGCCACTGTACTTCTGTGGCCCAAGCCACCAACACACACACACACACACCCAAAAAGTTCTCTCTTAAGATTGCCCTCATTCTTTGCCTTCTTTCTCTGGCAGATGAGCCCGGATGTGGAATTCCAAAAGGGAGGGGTGAAATCAGCTGCCATGAGAGTACGGCGGCAGTCTGTGACTCCGGTAGGTAGATCAGCAGCTTGTGGTCCTTCTCACGTACTGCAGAAGAAACAGGTCCAAGGGGAATTTCTGCACACAGTGCAAAGTTAGACTGTGGAATTCCTACCTCCTCCTCGCAAGAGGCCGTGACGGCCACCAGATTACATGGCGTTAGAAGAGGATTTGATAGTTCCAGGCTATCAATGGAGACGAACTTTGATGGCTATGGTCTGCTTCCTCTGTCTGAGCCAGTAATATTCTGAATGCCAGTCGCTGGACGCCACAGCGGGGGGAAAGGGCACTTGAGCTCAGGTCCTGCTTGCAGGTTTTACACTGGCATCTAGGGCTGGGCAGTTTTCAACATCGTGATGTATCGCAAGCTAACCATTGTGATATACCGATATAACATGACCTCAAGGTCTGGGGCTGTGGAGGGAGGGAGGGAGGAAGGAAGGAGGAAGAGCAATCTCCTGGTTGGGCTGTCTGCCCTGGCGTACCCAGCAATTGCCTCTTGCAGTGGCTGGGCATGAATGCTTTGTTTTAAAGCTCTGTCTGGTGATATATTGTCATTCTGAAACAGTCGTCGCAATCTGAACTTAAAATCAGTTTCAGACGATTTATTGATATACCACCCACTCTGGTCGGTCACTGTGAGAAGGGGATCTTGAGTTACGTGGCCCATTGGCCTGATCCAGCAGGCTCATCTTAATTTCCTTTTTTGTGTTATGCTCTAAGTGGTTTTCATACTGTGAAATCACAACATATATTTTATTATTTATATACCACTTAATTCTCGAAACCTCTAAGCTACATACATAAAATACTCATTACAATACTGATATAATCAGATGTGTTGCTCTGTCCCAGTTCCTGCCACTTGATCCAGAAGCTGCAGTTAGTGCAGCTCTTTTTTGGTGCTTGCTTAAAAATTCCTTTTTTGACAAGCCTGCCGATCAGAAGGCCAGCGGTTCGAATCCCCACAACGGGGGGGGGGGTCCCTGCTCCTGCCAACCTAGCAGTTCAAAAGCACATCAAAGTGAAAGTACATAAATAGGTACCACTCTGGCGGGAAGGTAAACGGCATTTTCGTGCGCTGCTCTGATTCGCCAGAAGCGGCTTAGTCATGCTGGCCACATGACCCAGAAGCTGCACGCTGGCTCCCCCGGCCAATAAAGTGAGATGAGCGCCGCAACCCCAGAGTCGTCCGCAACTGGACCTAATGGTCAGGGGGCCCTTTACCCTTTACCTTTACCCAGATGCTTAGAAAGCTTAAGCAATTTTAATCTGCTTTAGTATTTTAACTTTTGTATGTTTTAAAGGAGAGTTGTAAATTTTTATTGATTTTACTGTTTTGTTTTTTGTAAAACACTTTGAGGGGTTTGGGTTGTTTGTTCGTTTTTTACAACTGAGTGGTATACACATTTTATGAAATAAATAATAAAACAGCAGGTGGAAAATGTATGCAGATTTATCTTCTTTTTCTAAAGGCATTTCTTCTTTTCTGGCAAGGCACAAACAGTGACCCTGGAAGAGGAGAACACCAAGCTGGGATTAATTGGTCATCTCTGGATACCATTTAAAACTCTCCCCCCACCCTCACCCACAAAAAAGCTAGTCAGGGTGCATAAAGCTTAAATAATATTCCATCAGCTGCACTCTTTTCCCTACTCATGTTTCGTATTTTTCTTGTTTCTCCAACAAGGTGGAGAAGGCAACAAGACCTCCAAAGCCTGAAGCTCATCGGTTGAGTTTGGTAAGACTTAAGAAACCTATACTGTGGATGCTATAACATTCATTATTCATATCAACATACAGCTTTCCCATGTGTTCCTGTGAGTGACAGAGAGGGTTTTCAAGCTGCTTGCTGAGGGCCCCTCTAGACTGGAGTGAGGGTGTTTGTGGGTGTCTTCTGCAACATTTCATTGCTGCAATAACACCGCATTGTTGTAGTTTAGTCATTTAGTCATGGCCGACTCTTCGTGACCCCATGGACCAGAGCACGCCAGGCACTTCTGTCCTCCACTGCCTCCCGCAGTTTGGTCAAACTCATGTTGGTAGCTTTGAGAACACTATCCAACCATCTCGTTCTCTGTGGTTCCCTTCTCCTTTTCCCTCAATCTTTCCCAGCATCAGGGTCTTTTCCAGGGAATTTTCTCTTCTCATGATGTGGCCAAAGTATTGGAGCCTCAGTTCAGGATCTGTCCTTCCAGTGAGCACTCAGGGCTGACTTCCTTCAGAATGGATAGGTTTGATCTTCTTGCAGTCCATGGGACTCTCAAGAGTCTCCTCCAGCACCATAATTCAAAAGCATCAATTCTTCGGCGATCAGCCTTCTTTATGGTCCAGCTCTCACTTCCATACATCACTACTGGGAAAACCATAGCTTTAACTATATGGACCTTTTATATGGCACCATCGGCACATCATTCCACTTTATCTTAAATGCTTCTCTGATGATACTCCTTTATTGCCACCTGGAGGGGCACTGTGGTTATAAGTGATCACACATTGCAAGATCTCCCACGATGGGAGAGCCACTGCCCATCCTTCGCCATGGGTTCTGACGAGATTCACAAATTGTGCAGAGTGATCAGAACGGTGACAGAAGCTGGCGGTTGTGCCCTAGTCCCCCCCCCCCCTTGGAGGTTACATTCACATGGAGCTTTGAGGACCAAAGAGGGCTTGCACTCCAACATGCTCTGTAGGAAAATAGAGTAAGACAGTCCCTGTTTAAAAGACAGCCTCCAATGACCTCAGAGCACAGGAACCAGACCGAGGCATGCAAATGTCAAGAAATGGATAAATGAAATAGAACAGAAAACCTCCGCTCCTTCAACCACATCCCTGGCCTTGGTTCTTACTTCCCACATACAGTAACCCTGTTGGAGGGTGTTCCCAGTCTACGTGTCTGGAAAATGTGTGACTGGAAAATTGGGACATTCATGCCAGCCTCATACCCCAATGTCCACATGTCTACACAATGTCTAAAGGGGAGCACGTTCAGCTATAAATGCATAGGCTCCTCTTTTAGTCATTCATTCATTTAATATCCCACCTTTCTCCCAGTGCAGGATCCAAGGTGGCTCACAGCATAAATCAAAACAGATAACTAAATACAAACAATTTGAATATATATATATATATAGAGAGAGAGAGAGTAACCCTATTAAAAATTGAACAGAAAAACCTTCCTCCTCCAAACATAAAATTAAGAACATCCTCCATCTGCACAAGACACTGCCACAACAGCCAGTTGGTGGTCAAAGACCTTCCAGTGAAAGGAAAGCAGAGAGGGCCTAGCTTACCATGGAAGGGAGCTCCACATTCTGGGAGCCACCACCAAGAAGGCCCTTGCATTGTTGCCAAATTTTCCTGTGAAGATGGCGGGGCTGAGAGAAAAGCCTCCCTGCAAGGTCTCAAAACCCAGGTGGGCTCCTATAGAGAGGTATAGTCCTTCAGGTAGCTTTGACCCAAGCCATGTAGGGCTTTGTAGGTCATCCCCAGCACTTTTCAGATGGGGAGTGTGCCGGGGTGGAGCCAGCTGGTGTGGTCCAGGCTTTTCCCTCCACACACTCCTTGATTGTAATGGCTTGGGGGTGGCTTTAAAAGGTGGTTGTGGCAGAGCCAAAACAAGTTTTCTTTGGTGGCACACTTTCCCTTATACCTTGTGTTTCTCTTCTTTGCTCCACCACACTGTAGCCATCAGAGGCTCCACCGAAATCTTCGATCCATCGGTTGAGTTTGGTAAGGCTGTAGAAACGTATCAGTTAGACGATGTACAGCTGACACCTTTTTGGTGCATGCCTGTGAATGGCATAGCAGGATATTAAGCTGTTTGGCTTAGGGCCGGGAAGGGACCAAGTCAAGTTCAGCGCCATCATGTGGTGGCATTTTGGTCATCTTGAGATCCAGTGGATCCAAGCCCACCATAGTCACTCCCTATTCCTGGAGTGCCCAGCTATGGGGTGAAGTCTCCCAGCAGTACTTCACACACACCCCTTGCCCTGGTAGTACTTCCAGGTGACTGGGGGCGGCCACCGAGACCACATAACACCGGTCTTGAAAGACCTACATTGGCTCCCAGTAGGTTTCCCAGCACAATTCAAAGTGTTGGTGTTGACCTTTAAAGCCCTAAATGGCCTCGGCCCAGGATACCTGAAGGAGCATCTCCACCCCCATCGTTCTGCCCGGACGTTGAGGTCCAGCGCCGAGCGCCTTCTGGCGGTTCCCTCATTGCGAGAAGCAAAGCTACAGGGAACCAGGCAGAGGGCCTTCTTGGTAGTGGCACCTGCCCTGTGGAACGCCCTCCCACCAGATGTCAAAGAGAAAAACAACTACCTGACATTCAGAAGACACCTTAAGGCAGCCCTATTCAGGGAAGTTTTTAATGTGTGACATCTTAGTGTATTTTTGGTCTTTGTGGAAGCCGCCCAGAGTGGCTGGGGAAACCCAGCTAGATGGGCGGGGTACAAATAATAAATTGTTATAATTATTATTATTCCACCCAGTACTTCTGCTCCCTTTCAGCAGGCAGAACCAGAAACTCCACACCAGTGGGAAAACACCAACACCAGTCCACGGGGCTGTGGAGGCTAGTGGAGCTCCCTTCACTGGGTGAAGGGAAACCTCTACCTCAATCAGAGCAGTGAATTGAGGGTGTTGGATCGTACCCTTACCATATGATTTCCCTCAGTATCAGGGGTGGAGAACCTCTGGCCTGCCACCAGTCCATCTTGGGCAAGCTTTGCCCAAGAGGTACAGACTAGGAGCCTTTCCTCAGCTTTTGGATGCGACTCCCCCATTTTACAGATGATGAAGATCTGGGGAAAGTGGAGGCTGCTCCATTAGGGAAAGAGGGGCACTGCCCCACGAAGCTGCCTGCCTTCTTACTTACAGCTGGTCAGAGGGTAGCTCTGCCTGTGATTGGCTCCACTGGCCAATGGTTTCTCTGCCTTCTGCCCTACCAGTCCCAATGGGCACCAGCCAGTACTGACTGGGAAACAGAGCAATAAACGGACAGGTTGGGGGGAGCAGAATTGTGTTGTGCAGACAATACTGAGCAAGATGCAGAGGGTCTGATTCTGCATACAGCAGCACCCTATGTCCCCATGGTTTTGGATATTCACGACATGTTGGATTGTCATATCAGAGAGCTGTCACATGTGAATGTCAACATCTAACTTTGGGCATTATAATCCCCCATGCATGTACCGTCATATCAGCGATGGTGTGCTAAGACAAGGGTGTGAAATGTTTTGCAAAACCTTTTACTGGATTCTTTTTTTTACTACATTTTTATATTGTGCATTTACGTTTTGCTTGTGGTTTTCCTATTGTAATTTAATGGTGTTGTTACATCAAAAGCATATAACTTAAAGCCATAATAATAAAAGAGGGGTGTGTGTTTTTGTCTTCACACGAGAAGCCAAAATGAGCTTCCTTTGGCTACGCGCTTTTCCTTATTTAGGTTTTCCATTTTTCTCTTCTTCTTTTTCTCCACACCCTCAGCCGGGACCATCTGTATCAAAAGTTCCAAGTACTCAGATGACTTTGGTAAGTCTGTAGAAACATATATTGCGGAAGATACCACTTTCATTATTTACCACCTTGGCAGCCTTTTAGTGCATGTGGATGAGTTGATGAAGAGGAGTTTAAAACTGTTTGGCTTTGTTAATTAAACCCAGGGCGCAATGTCCTGCTTGAAATGTCCTTTGTCACCTCAGACTGTAGATGAGGAAGGGAGGCGGGGAATCACAATTTGTATACTGCCCTAGGTAAAATAAATAAAAGCCTTCAGCAAAAAACAAAGGCACCCCGTTTGTCACATTTCCATCCCCTCACATGAATTTCAAATTCTCACCATTTAGATAACACGATGTCGGGTGTGGGAAAGCTTTGGCCCTCTAGACATTGCTGAACATATCTGAACTCTCTGCATCTCTAGCTGTTGTCCATGCTTGCTTGGGCTGGTGGGAGTTGGAGTTCAGCAACATCTAGGGGGCTAAAACTTCCTGACACCTGCACTAAGGGCCCACCCACACCCCCATCTTAATGTGGGTTGTGAAGCCCTTGCACCTCCTTTAGTTCCCTCTCTGCCGTGTGGCATTCTCCTCCAACGACCCGCTGTCCTCCATTTTCATTCTGGGGGTGTGGCAGGGGTGGGACCAGAGAGGTGAGGGGACTGGATCCTAAGCCTGTTCCACTCAGGCACATGATCGAGCAACCTGGCCTAGACCACTATTTTCAAGGCTTAGTTTTCCCTTTGCCCAGCTTTAGGGAACAGGGTTTGGATCTGGTGTAACATTACACTGGATTAAGTTTCACCAGCTTGGCTTATGCCATCTTCTTGTGCGTAGGATTGCTCCCTTAGTCAGTGTGAATTCTGTTCTATGCCACAGGCACTGGGTTGAGGGGGTAGAATGGACTGTCTCGCTTCAGACACAGGCGGGCAGCCACTTATCCCACAATGTAGCAAACAAGAAAAAAACAACCACCCTGCAAGTAGAAAGCTGCTTTATTGGGAGCAGCTTGGCTGCACTTTTTCTCCCTGCTATGGTTGTTCTTTACTTGCATGGAGACACAATGCTCCCCATGTCTTGTTTTGTTTTCAAAGGCATACTGAGAGATGGGGAAGCAACCAGGTGCTATTGGACTGCAAATCCCATGCCACTCCTAACCACTGGGCACACCAGCAGGGGCTGATGGAAGTGGCATAGTGGTTCAGGTGTTGGCCTGGGACAGGTGTGGGGAACCTTGGCCCTCCAGATGTTGTTGAACTACAATTCCATCAGCCCTGGCAAGCCTGGCCTGGCCTAGTTTCAGACTACTGTAAGATCAAACAGGTTTTAGGTGGGAAACAGCTGCTTTTAGAGATTTTTCAAAACATGTGTTTCCCCTAGCTCCGGGAACACAATGGAGGCTGGTTCCTTTGGGTCAAAGGAGCACTGCTCCAACTTCAATATGCCCCCTTCTGCCTGCCTTCTTATTTACAACCAGCCCAGGGTGGGGTGGCAGCACGGCCTGTTAGCTTCCTCCTCAGCCTAAGCGTCACCCTTGGAGAAATCAGCATGGAGGGGCGGGGGCGGGGACTAGAATCAGTTGGCTCTACCTATCATTGGCTCTGGCCCTACCTACCACCCTGTCAGTTCCAAAGGGCACCAGCCAATACCGCAACAATGTGAGTTGTAGTGCAAGGGATGGTCTCTGCATGAAAAGAGCATTTGGAAGCCTCTGATCTTTGACAGCCCTGCGTCTTTGATGGCCTCTGGTGGCCACAGGAACTAGATTTTATTGGGTGTGGGAGGTAAGAAAGTGCAGGGAGGGGTGCAAATGCAATCAAATGTATTTAACAGAATCCAGGGAGCCTCTGGAGCTTCAGCCCCATTCCAGCCCAACCCTCAGTGCCGCACATTAGGAGCCAGGAAGAACCATTGTTGGAGGGGATCCCAAAGGTCATCCAACCCCCTGTGATGCAAAGAGTTTTATTGCTGCCTGTGCACATTCTTACTGGTGTTTTGCATTTTCTTCCTTGTTTCTCCGTCCCCCAGCCACCAAGGTCTAAGGACAGCAGCCGCAAGCTGCCACCAAGCTCTGAGGACAGCAGCCGCCAGCCGCCACAAAGCTCTGAGGACAGCAGCAGCAAGCCTCAGGATAGCTTGGTAAGAATGTAAAGCCAAACACTGCAAGATGAAACAACATTGGTCAGCAATCCCCTATGCAGCCTTTCACAGTGGATGCACATCTCTCTTGTCAAATTTAGCAAAGGAGAAAGATAGGAGATAGAATAATTTTTTTAAAAAAAAAAGTACAGGGAAAAGTATAACAACACCCACAGTCAGCTCGCATTGAGAATGCAGTAGCGACCAGTACTTCCAGCTAAAATTGGACATAAAAATTGTTATAAGCCTTCCAGATGTCCAGAGAGGAACCCACGTGAAATTGGTGCTTAAAAAATATATTCAAATGTAGCAAGGGCAGTGAGGTCCTCAGACCATTGCCTAATGGATGGTGGGCATTTATCCTTCCAGGCTCAAAATTTAAGTCTCCTGGCAACCACAAGACCTCACCACATTCACTTTTGCTGTCTTGCTGTTTATCCTCACACAACAGGAATATAGTTAAAAAGAACACGGTCATCCTCCAAATGTCAAAGGTTTGGCCAGTGTAAGATTTATATGGACAATAACTTCAAACCAAAAATAATATGTCACTCACCATGCCTTGATGAGGCCTTGTCAGCGCTGAACTTCCAGCACCTCTCTGCACAAGAAAGTGATACGATACGATACGATAGAGGAGGGAGAAAGGTTGTTTTCTGCTGCTCCAGAGAAGCGGACACGGAGCAATGGATCCAAACTACAAGAAAGAAGATTCCACCTAAACATTAGGAAGAACTTCCTGACAGTAAGAGCTGTTCGACAGTGGAATTTGCTGCCAAGGAGTGTGGTGGAGTCTCCTTCTTTGGAGGTCTTTAAGCAGAGGCTTGACAACCATATGTCAGGAGTGCTCTGATGGTGTTTCCTGCTTGGCAGGGGGTTGGACTCGATGACCCTTGTGGTCTCTTCCAGCTCTATGATTCTATGATTCTATGATTCTATGATACGATATCTTTATTGTCATTGTCCCTTGCGGAACAATGAAATTGAAAACTACATAAAAACTACATAAAACTACCACAAAACTACATAAAACTACATAAAACATTCAAAAACCCCTAAAAACTCTAAAACCCCATTTTAAAACACACTATACTACAGAAACCCCTTATGCTGCATTTAGAACCAGAATTGCATTAGCGTAGAAACTGTTTTTCAGGCGGCTAGTCCTGGCCTTTATAACCCTATACCTTCTTCCAGAAGGCAGAAGCTGAAAGAGATCATTTCCGGGGTGCATACTATCATGTGCTATCTCTGCCGCTTTCTTATGGCACCTGGCAGCATAGATTTGATCTAAGGTGGGAAGAGTGCACCCAATAATTGTTTTGTTGTATAGGAAGTGCCTTCCTATACAAATGTTGTGAAGTCCAAGCAACCAGAAAGAACCATTTTTGCCTGTTCAGTCTCTGTTTCATATCTAGAGAAGCCACGAAGCTCACCAGGTGACTTCCAGCCCATTGCTGTATCTCAGCCTAAGCTGCCTCACAGGGGTCTTGTGGGGATAACCTGAAAATTCAGAGAGCCATGAACACCACCTATAGCTTCTTGGATGAAAAGTGGGATATCAACGTAACAAATGTAAAACATAAATAAATATAATTATAATCAATCAACCCATGCCACTCGTCCCCAATTCAGAATGGGACCACAGCAGAACGCAAAGGGTTAAAAATGTCCAGAAATATAATTTTAGTTTTTATACTGGCAGCATCTCAGAATTCTGTTTTTTGTGTGTTTTTTAATTATGGGATTATTGTTGCCATTTGTAGGTGTTTGTTTTTCATGCTGATACTGTATTATTTAATTTTGTAATCTATTTTATTTTTTAAACTGAATTGGACATAGAATCATAGAATTCTAGAGTTGGAAGGGATAATGAGGGTCATCTAGTCCAACCCTCTGCAATGCAGGAATCTTTTGCTCAACGAGGGGCTCGAACCTGCCTCTCTCAGATTAAGAGGACTAAGTTAGTACGTGACTAATGAATGTAAAGAATAGATCCATTTTTAAAATGAAAGCCCCACCACCACATGGCCTGGGGTCCAGCTGGTGGGGAGGAGGAACATCTACAATTCTACATTGTTTGTGACTAGTGTTAAGCTTTCTACTCAACTGGCAAGGTCAGGGAGCTGTCCAGTGAGCCACTGATCAATAGGTTTCAGATAGCAATGGAGCTGTCCAGCACAGCAAGATAAGAAGCGGCATCGGCACTGGTTAGACCCCCAACTAAGCAGCCCTACAGCTAGCTCTGCTGTTCCATCCCTAGTCTTGTGGCCAGAATGAGAAAAGGCTGCCTAAATCCACCTGACATCAGGACCCATTAAAAGCAGAGGAGAGCAGGAATATCTGAGATAAACTAAGGTTCTCCCCCCCCCCCCAAGGAATCTAGGGACACTTTTCAACTTCAATAGGAATGATAGGATTTTGTCAGGGGACTGATTTGTAAATCCAGGTACTGTCCCCGGGAAACGGGGATGTCTGGTAACCTTAAGATAAATGCTTTGACCAATGGACACTTTCCCAGTCGTATAGGGAAGTCCAAAGGGTGCCTCCTTGCTTCGGAGAGGCATTCACTGGCTTAAAGAAGGACTGGGGGACCTGTGCTTCTCCAGATGTTGTTGGACTCCAACTCCCATCAGCCCCAGCAAGCATGGGCAGTGGTGAGGCATGATGGGAGTTATAGTCCAGCATCTGGATGGCCGCATCCCTGGCTTAAGTATGGAGGTGTAGATTGGAGGCAGGGCAGTGGGTTCCTGATAAAGCTATCCTAGGCATGTCTCCTCAGAAATCAGTCCTATTGAGTTCAGTGGGGTTGGAAACCTGTGGCCTTCCATTGGAAAACAGGAAGAACAGTGGTAACTGCCTTATACTGTCAGGCCAATGGTTCATCTAGCTAGCTCATTATAGCTGACACTGACTGGCAGTCGCTCTTCAGGGTTTCACATGGGGAACTGTCCCAAGTCTACCTCGAGATGATGAGGATCGAACCCAGAACTTTCTGCATGCAAGGCAGATGTTCTACCACAGAGCCACAACCCTTCCTCTATTATCCCCCAGATGCTCTTGGACTCCCGTTCCATCAGCCTCAGCCAAAACATCCAATGGTCAAGGATGATAGGCGCTGTAGTCCATCAACATCTGGAAGGCCACACTTTCCTGTCCCTGCAGCAGAGGAATACAACCAGAAGAAGCTGTTTCTCATACTTTTAGGGGAAGGCAGGTTCTAGGATCCAACAAGAGCTGTGCGGGGGGAGGGGGGATGTCCCTGGATAAAACAAGGACACAAATACCAATTGCTATATTTGACAGAACACAAGAAGCCTCTGTAGCTTCAGCTGAGCATGAAGAGACAGAAATGGTTTCATTCATTCATATAGCTCAATAACACACTGAATTAAAGCTAAAGAGAAAAGCGATGCAATTACCGTACATGAAAACACACACACACACAAAGACACAAATTTGGGTTGTTGCATTCACTATTCCTGGGAATGATACTAAGTGTTGATATTGGATATTTTTGTGTTGTGAATGGCCCTGGGATCTACGGATGAAGGGTGGTATACAAATTTAAGAAATAATAATACGAAATAATGTTGGAGAGTAGCAAGGTGTCCTTCGGAAAATAAAGATTTGCTTTGGTTATAGATATCAGGAAGTCGCTGTCAAGCTCTTATGATATTCTGACTTAAAACTGAAAAGTTACTAAGAATTGCAAATAGTAGAGCACCTCACAGCAGGCATTTGAACATTGTTAGCACCATTTATATACAGGCATTCCCAACTTATATGCATTTAACTTGTGCACATTCAGCTTTATGCACCTGGGGAGGGGGGAGGGGGGCAGAACAGGGATGGGCATCCAGGAAATTTGTTTTTTCAATCCCACCTGCTGTTGAACCCAGTGGAGTTTTGACTATACACAGTTTCACATATACCTGAGAACATAGCCCCTGCAAAAGTGGGGAGATTGTATTATGATAATTTTTACAGTGCAATTGAAAATGAATCTCTTGCTGTTTTTTCAGCAATAGCTACAGACCAGAATTGACAAAGCCACACAAATCCTTATTTATCCCTTTAAAATATTTCTGTTTTCTTACCATAACCATCCTGACAGAGTTAATAATGAATATAAAACCAATGCTTTATCCAAACTGTGTTCATTTGGCTCACCCTATATCCCCAGTAATGCTAACAATGGGTTTGGTATCAATTCTTGTTTGTTGTTAATTTCCATGAACACCACCTCCTAAAAAGAAAGGGTTTCACGTATTCTGCCTCCTCCCCCCCCATTTAACCTTTTCTTCTTTACTTCTTCACACCATAGGCTGTCAGGCCAGGATACAGGGCTCGCAGGCGTCGGGAAAGCATAGTAAGACTTGATAGACATATGCATTTCAGATGTATATTTTTGTATTTACAGAATTATTTTTATGTTATTTATATTGCTGCACACCATGATGTTATATTGTATGAATTGGTAGTATATAAATTATTTTATAAATAAATTCCCTGCAGGGTTGCTGTGCGAATTGTCTGCTAAAGAAAGAATGAAACAAACAAACAAAAACAGAGTCCTGTGCCACTTTAAAGATTAATGAATTAGGCATAAGCTTTCATGGACTAAAGTCCACTTCATCAGATGTTCTCTGCTGGCAGCAATATATATATATATATATATATATATATATATATATATATATATATATGTGTGTGTGTGTGTGTGTGTGTGTTGGGAGGGTGGGGTATAGAGAAAGAAAAAGGTTAACAGTGGATTCAAACGGCAGTAGAATGTAGAAAGTACAGATTGTGACAATTGAAAGCTCAATCTTCTGCAAAATAAGCACTGTGATCAATTGGTGATACAGTTATCCTAGCGTTGGAAGGACAATAAAAATAGTACTGGGAGTGGAAACCATGGTCTATATTGATGCCCAGATGAATATAATCAAACTGTATTTGCAACTCATGCTGGAGTCCGCCCTTTGAAATAGCTGTGTAGGTGAATGGCAGCAGTTTTATTCTTAGTCATATTTTGGCTTCTTCTTCTTCGTTTCTTCACCACCACCATCCCCAGCTGGGAGTAATGACAACAGGATAGACTTTCAGGTGCACCTGGTGGCAAGATGATGGTTTGGGGGGTGGCATGCCAGGCCTGTAGCGCACCTGGGGTTGTGTCCAATGTTAGTCCTATTCGGAGCAGAGCCACTACTAACACAAAGAACATGAAAGAACACGGCTAACTTTGGTCCGATAGATAAATAGATAGGTAGGTAGGTCTATTCTGTATGGAACTTCACTGGATACGACTCTCAGGCCTGATCTTCAATAGCTGGGGAAGCAGCTACTGCTGCTGTCCCCAGCTTCTGCATCCTGTAGTGGTTGCCTCAGTCACTTTGCCTAACAGTAGGGCTGGCCCCAGTTGTAACCCTGCTGTGAAAAAGGCAAATTCCATACTGGGGATCTTTAGCAGAGGAACTGAGAATAGAACTGCTGGCATCATAATGCCGTTGTACAAATCTGTGGTGCAAACATATTTGGAATACTGTGTACAGTTCCGGTCGCCTTATCTCAAAAAGGATATTGTAGAGTTACAGAGATGGAAAAGCTTCAGAAAAAGGAAGCCCAAAGGATCAACTCCCCTATGGAGAAAGGTTGCCATGTTTGGGACTTTTGCTTTAGAGAAAAGGCCAATAATAATAATAATATACTTTTTGTACCCTACCCACATCTGACTGGGTTTCCCCAGCCACTCTGGGTGGCTTTCTAACAGAGCATAACAAAAGCACAACAAAGCAAAACACTACACCTTAAAAGAGGTAACATGATAGAAGTTTTTTTAATAATTAGGCACGGCATAGAGAAGGTAGATAGAGAAAAGTTGTTCTCCCTCTCTCATGACGCTAGAACTCACTGACACCCAGGGAGGCTGAATGTAGGAAGATTCAGCACTTTCATGCAGTGCATAGTTCAATTATGGAACATGCTCCTGCAAGAGGCAGTGATGGCAACCCGCCTGGGTGGCTTCAAAAGAGGGATAGGCAAATTCATGAAGGCTGTCGATGGCTACAAGCCATGTTGGCTATGCTTCTGAATACCAGTTGCTGGAGACAGTGGCCTTGTGCTTGTGGGTTTCCCATGGGCACCTGGGCAGCTGCTAGGAAATGAGGAGGCTGGAATAAATGGGCCAATGGCCTGATCCAGCAGGCTCTTCTTACTTTCTCCTTCAGGGGACTTTCTGAAGCCTCTTGATCATTTTGGTTGCCCTTTTCTGCATCCTTTACAGTATCCTTTTTGAGGCCTTTTTAAGAGATCTATGAGCCTGGGCACGCACCCCAGGTTATTAAAAGTTTCCAAACTAACCACACATTTTTATTTTAATACCAGAAACCCCCTGAAAAACCAGGAGAGTGAGGAGAGACAAATGCACAATCAGGACTACAGAGACTTGCATATCATGGGAAAACAGCATCCAAGCAGAGAATGCAAAAAGCAGGAGTCAAGTGGAGGGAGAGGCTTCTGAGTGGAGGCTGCATCTGAAGAAGTGTCAAAAGGGGAAGGGAAGAACAGCTTCAGCACTCATCACCCGGAGAAGGAGCTATCAGCATACGTACCAACCTCCAGTGATATCCCTACTGCTAGAGCATCATTCCTTGGACGTGGGCCACTAAGGAACTTCTCTTTGTATATATATGATCCTCAGTGTCTTCACACTTTGCTTCAAATTTCCGGCCCTTTCCATGTTGGCATTGAGTAGGAATTATGCCCAGGTAGTGCCAATTTGGAGGACATGCCCCTGGCAGCAGCCCAGATCATGGCATAGCATTGGGTTGCTTGAATTGTGGACAAGTCCAAGAACAACATACACAGCTTGGCTCTGGCCCATCAAGAAAGAACCCAGGACACGTTCCTTAGCCAGGTTCTGGGTCATCTTTTCTGCTACATACAGAGATGCTAGCAGGTCTTTTCAGTAAGACCTTTTGATTCCAAGCTCTTCTCTTCCAAAGCCTCAAGATGTTTGTTATGCTCTCGGCCCTGCATTTTCCAATGCCACCTAGGATCGCGTCACACGCAGAGGAATAAGGAAAGCTCACTTGCTGCTTTGCATTCTCTGGATTTGGGGATGCCGCCTAGTTCAGTTGCCCTTTAAAATGAACTTTGCCCCAAAGAACTTTGTGAACGTCACAAAATAGATGGGGGGAATAGATGCAGTATGTTAATCAACTTTCAGAATTGTGCTGGCTTCAGAGTCGCAATAGAACAATAAAATACTGAATTGAGTGTTAGAGCCTTTATGTTTATGAAAAATTGCTGCTTATGCACCAATGTGTGTGACTGGATCCTGGCCTGTATATTTCGAATGGAGGTATTATAATAAGTTTTTTAATTGTACAGTAAACTATCATAGGATAACATGTTATGCAGAGTGGTATACAAATACTTCGAATACGATTTCTACTACTACTACTACTGCTACTACTAATTAAAACAGAGTTTCCCAAACTTTGGCTCTTCTGGATCCTCCAGAAAACCTATTTATTGAGCATTCATGGCAGAACATTTCCCCCCTACTTACTGTAAAAGGGAACTAGCAGAACTTCAGCCAGGCAACATTACAGTAGCAAAAATAAGCAGAAACTAGAATGAGAGCAAAGGTTAATTTCTTGCCTGCTGGTCTGCAGAGCAATTAAAGAGCTACAGTTTTAAAGACATGCATAGACATGAAAAGAGGAAAACGACACCTTTGAAGTCCACAGTGCAAAGAGCAGCTTTGAGGGAGGGCTTTTTGGCAGGAGGAGCAGGGGCGAAAGTTAAGTTCCCTCTCCCTGCCTGCTGTGATCCCAATATTGCTCAGCACCTCCCCTTTCCAACAGCTGCTATTTGCATTTTTCAAAGAAAAAAAAAGACCTTGCACATTACATGCAAAAAGAGATATTCACCTCCTGTCTAGTATGGCCCTCAGTGTCCCTTGTGGAAAGTCCTTATTCAGAGCAGCACAAAGAATAGGGAACATGATTGTTGCAACCAGCAGAGGGCAGTGATGCCATTTGTCTTGCTCACAAGCAGTCCAGGGGGTGGCAGTGCCTGTCAGCATCCTCAGTCTCCAGTGTTTGGTTGGCGGAAGAGTGTTGTCCTGGTATATCTTAGCAGGGAGGAGGATGGGTACCAAACTGGACTTTGATTGCTCTGCCCATCAGGGGCTCTGCATCCAGCTATGGTGGTCTTCCTGCCAGCCAGCCACCACCACCACTTGGCATTCAGGAGTGCAGCTGCAGAGATGGATAACCTGTGGCCCTCCAGATGTTGATGGACTCCAACTCCCATCATCCCTGGACCTTGACTGATGGCCACACTGGCTGGCACCGATGGGAGTTGGAGTCCACCAACATCTGGAGGGCTGCACGTTCCCCACCCTGCTTTGAGAGCCCACCCACTCAACTTTCCTCAAAATGAGACGTATTGTGGCGTAAATGTATCAGGATAGATAGATCAACCACAAAGTCAAACCCCACTTCCCCATATTGACAAATGGAAGATGGAGCCCCTATACATGAGCTTCAAGAGGTGCAGGGGCTCACATCAGAAGTGGGATTGGGGGGCAACATAGGCAGCTGTCAGATAATGAGACAGACCACTGGGCCCTGGCTTAGTAGTCTATACACGGGCTGGCAGCAGCTCTCCGGTATTTCAGACAGGGAGTTCCTGGAGACGGCAGGGATTGTTCCTGGGACCTTCTGGACGCAAAGCAGATGAGCTACGGGAGGAACATCGATAACCCTGCTTTCCAAGCCCATTTATGAGCGTGCACCCCCTCGCCATGGGCCTCTCCTTTGTTCAGAGTCCACCGGGCGGTCCAGCGCGCCTCTCTTCCCCGGTCACCTTGCGGGTTTCGAGGGGCTCGCGGGGGAAGCGGACAGACGGAAGGCCTGCCCCCCAAATTCGCAACAGGTAAGATGCGCCTGCCTCCCAGGGAGCCCGGCACTGGGGATCGCCACTGCCAAAGCCTCCGCCGGCCGCTTTAAGCGAGAGCAAGCAAGGCGTGCAAAGGGAGACCATCCCAGGGTCAATATTTGCATAGCCACGCCCACGCGCCGTGAAGGGCGGGGGGAGCCGGAGCCGGCGGCTGGCTGGAGGCTCTCGGGGAGCGCGGGCCGCCACGCGCTTCCCCTTTAAGAGCAGAACCTCCGGTCTCGCCCCTCGCCTGGCAAAATGTATCAAATCCGGTGGGCGGGGACGGGCTGGCGCGGCGCGGGCCAATGGGAGCGCGGGGTTTTCCGCGGGAGATCCGAATTTCGCGGCACGTAGTTTGGCGCTTAAAAAAAAAAAAGCGAGAGAAGGAGGAACGGAAAGAGAAAGGGCTGGGCAGCCATCGGGTGCGCTCTTGCCCCAATCCAGATCCATCCTTGCCCCAGGCGGCCCTGGCAGCGGCCCGGAACCTGGCAGCGGCCCAGCCGGGAGCCCCAAGGAGCCGAGGGGGCCAGCATTGCAAGTCGGCGGCAGCTCCATGAAAGGCGCCGGGGCCGCCAAAGGATCCAGGGCCCGGACTGGCTGCTTGAGCCCAGCCAGGATGCTTCTGCCGAGCCCCTCCGCCGGCCCTGGGATCTAGGCACGGGGAGCCGGAGCGGGGGGCAGCCGGGGAGAGAAATCTTCTGGGTGGTGTTTTGCAGAAAGAAAGAAAGAGCAGAAAGAAAAAGCACCCGAGCTTTTGTTCCCCCGATTCTCCGGCTGCGATTTTTTCCCCCCAGCCACAAAAGCTGCTTTCTTTGCTGGGGGAGGGGATGTGCAAAGCTGATCTGTAACCTTGCAAAGTCTCTCCAAAAATCCTTTATTTTATGTTTCTGGAAAGAGGGCTAGTGCAAAGTTGGTGTGTCTTTTTTTTTATTCTCCGCGCTAAGCGTGCATCATTTATTTATTTATTTTTGAAGCCGAGAGCTGGGGTCATTCATTGGTTTGGAGGAGGAGGAAGTGGGGGGGGGGGGAAGAAGCCTGCTTGGCCGCCCTATGGCTCGCTCCCCTAGCAAAGAAAGGCTCTGGAAACAGACTTTGATGAAAAGAGAGAAACTGGGGTCTGCATGAGTCATTCCTCCAATACCAAAAGTCAGTATTGCAAGCTGTTTCTTCCAGGTTTCTTTTTCTTTGAAGGATGAATTTGTGATTATTATTTTTTATGTTGCATTGGGGCTTGACCCCTGGGGAGCAAGCCAATGGCAGTTTTTTAAATGGCTAAGAGTACATTTTCCAAGCTACCTCTCAGGATCTCTCAAAATAAGAACAGTTATTGCCACCATCACTTGTTTTTGAAGCTCTGCTTGTTCCTTTGTGGCCTTTTGGAGAGGGCTCAGCCATGTTGAGAATCCCCAAAGTTGGGCCTCCTGCCCCTGGACGGGCCCCCTCTGCTCTTGGACCCCCCCAGCAGCAAAAGAAAGTCATGCCTGTGATCACCTCTGCAGAACTGGTGGTCTCCAACCTCAGCAGCCCCCAGATGCGAGCTCTCCCAGCTACCTATTTCACTCAGGTGTACCCTCAGACTGCTGTGGTTGCCCCATTGCCTAGGGGCAGCTGCCTTTATGCCACCCCCCATGGACCCGAGATCAAAACCATGCGATCTGCTTCCACTGGAAAACTGCCGGTAATACCGCTTTCCTTTTTCTCTTACTTTTCCTTTCTGTTTCTTTCCCAGCGTGTTGGCTTCTGACACCACTGTTGCACCTTTATATGGATGCAACAATGTGGGTAGGGTTGGGGGGCTGGTGGTTGGCACTGGGTTGCACCTGGCTGTGCAGACCCAAGGAACAAGGTGTACTTCTGCCAATAGCTCCAAAGCCAAGGCTACTTTATGAAAATCTTAATTGCTGGGTGGGCTTTGTGGGGTTATGTTGTATGGGGGCGTGCCGGTGGAGGTGTCCTTTGGGCTAAAGCCCAAAGATTCGTGAATCTCAATACAGTACATTGTGGCTCATGCCATTTCTTAACTTCCCTGTACTTTGCCCTACAACACTTCTCCTTTTTGTTATTGCAGAAATCCTAACGCTGCTACGTCATGCAGAATGCCATCTGTGACACTAAAAGGATAGGGGAAGCATCTTTAAAAACAAGATGCTAAGGAGAAGAATTTCATGTTGCAAAATTCCTCTCCTGCCTTGACATGGCAGTTTGATACATTTCATCAACTATTTCAGCCGAGTTGAGCCCGTCCTCAGTGAATCAGTTCCAGCAGCCTTAATCTTTTCCCCCTTTTCCTTTGATCAAAGCCTTGTCTCTTCCGCCACTCACTCTCTGGAAGAGTTCTGATTTTGACAGAGCTTTTACCTGATTCGATAGCCTCCGGTGCATGAATCTAAAGAACCATGCCTAAGTTTGATGCTTCCTCTGGCAAAGGAATCATAGTAAACTGGGCCATTGGCCCATCTAGCTTAGGATCGACTGGCAGGGGCATTTCCCAGCCCTACCTAGATATGCCAGGGATTGAATGTGGGACCTTCTCCATAAAAGCCAGATGTTCTTCACCAAGCTGCTCCCCAAAAGGGAAAAACAGTTAGAAGGAGTTAAGGAAAAGCCCAAAGGCCCACCTAGTCCAGCATCTTCTTTTCACAGTGGTCAACCAGGTGTCTTTGGGAAGCACACAAGCAGGAACTGAGCGCCACATCTCTACTTTCTTCACTTCTGATTCTCAGCAGCTGATATTAAGAGGTGTGCTATCTCTGGCATTGGAGGTAGTGCGCAATCATTGTCACCATTTAAATAGGGGATGTTCAACGGTGCAGGAGTCTTGCGCTTGGCGCAGTGAACGATGAGGATGTTCTTTAAGAAAAAAATAGTTGTTGTGTCAGTGCGTTTTTGTGAGCTGGGGATTGTGCCCTCTGGCCAAGTTTTTTTGCACTTCTGGTGTGCGCTGCTTTTGTGTGGGTGTGAATTGAAATCGGAAGCACTCTGGTCCCAAGACAGGGCTGGACGGAAGCACCCAGCATTGCCAGATGGACCCTGAGGACCTACGGGTGCCTGTTTCCCTTTTCTTTGCTTTTCCAAGGGATCTGGGAGTTGGGTCTAGCAGAATTAATCTGAACCTTGAGAAGCTCGTAGAGCAGAAAGAGGAAGTGGGGGAAAGTTTTGCACTTCCAGCTTCCTCCTTCAGCTCTACTTTCTGGTCAAGAGAGAAAAAGGTAAGCAGCCTCTGCCTGATGACTGAGAGGGCAGTGGGGTGAGGGCCTCATGGGCACCATGGAAAAAACTCAAGGGGGCCATTGCACCCATGAACCCTGCATTGAGAACCCCTGCCGTAAGAGCAGGTGGGTTAATCCAGGTGAGCAAAGCATTCCTCCTAGAACACCCACCCAGATCAACCTCTTAGCCTTTGCATGGTAGATCTACTTGCAATCATCCTGAAAGCGGTTGCTGTGAGAGCTGATGTAGTGTTGTGGCTTTGACTTGGGTTCATGGGCCCTAGTTTCAGTCTTGTCTCTGCCATGAGTTCAGTAGGTGAACATGTGAGCCTTGCTGTGTTGGGTTAAAGCAGCTTTGGCCAGCCTGATGCCCTCCAGATGTTTTGGACCAACTGCCATCAGCTCTGACCGTTAGCTGTGAGACTGATGGGAATTGCAATAGAAAAAGACTGGAGGACATCAGGTTGGTGAAGGCTGGACTAAGAGATGGCTTCATGGGTCATGGTGTTCCCTAACTCCTTCAGTTCATCACTAGCCATTTCCCACAACACACAATGAAAAAAATAAGACTAGCTCTGCTAGCTCAAACCAAAGGCGCATTCAGTCCACCATCTTGTTCCTCACAGCAGCCAACCAGATGCCTATGAGAAGCCTACATGCAAGGCATGAGGCCATGAGTGCCACTGTTGTTCTCCAACTGGTATTCAGAAGCAACATTATTCCAATTCTTGAAGCAACATAGAGCCATTGGGACTAGTATCCACTGATGGCCTCATCCATGAAATTGTCTGGCTTTCTTTTCTAAATGGGAATCCATCACACATCTTGTGATAGCAAATTGTGTTGCATAACTTCAAAGAAGTACGTCCCACCGGCGAGCTTCATTGGATGAGCCCAAGTTCTAGCCAGTATTCTTCCCATTTGGAATATGGAAGATAATAGTAGCGGCTTGCTTAAAAGCAGCAGTGGAGGCACTGTGCCCCCTCCAGATGTTGCTGAACTACAGCTCCCATCATCCCTGGCCATGCTTGGTGGGGATGATGGGAATTGTAGTTCAGTAACATCTCGAGGGCCAAAGGTTCCCCACACCTGTTTTAAAGGGCCACTGTAAGGATTTACAACCACATGGTGCATGTGAAGTTCTTATGCCTTGATTAAATATTGTTATTAATCCCTGCGTGGCAGTGCTGTCTGGGCCTGTACATTATGTGGAATGGATGAGCCACAGGGTGGGGCATAGCGTGGAGTGATACCCTACGTGATGGTTGATAAGGCAAAGGTGTAGAAATGCTCGTTGTTCTGATTTAACCAGTGCTGCTGTTAGTAATTGTATTACCTGTGTTTTCAGGTAGAACTATAACCCCCTGCTTTGCTGCTAGGGACTTGGGGGGCGGAAGGGAGCACCAAAACTACTCCTGTACCATTAGTGGTACTTGGCTGGGTCATATACTAGAAGCGAACTGGACATGTCCATTGGAGGCACTTTCACACACCTTTCTGTACCTGCCAATTTACAACCTCACGCATGTTTACTCAGAAGTGCATCCTGCTGTGTCTGAGGAGACATATTCCCTAGTAAGTGTGTTTTAGGAGTGCATTCCAGTGCCCTCTGAACCTCAGGCTGCTACTCTAAAGCATATTATCTTGTAACACCCCCAATAATAATATAAGAAGGACCTTGCTGGTTCAGACCAAAGGCCCATCTATCCCAGCATCCTGTTCTCGCAGTGACCAACCAGATGCCTGTGGGAAGTCCAAAAGTAGATTTACCTTAGTGGCATGTGTGGCACTTGATCATCCAGTCCCATGGTGAGCTTGCAGCCAGCTATTGAAAACCTGTCTTTCTAGGAACCTCTTGGTCCCAGGTTGGACTTAGTTGTCTGGTAAGATTCTGATGCTATAAATCATGCCTCTGAGCACCTGTTGTTTGGGAGCACAAATGGGAGAGTGTTGCTGTGCTGGCCTCTACTCAATAATGCACAGCGAATGGCAGTGGCTCTCCGGGGTCTCTTGGACTGAACTGGAGATATTTTGTATGCAGTGCAGGGTATGAGTTCTACCACAAAGCTATAGCCTCTGGCCCAAAGGGAAGCTGAGTTGCAACCAAGGTGAGTGGCAAGGCAGAGGCACCTTAAGGGCTTCTGTACCTCTAAGCATTGCATGGAAAAGGGCATTTTGTCAGACATAGCAGCTTTCCTCATTGAATTGCTGTGATGCTTATCCCTGGAACATAGGAAGTTGCTTCATACTGAGTCAGATCGCTGACCCATCAGTATTGTCCAACAGAAACTTCTCTGGGGTTCTTCCATGGATTTAACCAAGTTTTTCCCATCACCTGCTGCCTGTTCATTAGAACTGAAGATGCCTTGGAGTGAACCTGTGGCCTTCTGCATCCAAGGCATTGCTCTAACACTAAGCTATGCCTTCTCTCATTCCTTCCACGGAGCTGTGGCTCTTGTCCCTGCTCTGGCATCCCTTGTGCTGCTGTTTCTGGAAAGACCAGAAAACTCAACTGGGCTTGTCTGATAGTTTTCTGCCTCTGGGGTAGAGGTGATGTTGATGTTTCTGCTTGGAGCCATGTCTTCCCCCAGGGAATTTGCAAATTGCACTCCTTCCCTATAGTGCCATGGGGAGGACAGGAGGGCCATAGCTCATTGGTAGAGCCCATGACTTGCTTACAGAAGGTCCTGGGTTCAGTTCCAGGCATGTCCAAGAAAGGCTGGGAAAGAGTCCCATCTGAAACTCTGGAAAGCTTCTATCAGTTAGTGGCTGGGTATGCGCATCTTGCTAAGCCAAACTATGGCTTACCAGGACCCTGCTAACATGTGGAGTGGAGATCACAGCTGCTTTGCTCCTCTCCAGTACTTTTAGCTCAACATGCGGCACTTAAGCCAATGTTTGGCTCAGCATGTCGTCTGAACATGGAGTTCTGGTTAAGCTCCCTCCTCCTTAGCCATGACCTGTAACCAAGAACAAACCTTGGCTATAGATTGTGGTTAATCTCCCATTCAGAGGACACAATGAGCCACAATGGTTTAGCTGCCATGCTGAGCTGAAAGGATCTGGAAATGACCAAAGTGGGTGAAATCTCCCCCTTGGGAACCAGCATGTTCACACTAAACCATGGTTCATCTTAGCATAATGTGTGAGTGCGGCTGGTGTGTAGACAGTGCAGAGTGTGGCAGACTGATGGGTTCAGGAATACCTTCCTCAATACAATCCTGCTCCGCTGTTTTGCAACTGTTGGTGCTAGGCCTCCATGGCATGCTTGCTGAAAGCTTTGACCAATGCTCCTAATTGGCAGAGAAGCCTGGAGTCATCACCCCCCCCACCACCTTTCTCCAAGTCCTGGGAACCATTCCAGCTTCTGCTGTAACCCTCTGTCCTCCCAAGGGCTGAATCGAATTTCAGATTTCTCTATCTCCCCTGCTGAGTGTTTGACGCCTCCTGACAGGTGTGGGCTTTGGGATGAACATCCCCTTGTGGGTCTGTAGCTCTCCCTCTCCCCTCCATACTTTCTAGTTCTTGGAATTCCTAATCTGTCTGAGCAACTAGGACCTTTGTGCTTAACAGGGGCCGAATGCCAGTTTCTCTAAACAGCCCCTGCCTTATGCTATAATAATATCACCTGCTTTCTCTTTCCTGCTGCGCATCTGTGCCTTGCATTGCTCTCGGAGATGCTTTCCCTCCCCACCCCCAAAAGAGGGAAGGCACCATCTAAACCCCTCCCCTCTTTTGTTGCCCAGACTCCTTCTGAAGGCATGTCTCTGTCAGGGGCACCATGTCCTCCGTGTTATCTGTGCAGAACAGGAGCTCTGGTGAAATAGACCTCATAGCTCCTCTTGCATTCGAGGAACAAGATCTTTCCAAACTTAAGTCCTGTATGATTCTATCCTGACTTGCATAGGCATGTCGCTGCACCAATATAGCCTTGTCTTTTACAGCTTGTCTGGTACTTGTTTATATGTGACCATAGGAATTCCATGCAGGTGAGTGAGTGGATGATGGATAATGGACACAATGTGCCATCCCTCCTCTGCCAGGCTCCTTGGTTTCTAGGTTAGCTGTAGAAGATGAAAAATCACCATGACCAGCACAGCACAGATATGCAGTGGGTTGGTGAGGAAGAATGGATCATCCCATCCCTTTTCTATTAGTCCACTTGGTAAAAGGCCTCCCCCCCCCCCTCAGCCTCTAAGTCAGGCATCCCCAAACTTGGCCCTCCAGCTGTTTGGGGGCTACAACTTCCAATCATCCCTAGCTAACAGGACCAGCGGTCAGGGATGATGGGAATTGTAGTCCCAAAACAGCTGGAGGGCCGAGTTTGGGGATGCCTGCTCTAAGTGGCTAGTGGACAACCTTTGGCCCTCCAGATGTTGCTGAACTACAGCCCCCATCATGCTAATGTTAATTTCTAATGCTTGCTCTTAGCCTGGGCGTATGCCCCATTAAGTTTGTATGTAGACATGTATTGGATTGCACTGTAAATATGCTTGGTAGTTGCATCTGAGAAACTTGTTTCAGAAAGCCACTTCTAATATAAGCTGGTGCGTAATTTTTAAAGTGCAGGTTGGCATAAACTTGCAATTTAGGTCAATGTTGTCTTGGCCGCTCGGTTGATTATGGCACAGCAGTTTTCTTCCGGCCTTCACAAGCAGACTGTGGCTATGATTCAACTTCTAAATAAGCTACTCCATTTGTTAAGACCAGTTGAGGCTGCTTCGTAAGCCCCACCCAGGTACCTGAGCTCACAAAACAGGCGCACTGCACCAGTCAAGTCAGATATGCTTGTGCAGGGGTTGGCAAACTAAGGTTCGCGGGCCGGATTTGGCCCGCCAGGCTCATTAATCCGGCCTGCAAACCTTGCGGACCCTGCCGCCCGCTCGGTCAGTCCCCGCGCTAAACCGGTGCGGCGCAGAGGCCTCACTGCACAGGGACTGACTTACGCGAAGCGGCTTCTGATTGGCTACAAGAAGCTCCTGGCAGCCAATTAGAAGCTGCTGACACCTGGGTGAGCAGCGATGCTGGCACGGCCTCTGCGCCGCCGCTGCTTCCTCCTGCTCAGCCGCCTCAGCAGGAAGCAAGGGGTGGCGCCCAGAGGCCGCCAAGCGGGAGGGAACAGGAAGAGCTGAGCGGGAGGGAGCAGTGGTGGGGCAGAGGCTGCCTCCTCTGCCCAGGCCAGCGGAGACGAGGCGGGGGGGGGGAGGTCCTTTCAGGAGAGGGGGGGGTCCGGCCCTTCACAAGTTTGAAATTTGCTCCGACTGAAAGCCCACTCAAACTTTTACTGCATTGCTTGATGATGCAATCAGACGCAGATGCCTAAACACCAGGTGCCAAAAAGGTGGCAGCAGGGCCCAGCTTCCTTCCAGTGACAAGCAAGAGGTTGTTGAAAAGCCTGGTGTAGTAGTGTAAGCCGTGCACTTCTTTTTGAAAGCATAGCTGTGGTGCAGAGCTCCCAGTAGGTTTCCAGGCACAATTTAAAGAGTTGGTAAAGCCCTAAACGGCCTCAGCCCTGTATACCTGAAGGAGCATCTTCAGCCCGGACACTGAGATCCAGCTCAGAGGGCCTGCTTAGTAAGTGGAGCAGTGGAACACCCTCCCATGAGATGTCAAGGAAATAAACAACTATTTGACTTTCAGAAGACATCTGAAAGTTTTTTAATGTTTGATGTTTTATTGCGTTTTTAATATTTTGTTGGGAGCCGCCTAGAGTGGCTTGGGTGACCCACTCAGTTTGCCAGCATATAAATAGTAAAATTATTATTAGTATTATTGCATGTTTTGGCTCTGCTTACTAGCCAGACAGCCCTACCTCTGAGACACATCTTACAAAAGTTAAGTGCAAAAGTCGAGGTCTAGTCCCACCCCAAGCCCCTTTCCCAGCTCACAGAGAACACGTGGAAGGGATGATTGCCACCAGCATCCTGGCTAGTGGATTTGAGGAGCTTAGCTCTGGAGAACAGGGAGAACACTGAGCTGCTGCTTCCAAGCATTTTAAAGGGATATGTGCCTAATTATACATGATCATGGGTTTGAGCTCCATGTGGGGCAAAAAAAAAAAGATTCCTGCATTGCAGCTGGTTGGACTAGATGACTCTCATGGTTCCTTCCAACTCTGCAATTCTATGAATGTGGCTCCTTCACAACATCTGGGCATCTTATAAATCTACCTCTTTAGTTTCTGAGGTTCAGCAGGTATTACCCACACATTCAAGCATGTTTTTGTAGCCATAAGGGCTAAATACTTGTCTTGGGGGGTGGGGTGTTTTTATTTCTTAGGAATCTTTCGCCGGATCAAGGATTGTGCCAAAGTTTGAAAAAAAGTTCTTTTTAAAAAATATCAAGTAGGGCACACCCACACTCAACATTTGAATGGCTGTTGCATAGACCGCAGAGCATATTCACTCTCTTGTTGCCCCAGAGCAGGCATAGGCAAACTCAGGCCGCCAGACGTTTTGGGACTACAGTTCCCATCATCCCTGACCACTGGTCCTGTAAGGATGATGGGAGTTGTGGTCCCAAAACATCTGGAGGGCCGAGTTTGCCTATGCCTGCCCCAGAGGGTAAGACCTGAACCAACGGCTTCAAATTATAAGAAACTAGATTTCATCTAAACTTTGCTAAGAACATACTGATGGGCCGAACTGTTTGACAGTGGACCAGACTGTTTGGGATAAGCCACCTATCAATGATGCCCTAGGCTGGATTTTCCAACTCTGATTTCCAACTCTGACATAGGCCTTAATCTCATTCTCTCTGTTTGCATGCATTTACCCAGGCATGATTTCTGGGACCCTTGACAGGCTAGAACCAGGTAGCAGAGACCTTTAATCTTATTGCCTGGGTTCTCCCCTCCCCACCCCCATTTCACTTTTGTTCCAGGCTGCCCTTTGAGATGATGATTCAGAGGACTTAGCAACACAGAGTTCTTACAGGAAACTGTTTGGTCAGCATTTGAAGTGCAAGTCACTTCGCTTTAATTGCACAAAATGCAGCTGCCAGGATGGGCGTGGTTTGAGGACAGCAAGTTCAGCCTTTTGGGCTTCTTCCTGAAGGTGGCTGCAGTCTCTTCTTCCCTGGGGCCATATTTCCGCACATCTGTGGAAAGGGCGGGCCATGCACAACTCAAGTGGACGGCACAGAACATTGGCATCCCTAGAGCCTTGGCTTAGAGAGAGGGAGAGAGTCAGAACTCTGCCTTTCAGCAGTCAAGATTTGGTGGTCTAGCGCTGCAAAGTTGGTGTTCACACACTTCACTCATCATAGCTTTCATTCTTTCTGCTCTTTCCAAAAATCTAAGTTTTATTTAATAACCTGAAGAGGTATAAATGCACTGCGTCTGCATTAACACATTGGTACTGGGAGCCTAAATTCATGCAGAGCCCTTTAAACGTCCCAACTCCTGAAGTGTTGGTATCCATTATTAGTATTATTACAAAAATTGGTCCTGTAGTGCGGACTGTTTCGATTCAGGGTTCCAGCCAGCCATGCCCTGTGCTAGGAGACTCCATTCCATTTCCCCCTCCCCTTTTGAAAATGAGTATAATAGGACTATAATAGTTCTGCTGTATAGGGCTTTATGCAGCTCATTGCAGAGCTGCCCTCTCGGAACTGGAACATAATGTCCTGATCCTTTATCCACTCCTCGTGGGCTGTTGCATTTCCCCCCATGCACTGTTATCAATGGATATTTGGTCCATTTGGATTGGCAGTTAGATGCACCTGGGTGTGATGCTCTGCTCTGTTACTCTTTAGGGTGTACTATATCATAGCTCAGTGGTAGAACACGTGCTCTGAGTGCAGAAGGTCCCAGATTAAATCCCGGCATTCCCACATAGGGTTGGAAGCAGTGTTAGAAATCATCCAGGTGCCAGGTACATTGCAACTAGCACAGGTCCAAGTGTGACCACATGGAGATCTCTTGGTGCCAAGTTGGGGACTGACGTCTCCATCTAGCTGTCCCCTCCAGCTTGCTTAAGCAGAATAACTTACTTATTGCATTTACGGTATATCCCACCTTTTTCTCCAAGGAGTACATGGTTCACCCTCCTCCTCAGTTAATCCCTACAATGACCTTGTGAGGTAGGTTAAGTGACTGTGACTAGCCCCAGGTCAATAGTTTCATGGCCGAGTGAGGAATTGAACCCTGATCTCCTAGGTTCTGTTCCGACACTCTAACCACTACGCCACACTGGCTTCTTAGAGTACTTCTGCTGTGGGGCAGCTATATAAATTAAGCAGATAAATGAATATGGGAGAAGCAAAATGTCACTTAGCAAAGGATCTGAAATATTTTCCTTTGTTTTGTTCTGGATTGTTTGGTTGGATGTTTTAACTTCTTGTAAATTGCCTTGAGATTTGTTTTCTTTAGAATATAAAGTGGCATAGGCATGAAATAAAGAGTAATGATAACAATAAATGTCATTGCAAAAAAAAGGGGGCTCCTGGGCATTCCATTGTGGCGACTGTAACCTAGGCTTAAGGCGCCATTGGGCAATTGGCTTATATTTTTGAGTTTCTGACACTGGTTGGAAGAGATCTCCCGAAACCCTGGAGAGCTGCTGCCAATCACTGTAGACATTATTGAACTAGATGGAACCAAGGGCCTGAACTGGCGCAATGCAGTTTCCTATGTCACTTAAGAGGCTGTGGACTGCATCGGAATACAAGCCACATTGTTTGGGGCAGGCAGGCTTTGATTTGAAGGCTGCTGTGCAGATGGGCTTCAGAACGTGAAAAACACTTCCTGCCTTTTCTTTAGGTTGCCGATGTGTGCGCTGCCTAGTGGGACCTGGCTTTCATTGAGAGGCCCTGACCAATGTGACTCTGCAAATTTTCCTATCTATAGCAGGAGAGGAAACTGAGGGCTGGGCAGGCAACTCCCAGAAGAGAGTGATAAAGTGTGAGGAAAAGCCATCTAAGGACATTCGAAGCTGCATGTTTCCCCATCGTTGCAGGATGTCTGTGCTGTGACCAGTCGCTAGTTTTGATACTGTCCTATGGTTCCTGCCCATTGAGCTTGGTTTACAGCATGTAGCTTTTGTGGGTTTCCTCTGCAATTTCGTCACAGAGCATCTTTCCCAAGTAAAGGTCTTTGCAAGTAAACTCAGCAATGGAGAGAAGGTTCCTCTGCCACCACCAGTCCTCCTGGCACCTACAGCTGGCTGTTCTATAGAAAGTAGCACACCGTATTTCAAAAAGTAGGAAACCACCAAAATTGTTGCTAGGTCAGTGGAAGAATGAAGATCTGGTGTGACTGTTCAAGAAAAAAAATAGATGATATTTTGGGTTGTTTTTTTCAAAATGCAAACTAACATGTTATAAGCCTTACTGTTTTTCTAAAAAAACAACACCACTATATCCATGACCTGTCAAACACATTTGGTTAAACTAGCGGGCATAGGGGAATCACTAGGCTACCCAAGCTATGAAGGGAGTTTTTATGGTGTGATGTTTGTAGTGTCTATTTGTTCTGCTCCATGTTGCCAGATGGCGATCCTGCAAGGAGCCATGACCATTTGGCTTGGAGTCACAGCTATGGCTGCAGTGGAATGCCAGGTTTTCACTGCTGGAGAGAACTGTGCTCCCTCGTGCCCCTGCCAGTGCATGATGGGAGCTCTCCGATGTCTGGCTATTTCTTGGTCACAAGGATTCCTCCATTCTGCACAATGTACACTTATTACATGTGTTCTGCAAGAGGGACACTGCTACCCACTTGGCAAAAAGGTCTAATTCTCAGTGCGGGATATAGGAGGCATCTGCAGCAATTATATTTTGAGGATATGGTAGAACACAACCTCATCTTATGGTAGAACATAAGAAGAGCCTGCTGGATTAGGCCAATTGCGGAGGCAGAGCATAGCCATCATGGCTAGTAGCCACTGATTGCCTTAGCATTAATGTCTAATTCTCTTTTAAAGCTATTCAGGTTGGTGGCTCCCACTGCCCCCAGTGGGAGCAAGTCCCATAGTTTAATTAATTGCTGTGTACCTTTAATTAAGTGCTGAAGTACTTTTATCTGGCTCGAATCTTCCAATATTGCTCCATCCCCTTGATCACCAGTTTCCCTTTTCTGAACATTTTCCAACTCAACAATATCTTTTTTGAGGTGAGGTGATCAGAGCTGTGTTCCAGATGTGGTTGCACCATAGATTTGTATGATGGCATTATGCTATCTGCAGTTTTATCTCTAATTCCCTTCTTGCTGATCCCTAGCATGGGATTTGCCTTTTTCACATCTGCTGCACAGTGGATTGACGTCTTAATCAAGCTATGCACTATGACCCCAAAGTTTCATTCCTGGTCAGTTACTGCTATTTCAGATACTATGGACTTATATGTGAAGCTGAGGGTCTTTTCTTGCCCTGGCATGCATTACTTTACCCTTGCTTACAATGAATTGTGTTTGCCATTTTACAACTCATTCATTCATTTTGGAGAGGTTCTTTTTGGAACTTTTTGCCATCGCAAATTAGGTGTCAGCCCTAGAAAGAATAGTTGGAAAAGAGCGGGGGAAGGAATCTGACTACCTGTTCAATGTGCAAATTATGAATATTTATAACTGTGAAGCAGACTGCTCATTTAGGGTAAGAGGGACGGAGTTAAGTCCTAGCCTTACTCTCTTGTAGAAATCAAAGGGCCTGTTCAAAGGTAACATTAAACTATGGACTTGGGCAAAGTCCTCTTTACCATGTCCGCAAGCAGGAGATTGGCAGCATCTAGTTCCACTTTCCAGAGCTGCATCCAAACTCTGGGAACTGGCTAGTTTAATTTATGGTTAGTGAGCAAGCTAGAATTGTAAGCCATAGTTTGACCCTGACGACTTCTTTTTTGAACTCGACATAGTTTAAACCAGCGATGAAGAACCTGTGGCCCTTCAAATATTGTAGGCTTACATATCCCATTTACCTGACTATTGGGTCTGATGGGAGTTGGAGTCCAACAACCATGGTAGAGCCAATGTTGTTTTAAACGAAGTTTATTTACTTTTATTTATTTATATAAGCATTTATATACTGCCCTCGCAGAACATCAGGGTGGTATACAACAGCACAAAAACATTTAAAAGCAACACAAAGCAGTAATTAAAACCAGTTCCTTATGATACCCTGGCCCCCAAGTTGTGTAGGGCAAGTAGTGGCTGGGGCCCATTGGAACTGCTAGGCTGGAAGGCAGAGTGATAAGCAATAGATGGAGCCTATTCTAGCCCCGTCTCCCGCCACAAATCCTCCTCCTTGCTGAGTTATTAGGTGCCAGCATTGCCAATGGCCAGGGATAACTGGAGTTGTAGTTCAGCAACACCTGGAGGTTCCACAGGTTAATCACCGCTGAATGGGCCCCGTGCATAGTTTTCAGGGGGTATAAAGATTTCTGTAGAGGGCTGGATAGCCTTGGGAGGTGCTGTTCTTGTTTTTTCATGGTGGAAATCCTGTTCTGTCTGTGCATGAAAGAGAGAGAAGGAGAGAGTGGGTGTGCACCATAAATGCTGTGGTATTCTGTGATAATGTAGCAGAAAGAAGGGTTCCCACGCCCTGGAGAGGGTGTGTGCATGTTTTGGGGAAAGGAGGGTGGGGGGTTGAGTTCAGGGCATGACATATCTGCCTGGGCAAGGCTAGAGCATGGCGGGGCTCTGTTCACAGTTCTGCCACCAGAATCCTTTCTCCTCTTTTTAAAGAAATGTAGGCCCCCTCGGGGCTGGGTTTGGCCTTCGTTTTTGGCTGTAAATGAAGGGAATGCTTGCCTTCCGACCAGGGTCTTTTCACCTGTTTGAGGCTCCCGCTTGTCTTGCCATCCCTCCCGTCCCCTTGCCCCAAGGGATTGTGGGAAATTTGCCAAGGAATGCCTGGCTAGGTTGAGGCCTAGTAGTCAAATGAAACGTTTGTTGATAATGCCATTTGCTGGGAATGAAAAGGTGGGGTGCAGGATCCTGTTCTCCACCTCTTCATTAAAAAAAAAGAGTCCCTGAAAAAGGAACTTTCATCTTCTTACATACCTATAAATCAATCAATAAATGCAAATGTTTAATAAGAACTGTCTCATGTACAAACAGGGCAGGGCATTGAGGCCTCCTTGGCTTCCCACTCCGACCCACCAGCAACTTTCTTTGCTTAGCACCAGCCGTGGCTGCCACAGAGGCAGGGCATTTCTCTCTCCCCAACTCTGCTGGCGTCTCTCCCTCTCTCTCCCTCTCCCTCCCTCCAGCCCCCAACCCCCCCAATTCCTTTTGGCTATGGGCCTGTCAAAGCTGAGGAGATGGGGAAAGGAGGAGGGCTCTTCTGTTCCATTATCAACGTGGCAGCTTGGGCGGCCAGCTGTCGTGCGGCTAATCCTGCTGGTGGTGGGGGAATGACAGGATCGCGCTAGGTTGGGCCAGGCAAAGCAGCTGCTCCCTGGCCTGCTCTGCTACTTCCTTTTGTCCTTTCCCCACCAAACGCCCTCCTCCCCTCCTTGGGGACTTGTGAATGCATCCTTCTCCCTGTTTCGGAGGCGGCGGAGGGGAGCAGACAGGCGGGCGCTGGGGACTCTTGCCTTGCATACATGGCGTGTGGATGACTTGTGTAGTCTTGACCCCTCCACCCCTTGCAGACGTGGGGAACTTTTCCTATAGGGCTGCCATACGTCGGGGGGTTGGTTCCAGAAGGAGCCGGGTTGCCTTGGATCTTCAGCAAGTAAACCAAGAATTCACGTTTTTTTTGGGGGGGGGGGGTTGTCTACTTCTTGAAATATGGCAACCCTATTTTCCTGTCTCCCATTCTTTCCATAAGGCTGCTGTGGGGACAGGCCATAGCTCAATGGTGGAACTGCTGCTTTCCATGCAGAAGGTCCAAAGTTCAGTCCCTGGTTGGGTTGGGAATGTCCCCAACCTGAGACATCAGAGAGCAGCTGCCACAGCATAGAGAATTACAAAACGAGGTTGGCCAATGGTCTGACTCTTTATAAGGCGACTTCCTATGAGGGCCTTTCAGCTCTCCACTAGGACCACATCTGCAACATTCTTTGAAAGCGCTATTGTGCTGCTTCAACAACCATGCCTTCCCCAAAGAAACCTGCCTGGTGTAGAGAGTGCCCAGGCAGAAGGCAGAACCCCTTCCCAAGCTCTCATTTCCTCTTGTTGGAACTGGTGAGGAAAGACAATCAGAGGCCTTCTCTTGCCCCCAGCAGTTGAAAATGCTCTAGCTTACACTTACTCTAGTCAAACTCGGGTGCAAAAATGGCCCTGCCCCTCTCTTCCTCTTGTGTTTATTTTCTGGAACCCATCACCTCTGACCACTGGTCCTGCTAGCTAGGGATGATGGGAATTGTAGTCCAGCAATAGCTGGAGACCCAAGTTTGAGAAACACTGCATTAAGGGATGCCAACTAGGGCTTTAAAAGTATGCAGTACCCACACCAGACATTTAAAGCACTATTAAACTATTTTAATAGTCATGGCATCCCCCAAAAGAAACCTAGGAGATACAGTTTGGTAAGGGTGCTGAGAGTCAAAGAATATGCCTATCTGCTTCAGAGAGCTACAATTCCCAAAGTTCTCTGGGAAGAGGGATTGACTGTTAAACCGTTCTGGGAATTGCAGCTCTGTCAGGGGGATAGGGGTCTCCTAACAACTCTCAGCATCCATAATAAACTACAGGTAGACATGCAGCATTTCAGCTACATGGCTGAAACTACATAACAACCACCACTTCACAGTTTTGGATGCCACACATTCATTCAGCTTTTTAAGCAACTAAGCTACTGGTTCCAACTATGGGAAAATGCCAGCATACAGTTATCATGTGGCAGTCTGCATTGCTCAAGACGTCTTAGTTTGGAGGAGGGGGGAGATGGCTAAACTGGGGGTTTCCAACATGGGGACAGAAATCCTGATTGACCAAGGTTCCATTCTCTGTATTGGAAACTCTTCCTGAGTAGAAACACTATTTCAGATTAATCCTGATCGCATGTTGGTTAAGGGTGTGCCCATCATGCTTTGCTGTCGAGCGGGTGGAGCTTGCCTTGCACATTCTCACTTTCCCCATAATGTGCTTGCCCTTGAATTCCTTCATAGGGCTAGATGATGGTCTCCCAGTGTAGCTTTGAGTGCCAAGCAATACAGTGTCCGCTGCAGGGCTTTTGTCTTTCTGGATCTGCCTTTGATGGGTGTTGCGTTTGGGGCCAGGTCAAGGGCCATGCTAAGCTGATGATCTCTTCCATTTCTCATGACCTTACGACAGGAAACGAAAGTGCGAGCAGCGGCAATAGCGCTGCTCTGCGCGTGCCCCACTGCCTTTCTTGTTGTTGCATCTGAGCCTTCTGCTCTTGGCTGTTACCGTTTTGCAGCTGGGATGTGCAGAACTTTGACCACAGCTGGTGTGGCTTGCAGCTCCTCTCCAAGCAAATTAAATGTAGGGCAGTGCTATGGTAGCAGGCAAATGGCTTCACGGCAAATGCTCTTTGCCTCTCAACTGCTCACCTGGGAGCCGTTGCTGCCGTTGCAGCTGCCAGTCTGCTGGTGAGTGTTTTGCAATGTTTACTACGATCTTAGATGCCTGTTACATTCATCGCATGAAGGGTTGCCATGTGTAAACAAGCAGTAACTGAATGTTGCAGACGATTCTGAAGGAGGCGAGCAGAAAAAGCCGAAAGAGGTCACATCACTTGTCTCTGCTTATGTTATCTGTCCTTTGGGCAGCTAACTCTTTAGCTGCTTAAGAAGCAGTGGCTGGTGCCCATTGGCGGGGGGGGGGGGGCGGGCAGAAGGCAGGGAGCCCAAACAGTAGGTGGAGCCAGAGTCAATAACAGGCAGAGCCAAACAAGTGTTTTGTCCCCATCCTCCTCCCTGCTGAGTTCTTCAGGGGCAACACGGAAGCTAAGCGGACAGACAGAACCACCTCTTGACCTGCTGTAAGAAGGCAGGTAGGGGTTGACTGAGGACAGTGCCCCATTCACTCGATAAGGGAGCAGGCTCTGATCCTACTGAAAAAAAGACAAGCATTGATAGATCAAGGAAGACAAGTGATAGTTCTGTGGTCCCCTTTGGATTTCTTTGCCTATGACTGGGTGGGGGACCCTTTAGAAGTCACAACAGCCTGACTTACACATGGCTAGTTCTCTCTGGGGTGTGTAATGTTTAGCCAGGGTCTGGCCACCTTCCGTCTTTTTCAACTTCTATAAAAATCATACTGGCAGGAGCAACCTAGAGTCCAGAGGAGGCTGCCGTGGGGGTCGTCAAACTTCAGAATTGGAAACAGTGTTAGAAACTCAGATACAGAAGCTGGGAGCCCACTAGAGCAGCCCTTGACGTTCCTGCTGAGATTCAAGCACTTTCAGGTGTCTTAAAAAAAGAAAAAGAAAAGCTGACCAGCCAACACAGTTGTCAAATTTTGTTTTTGGGTACGAAGCCTTGATGTTTTGTGAGAGGGAGGGTATATCAATACTTTTATTAATTGATTGGTTTTTTTTAAATGCAGCCGTTTGCAGCAGGGCCTCGCTTGTTCGCAGATAATATGCATTTCTCTCGCCTGGCTATCAGAGAGTAGCGGGTGGCAGGAGGCGGGGAGGGGAGGGGAGCAGAATAACTTTGCAAAAGCATCTTTCTATCTCTCTCTGAGTGTGAGACAGAACAAGAGAAGCACAGAGCCCATTTGTCTCGCCTTGCACTGTGGGAGGAGGGTTGGCATCTTGACTTGGCGGGCTACTGGACCCCTCCCCGGATTGTCTGCCCTGTCAAAGCCACCTGTTGCTCTGCGGCCTGCAAGTTTGTGGCTGACAGATGTACCGCATGGGGAGCAGAGGGAGCAGAAAGCGTTGAGACCCCAGAGAACCCTCCTTGGCTCCGATCTGCCCGGCCTGGTTTTTTTTTAAAAGGCAGGCAGGAGAAGGTGGTACAGTGGATTCTGCTGCTTGGGGTGATGCTGTTTGCTTTGGCAGGTGTTTCCCGTACAGCTGGGTTTAACCATATGGGTGCCCACAGAGACTTGCTGAATGAAAAAGAGGAGGATATCCGTATCTCGGTTCGCTGTGTTCAAACCAAAGTGATATAAAGAAATCTTCAAGCCCGCTTGTGCGGAAACCTCTGTGCATGCTTTATTTTAAATATTAGGATTTCTTTTCAAAACATAGAGAAAAGAGCCAAATATCCATGCTGGCGGCAGGAGGAATTATTATATTTAGTTTTGTGTGTTTTTTTGTCTAGCCCTCTCTCTGTATGTACATCGAAGACAATGTTAACTGAAAACTGCAACATGTATCCATGCAGTACACACAAGCCTGACCTGTAGACACCGGACACTATTGTGTGTGTACATGCTTCACGACAACCATGCTAGAGTCTTGACCCTTTTTTAAAAGAAAAAGAAACGAATTTTGCAGGAATCAAATGCTGCCCTATAGCTAATTTCTCTCTGAAACTGTAAGACATGGGTAGGCAAACTAAGGCCCGGGGGCCGGATCCGGCCCAATCGCCTTCTAAATCCGGTCCACGGACGGTCTTGGAATCAGTGTGTTTTTACATGAGTAGAACGTGTGCTTTTATTTAAAATGCATCTCTGGGTTATTTGTGGGGCATAGGAATTTGTTCTCCCCCCTGCCCCAAATATAGTCCGGCCCCCCACAAGGTCTGAGGGACACTGGACCGTCCCCCTGCTGAAAAAGTTTGCTGACCCCTGCTGTAAGACAAAACAGTGGCAAACGTGGGTCCCCAGAACACAATAAGCCGAACACATTGCAGAGCCAAGTCAGAATTCCTGTGTCTTTTAAAGGCTTCTACGAAGAGGGAACTTTAGCCAGTGGCACTAGTTGTACTGGATTGAGAAAAGCAAATCTGGTGTTGTGTAGTGGTTAAAGTATTGCGCTTTGACCTGGGAGACCAGGGTTCATATCTCAACTTGGCCAAGAAACTCACCGGGTGATCTTGGACCAGTCACCATCTCTCAGCCTAACCTGTATCACAGGGTTGGTTATATCCATTTATTTGCGTATATATATAAATTATATACCACTGTGTCATAAATATATACTGTATTTTTTGCACCATAACACTCACTTTTTTCCTCCTAAAAAGTAAGGGGAAATGTCTGTGCGTGTTATGGAGGGAATGCCTACGGGTGGCATGCCTACGGATTTTCCTCCTATAAAAACTATGTGCGTGTTATGGTCGGGTGCGTGTTATAGAGCGAAAAATACGGTATATATTACAGTGGTTTACAGCAGTGAACCTGAACGCTGGAAGATTCAGGACAGAGAAAAGGGGTTATCTTTTTCACACAGTGCATAGTTTAACTATGGAACTCGCTGCCTCAAAGATGTGGGCATGGCTGCTCCCTTGAATGGCTTTAGAAGGGTCTATAAGTCATAGAGAACAAGACGCTCAGTAGCCGCTTTGCTCCATCTTCCTCCCAGGGACTGGCTTGCCCTGTTCTCTGCTCCTGTGGCTCCCATTGGGCCGAGTGATCCAGTAGCAGGGAGGAAGCACTTGAGGAGAAGGGCAGGCAGCATGGGAGCAGTCTGGCCGCTAGGCAGGAAGTGGGCGGGAAGCGATAGGGGAGTTGGCTGACTTGGGTCGCTGCTGCCTGCCCTTATTTTTCCTGTCGGCCGTCTTTGCATATAGCTCCTGCTTGCATTTTGAATGGGGTTAAGGATAGGTGTCCTCCTGTAAGTTGGCGCTCATGCCTGCGGACCCTTTCTTCATCTTTTCAGCGGCCAGCCCTTAGCTGAGCAGCTGTGGGATTTCAGAACCTGCCTTTATAACGGCTGTAAATTCTATGTTTTGATTTCATTCTCTCCCTGGTACTAGAGAAAATGCTTTGTTTGCTTGCTTCAGTCACATTTCCATCTCTGCAGAGCTCTAGGTAGCAAACATGGTTTTCCCCCATCTCCTTTAAGCCCTCCACAGCAGCCCTGTGAGGTAGATTAGGCCGAGAGGCAGTGAGCGGCTCAAGCTCACCCAGTGAGCTTCATGGCTGAGTGGGGATTTGAAGGCCAACGCTGTAACCACTACACCACACTGGCTGTCTCACACGGTCTTTGTTGGTAGACCTGGACCTGCCGTGTTAGCATCACAAAGGTCTTTTAACCAGTGTTAGAAATTAGCCTGGTGCCAGGCGTGTTTTGCAACATGCTAGCTGTTGGAACTGCCCTTCTGCCCATGGTAACTTCCTTTGCCAAAATAGCAAAAAGTCATATTTGTGTGCTCTCTGCACCTTCTGAGCATCACAGACTCATTGCACACATTCAGCCTTGTTGCATTTCCTCTCTCCTCTGCCTGTCTTCCCCCTCCTTTTTTTTCCTTTTTTTTTTTTTTGGCAATTCCCCCATTGGGATTCCCCCACTGGAAAACCAAACCCCACCCTCACCCCAATACTAACAGCAGCAGCCTGGCGTCTGCTTGCTTTCTGTTGAAATTGGTCCCTCTCCAATGTGGTATAATAATTAGGTTGCCTCAGACCAGTAGAATCAGCTAGTTGCTGCAAGCTGGGAGTTAGTGCTCATCTTTCTTTGTAGGAACGCTAAAGGAAAAATCTCCCTTCGTTTTGCTCAACAAGGTGCGTTGTGTTCTCTTTGAACTTAAAACTCGCTACTAGCAACCTGCTTCAGCATTTAAGATCTGCTGCTAGGAACTTCAGCTGGGGCTGACTTGGTGTCTTTTGCCGTATTTCCATAGGTGTCTCTCAGCCTTGAACTGCTTGACCACCACCTTGTTACCTGTGGTCACTGGCAGAAACTTGCAGCAAAGCTGCTCTTACCTCCCACTCTCCACCACCCCCCCAAAAAAGCTGCTGCTTCAGCAGACATGTTTCTCTGCAGGGTTGGGCTGAAAGTCATATAGAAACATGTAGCAATCCATCAAGCAGTCCTAAAGCCTGCCCTGATAAGATCAGGCCTTTTCCCTTTGCTTTGGCTGCTAGCCAGGTTGGTAGCAAACATCTCTCCTCAAGAGAAACACTGTATTCTTGAACCACTTGTGTTCTTTGATAATAAGAACGTACAGCCCGTGGCATGTATGTCTCAAGACAACTTTTCCAACGGGTTGTCGACAAGCAGTGGAGCCAGTGTTTGAAACTCAGGTATATAACCTAGGTGCTAAATGGCACCTTAAACCTCGGTTACGGTTGCGACAGCAAGACCCTCTTGGTCCCTTCCAGTGCTACAGGTCTATGATCTCGTGTACATTGCTTGCCACTTGCTCTTTCAATAATTCGCTTGTCCCAGTATGCAAGGAGGAGAAACACACACAGTGGAAATGGTATTAAAGCAGAGGTTTTAAAACTGTGGTTGCGAACCTGGCAACCAGAAATCTCCACATGGTCCCGTACCAGTCGCAAAAAACTCCTGGCACCTGGCTATTATCTAACACGAGTGAGAAGGGCAGCAGGAGCGAATATCTTCTTCCCCTTTTCTGTCCTCGGCCTGATTAACAAAATTAACTAGGCCCGTCCATGCACTGAGATCAGCAAAGGAAGCCCTGTTTTGGTTTAAACCATGAATCATGGGTTAATAAACTAGAATATGCACAATCAACAGGTACCTGCAAGCAGCTGCCTTGTTCTACACAAGCGAGCAAACGAGCCAAGCAGTTGCTCTTAACCATAGTTTGGTGTTACATCCAAATTAGGAAACTATGGTTAACAGCTTCAAAACGTGTGAGGATTTGCATGCCAGCTTGAAACCATGATAGAAGTTTGAAGAAAGTGGATAGAATCCCCCCCACGCCCTCTGTCACTGGAACTTGTAGACATCCAATGAGGCTGGAAGTTAGAAGAGCCAGGGCAGATTTTTTTAAAAAAGTACTTTTTCTTGCAGCGCAGTTAACTGTGGAACTCACTTCCACAGGAGGCAGCGATGGCCATCAACTTGGATGGCTTTAAAACAATATTAGACAAATACATGGAGGAAAAGGCTTTCGGTGGCTACTGGCCATTAGGGCTATGTTCTTCCTCCACTCTCAGAGGCATTACATTGCTGGAAATTGCAGGTAGAGGTTGATGTTGCGCTCATGCCCAGCTTGCAGGCTTCCCACTGGCATCCAGTTGGCCGCTGTGAGGACAGGAAGCTGACCTGCATAAGCAGGCCTGGCTCATGTTCTTATGACGCACGTGTCTTTTGTTGAATTATTCTATTATCTCGCTGTATTTCTGCCCCACTTTTCTATGAACTATTTTCACAGCAGCTAACAGTCTGAAAGGTGGTCATACTTGAACAGAGGAAAACCAGAGAGAAGCTCCCGTGGGCTGCTCTTAAATTAGGAATCTGCCATACACCAGGTCAGACCACTTGGCCAGTATTGTCTTGGTCAGTATAGTTCACACTGGCGGGCAGTGGCTCTCCAGGCAGAGGAAACTCCCAGCCCTACCTGGAGATGCCAGGGATTGAACCTGGAACTTTTTGCAGGCATTGCAATTTCTCTGCCATTGAGCTGTAGTGAGGCTCAATGCCCCAAGGCTCAAAGCATCAAGAAGTTCAACTCTACTCATTTGGGTCCAAATAGAGACAATGGTATGGTTTCCCACTACAGATGTTCTTTAACTCAGCAACGCCAAGCTGATTGTTTTGCCACCTACGTATGTTAGTGGCCACCTGTTTGCTTGTGCCCTGTTTTGTTCTTTGAGTCCAAGGGACGCTGGTGGCACTGTGGTCCAAGCCACTAAGCCTCTTGGGCTTGCCGATCGGAAGGTCGGCGGTTCAAATCCGCACGATGGTGGTGAGCTCCCATTGCTCTGTCCCAGCTCCTGCCAACCTAGCAGTTCAAAAGCACGCCAGTGCAGGTAGATAAATAGGTACCACTGTGGTGGGAACGTAAACGGCATTTCTGTGTGCTCTGGTTTCTGTCATGGTGTCCTATTGCACCAGAAGCAGCTCAGTCATGCTGGTCGCATGACCCAGAAAGCTGTCTGTGGACAAACGCTGGCTCCCTCGGCCTGAAGTGAGATGAGCGCCGCACCCCATAGTCAGTTAACTGTCCAGGGGTCTTTTTCTTTGAGCTCCTGTTGGTAACTTAACCATGGCAACCTTTCTCTCCCTTCTTTCTAGGCCAAAAGGAAGCTGGATCTGGAAGGAACAGGCCAGCAGTGCATCCCAGAGTTCCGAACCCCAAAGGGCAAAGGAAGGACGCTCCCGCATATCCCCAGTCCCAAAAGTAAGTGGAAGCAGAAGTCCTGGGTGGAGAAAAGGTTGCATTCTTTTATTTTTAGTTGCCATTTTTTAAAATCTAAAAATCAAGTTTCTAGCCCTTATGACTGATTAGCTTGGAAGTCATGTGGGCAGCATCCCGGAAAGCTGAGAAGCTAAATGTGTATGTACTGATGAAATAGAAAAAGGTAACTCAGTGTACAAAGTCACTTTTTAACACACATGTGGCTGTGCTGTATTGCAAATCATAGAATTGTAGAGTTGGAAGGGACCCTGAGGGTCATCTAGTTCAACCCTCTACAGTGCAGGACTCTTTTGCCCAATGTGAGGCTCGAACCCACGACCCTGAGATGAAGAACGCTAGTATATGTCACCGCAGGGTGTGGAAGAAGAGAGATCAAAACCTACAGGTGGATTAGCGGGTGGTTTGTGGGTGTTTAATAACAGGGATAACAAAAAGCTGGTTTCCCCCACCCCTTGTCTAAATTAGGCTGTTAGAATCTCTGGTCTGTAGTAACTCAGATGCAGATTTATGCCTGCAGGTGCAGGTCACTCCAGTGTCTGGCAGCAAGTAGATGTTTGGCTCCTCCCTGCAAGCTACCATTTCCCACCTAGCCCCGCCCCTGCTGTGATTTTGCACCTGGCAGGGAAATTGCAGGGCTCCTGCCTTGGTGTGTCTCGGTTGAAAGGCACTTCCCTTCCCATCCGTAGCAAAAGGAAGAGGAGGCAGCGATGGCAAAGGAGCAAGCAAATGGGGAAAGCAAGCACTTTCCAACAAAAGTGAGGGGAAAGGTGGCCACAATCCTGCAGCCAGCTAGTAGGAGATGCCATCTGCCAGCGTTGAGTCAGGGAAGGCTTGCGTTACTTTCTTGTAGCACGCAAGCGGCTTAGATCTTGGCAGATCTTAGGAAGTTGCTTTTTGCAGAGTAGGGTTATTAGGCAGTGAATGAGGGACAGCCGCCTTTCCCCCTCCACATACAACTGTCCTTCCCATAGGGGCATTTTCTGGGACTCAGAAGGGTCGAGCAAGAGGCTCATTGTAGCTTGAAGCAGCCGCAGAGCTTGTCCCATTTTAAAAGGAAAGGGTTTATGTTCTCTCCTGCCACGTCTCAGTGGGAAGCTACCAGGGCCCCGACAAAATTTACAAGAATTCAGTTACAGTGGTACCTCGGGTTAAGTACTTAATTTGTTCTGGAGGTCCATTCTTAACCTGAAACTGTTCTTAACCTGAAGCAGCACTTTAGCTAATGGGGCCTCCTGCTCCTGCCGCGCCGCCGGAGCACGATTTCTGTTCTCATCCTGAAGCAAAGTTCTTAACCCGACGTAATATTTCTGGGTTGGCGAAGTCTGTAACCTGAAGCGTATGTAACCTGAGGTACCACTGTACAAGAATTCTGTGTGCAGGCTATGGCAACTCTTCTCTTTTGCATTTTCAGCCCCTAAGTCACCTGGGGAGAAGACCCGCTATGACACGTCGCTCGGCCTGCTAACTAAGAAGTTCATCCACTTGCTCAGTGAGTCGGAGGATGGTGTGTTGGACCTGAACCGGGCCGCTGAGGTGCTGGATGTCCAGAAGCGGCGCATCTACGATATCACCAATGTCCTGGAGGGGATTCAGCTCATTCGGAAGAAATCCAAAAACAACATTCAATGGATGTAAGTGCGTTGGGGAGCTGGGAGCAGACCCAGTGCCTTAGCTGCTGGACCCCTGGTGAAAAATGACAGCTAAGGGAATTGCAGCCTTGCCCAGTGAGGTTGGCAGGATACGACAGGGACAAGAATAATAACCCTCCCCTTTCTCCCCAAAAGGGCTAGAAACATTATTAGGGAAATACATTACGCCATAATTGTTTTGTGGGTATGTGCTGTTACTGTCGTTTGAGAAAGTTATCAGCGGGTGCCATATTTCAATAGTCATCTAAGTCTCACCCAATATGGCAATCTTGGTTTGGACATAATCTACTTTTAGGTGTTCTTTTTTTTTTTTTTACACAGTTGACCAAATTTAACCAACATCCTTCTAAGTCCAGTTTTGTTCAAAGAGAGCACACAACTAGGTCATCGGCGTAAAGCAGAATGGACACTTGCCAAGAGTGTGTTTGGTCAATTTCTCTACCAACGGCACTGTCCATACCATTTGTCTCTTTAGTGAAAGTTGCAGAAGATCCAAGTTTTAACTTCTTTTTAATTACAATCGTACCTTGGAAGTTGAACAGAATCCATTCCGGAAATCCGTTCAACTTCCAAAACGTTTGAAAATCAAAGTGCTGCCAATTGGAAGCTGCGGAGGCCCAATAGGACATTCGGCTTCCAAAAATAGTTCGCAGACCGGAACTGTCATTTCCGGGTTTGCAGCGTTTGGGAGCCAAAATGTTCAAGAACTAAGCTGTTTGAAAACCAAGGTACGACTGTACTGGTTCTAACGTACATTCTATGTAAACTGCTTAGCGCTTTTGATGATGAAGTGGTATACATTAAATCCTGTTGAAGAAATTAACATAATGATAAAGTTGGTTCTCGTTTGAATGCAGCAAAATGCAGTTCTGCGCTCATTCAGTGTCTCTTTTGATTTGCTACCCAGGGGGACAGGGATTTTTGAGGACTCCTCTGTGGCAACGAAGCAGCAGGTGTTGCGGCAGGAGCTGACGGAACTGTCTAAGACCGAGAGGATGCTGGACAAGCTCATCCACGAGTGCACACTTCAGTTGAAGCACCTGACAGATGAAGAAACAAATCAGAGATATCCTTTAGAGGGCCAGGAGGTTCTGGAGAAGTTGGGTGGGAGTCTGGAGAGCTGGCTTCTATCCCCAGTGAACAATGTAGCTCAATGTGGCTCTCATGAGAATTGTTGGATTCCAGCTTCCATCAGCCCCAGATAGCAGGGCGTCAAGGGTGCTTCCCAGCTGAAGGAATACTCATGGCAGATGGTTAAGCCTTTATTGTCAAAGATAACACTTACAGTCACTTCTGCAGCTCTGGATACCTATGCACCCCAATCCAGTTATTTCTGGGCCCTCACTCTATAGAGCAGTAGCATCAACATGGGTCCACTCCCCTCCACCAGTTTATATATCTTTCCTTGATGGGCTGCATTCATGCAGTCAGAGACTGTGCCTGTGTGGCAACTTCCTCTGCTCAACCCTTTTCAGTTCCCTCCTGGTTCTAGGGGACAGTGGTGCAGGAGAGGGTGGGGAAGCACCTGGCCCTTCACTTGCCTGATCTGCCTCTTCCTCGTCTTCCGACCCATCTTGTGCAGCACTGAAGTTTCCCCTGCCTCTTGATTCTTGCCTCCTGGCTGGTACAGGTGCCCACAGATCACTGTGTCACTCTCCTGAGTCAGACACCAGCCCTCTTTCCTCCAGGGCAGACTCATAGTCCCCAATGCATTTGCCAGGCATGATGGGAGTTGGAGTCATGCTACATCTAGAGAACACCATGTTGGCTTACCTCTGCCTGAGCTGATTCTGGGTACGGGTGCCTGGTGTTTTCTTTAACTTCTGCCCTGCCCTACGCTAGCATATGTCACGTATCAGGATATCCGGGCCATCAGCAACTTCAATGAGCAGACGGTGATTGTGGTCAGAGCCCCACCAGAAACCCGGCTGGAGGTGCCAGACGTTTGCGAGGTGAGATTGCAAGATTGGGTTGCAAGAGTATAAATAATGTAAGAAGAGCCTACTGGATCAGGCCAATGTCCCATCTAGTCCAGCATCTTATTTTCAGTGGTTCCACCAATTGCCAATGGAAAAGCCCTCCGGCAGACCTGAGCAGTTTCCAGCAACTGATATTCAGAAGCATCCTGCCTCCAGCTGTGGGGCTAGAGATATCCCTCAGGGCCAGTAGCCATCAATTGCCTTATCCTTTATGAATTTGTTAAGCCCCATTTTTTTTCTTTCTTTTATTAATGTTCTTATGTATGTATACATTATCATATTACATTACAGGGCATATTATAATATAATTTCCAACATGTATACAAAGTTTATACAGTGGTACCTTGGGTTACATACGCTTCAGGTTACATGTGCTTCAGGTTACAGACTCCGCTAACCCAGAAATAGTGCTTCGGGTTAAGAACTTTGCTTCAGAATGAGAACAGAAATTGTGCTCTGGAGGCGCAGCAGCAGCAGCAGGAGGCCCCATTAGCTAAAGTGGTGCTTCAGGCTAAGAACAGTTTCAGGTTAAGAACGGACCTCCGGAACGAATTAAGTACTTAACCCGAGGTACCACTGTATACCAAATTTATGTACCTAAAGATAGAAAAAAAGAAAAGAAAAAAGACATAAAGCCATTTCAAAATAATATTTGTACCAACACTACGGACTTCCTGTCAATCTCGTATATTCTTTTTTTTACAAATGAATGTACTCTTATTATTGTATATTTCTTTACATTGTATCTAATATATTCCTATATCAATATGTACCCTTAATCTTGTTTCTCAACTCAATTTCTCTCCAACGTCAATCGAATGCTAGCATAGATAGCGAACCTTTACTATATTTTTGAACATATATCTTATATCTATCCCATTTTCCCGTAAATTTTTGTTTTGAATTTCCTCTCAGCCTATTTGTCAACTGCGCCATTTCAGCAAATTCTTGTAGTTTATTATGCCAGTCCGTTATTGTTGGGGCTTCTTCTTCCTTCCACCCCTTTGCTACCAAAGTCTGGGCTGCAGCCGTTGCATATAAAAATACCTCTCTAAAGGCCTTCAGGATGTCCCTGCCAACAATACTCGTTAAGCCCGATTTTCAAGCCATCCAAGTTGATGGCCACCACTGTCTCCTGTTTTTTTGCCTGCCTCTTGGTAGCATTAGAATACTAGAATTGTTGAGTTGGAAGGGACCCTGTGGGTCATCTAGCCCAACCCCCTGTAATGCAGGAATCTCAACTAAAGCATCTGTGACAGGTGGCCAGCTAACCTCTGCTCGGAAACCTCCAATGAGGGAAGAGTCCACCACCTCCCGAGGAAGTCCATTCCACTGTCAAACAGCTCTTACTGTCAGAAAGTTCTTCTTGATGTTTAGTTGGAATCTCCTTTCCTGTAACTCAAAGAGTGGCTTCACAAGATGAGAGCTAGCATAGCATTAGTGGGTAAGAGACTCCTCTGCATCGGGGAGTCCTGGGTTCAAATCCCACAGCTGTCATGAACTTACAAGGTGACCCATAGGCATGTCACTTTTATTTCAGCCTCAGTTTCTCCTCCTGCCCTCTGTAAATGCAGAATAATAACGCTCGCCTACATTGCGGCATGGACCCTATTACCATGTTATTGACAGCTTGATAGGGCCCTGTTTCCTAAGTAAAACGTAGCCTGGTAGAACATAGGAAACTGTCTTGAACTGCCTATTTGTCCAACTACCCTAATACTGTCCACTCTGACTAGCAGCTTCTTCCTGGGTATTTAAGCCTTCCGCATGTAATGTGGCCTCCTGGGGGAGGGGAGGGGGGGTGATAGCGTACCTTCCTAGCCTCTGGCCCAGATCTCAGTGAGTTGTGTTTGGCTTGGTAGGTTGCAGGTTGTTCTCTAGTCTCACACTGCTTTCCTCTTTTCTGGCCAGGAGAACGTCCAGCTGCATCTGAAAAGCAACAACGGCCCCATCGAGGTATACCTCTGTCCTGAGGAAATCCTGGAGGAGAGCCCAGCCAAGGAAGGCAGCTTCCCTGCTCCAGCACCCCAGGAGAGCAGCAACCCCCCGACAGTGAAAGGTAAAATCTTAGGGGTCTGGATAACCAATGCCTTGGCACTTTTGCACTAGTGGATTGTATTTTGGTTTCTGCAAGGTGTCTCTGCAGACACCCCACACACACACCTTTCCAGCAATGCCCCCCCCCCAAACTGGCTTGTTTGCTTGTCTCAGGGCGGAGCACCCCGGGCCAAAGCATCCTTCCTTGGGTCCCTTCCTGCTTAACCCAGCAGCAGTACCCAGCAGTTGGGTCTTGTGGCCACCTTTTTCATTTCCTACAATGGCCTGCACTGTAGCTCCCGAATCTGCTGCGATGCTAAACAAGGCAAGACAAGCAGACGGGTTACGAGTCTCCAAGGAACTCTTGCCTGATAGCAGAATCCGCATACAAAGTCAGACAGTCTAGAGATCAGGGAATCCAGATGGTCGCAGAGCCAAGGGTCCAGATGGAGAGCAGGAAGCAGCAAGGTAGGGCCAGGAACTACAAGCATTGTTTCTAGCACCTGACTGTTGCTGGAAGCTCTGCTTCAGAAGGCTGAAGCCAGCTGGTTCTCAGCAGTGCCTTCTCTGAGTCCTTGAAGGCTGATCAGCTGCTGGTGTAGTCACTCTGCCTTCTCCCCCTTCAGGCTGCTGTTCAGCAGGCAAGGGGGACTACTGGCCCATGACAATTACTGCCTTCGATCGTGGAGACAGAACGTAGCCATCAAAGTCAGTAGCCATGAACTTGTCCTCCTATGTATTAGTCTGATCCTCTTTTAAAACCATCCAAGTTGGTGGCCATCCTTGCCTCCTGTGGGAAGCAGTGCCATCATTTATGTGCTGCAGAAAGAAGGACTTTTATCTGTCCTGAAATCTTCAGCTTCACTGGATGTCCACCAGTGTCTTGAGAAAGGGAGAAAGCCTTTTCGCTCTCCATTTTCTCCATGCAATGCGTAATTGTATAAACTTTTCTCATGTCACCTCTTGCCTAAAAAAGCCCCCAGTGCTGCGACCCTTCCTCATAGGGGCATGGTTCCAACCCCTTGAAACTGTTGGGGCTCCCTGCCGTCTGCTTCTCCCAATAATAATAATAATAATAATAATAATAATAATTTTTTATTTATACCCCGCCCTTCCCGGTTCAAAAACCGGACTCAGGGCAGCTAACAACAAATTTAAAACACTTAATTGTAAAAGCAGTATAAAAACATAAATAACAATAAAATTAAAAATTCAATTTAGGGGAATAAGCATTAGATAATCCCCAGGGCTATCTGGCTGAATTGGTCCTACTTGGGCCAGCGAGGAGGCCAGGGGAGAATTAGCTGTGGGGTCTCAGAGCGGGTAATCTTCATAAAAGGGGAGGGGGAGGGAAGAGAAGGGAAATAAAAGATCAGGCTGAGTTCAAATTAAAGGCCAGGTAGAATAGCTCTGTCTTACAGGCCCGGCGAAAGGAGGTTAAATCCTGTAGGGCCCTAGTCTCATGGGACAGAGCATTCCACCAGGTCGGAGCCATCACTGAAAAGGCCCTTCTCCCAGTGGGTACCAGCCACCACTGCTCCCTTCTCTTTCTGTCTTTCCCCAGTCGAGACCGTGAAGACTGAACTGCCCAGCTGCCTGATGGAAGGGGAAGACGGCTTCCTCGAGCTGCCCCACCACCTCCTGCAACAGACCGAGGACCAACTCCCTTCCGCTTCCTATGGTGACGCGGGGCCCTTTGTCACCTTCTCCCCTCCCCTCGACCAGGAGGACTACCTGTGGGGGCTGGAGGAGGGCGAGGGCGTCAGCGACTTATTTGAGGCCTACGACTTGGGCGACCTGCTAAAGAACTGAGCCCCAGGATCCCCAGGCCCTTCTCATGGTGCTAATTCCCTCCACTCCAGAGCCTCGGGGCTTTTCTGCCTTGGGGCACCTGCTTGCATTTGGGCCCCGTGGAACCTGGCTGCCAAGACCTCCACAAGCAGCACTCCGAGAGATCCTTATTCATCTCAGGCTTTTCTGAAACCGTCGTGGACGTTGTGCGTGACACTCCCCCCCTTGATGCAATGAGAAGTGCCAACAGCTGCCATGGGGGGGACCCCCCTCCCACCCCTTTTCCTTCTGCAGAGGTTACAAGCTGGATGATTATCCCTCCACTCCACTCGTGGTGCCAGCAGCTAGAATAGCCCATGCCTGTGACTTTTCTAGGGACCCTTGAAACCTTAACCCCATGATGCGTCCTTGTTTTGTTCCAATTTCTCACCGAGGCAGAAATGGTCTATTTAGGGCAGTATCAGTAGCACCAGGTGTGATTCTGGCTGGCAAAGCAACTGCGCTAATCCCAGCAGCAGGAGATGTGCAAGTGAGCTACTGCTGCGATTCCTCTCCAAGTATCAGTCCTGTGGCACGATGTGTCTGAGCTAAAAGCCCATCCTGGTGAAGCCGATTAAACTTGAAACTTCCTTTCCAGTGCGCTCTGGTATGAAGCTGCAAGGTTGCATGCTTCCTCCTGCGAATGCACCATGTGATGTTCTCAATCTGAAATGAACGGCTGGGGAACCTGTTGGACTGCAGCTCCCATCACTCCAGGCTGGCTGGGGCTGATGGGACTTGTTGTTGAATACTGGGAGGACCACAGGTTCTCTCCTGTATCAGGAGGGTAGGGGAAGGTTTCCTTTGTCTCCTACGGTAGCTAGAACAAGGTGAGGTTGGCTTATTTCTTGCAGGCTGAGTTCTAAGCAAGCCTTGCACATCCCTTGCTAAGACGTCTATGGAGAGGTTAAGCTGCACTTTTTGGACTTAAGCCATGCAAAGGGATCTGTCCTCTTCATTTCCAAGGGTAGCCTCATCCTTAGAAATGGAGCCATTTCTGTTTGGCGGAACCCTGCTCCTTGCTTCAGATGGTTCTGCCTTGGGCAAAGCATTCTTTCTTCCGCTAGAGTTGTCTGACCCCTCCAGACGTTGTCAGACTCCAACTTCCACCAGCCCCGATCAGCCGTGTTATTGATGAGGGATGATGGGAGTTGGAGTCCCAGCAACATCCAGAAGACCAGAGGGTTCCGCATCCCTGCACTGTAGCCCCCGTCCCAAATTTAGGTACTCCAGAGGATGTAATCTCTTGTCATTCATAATCGCCAGATGTAGTAGCTCACCTTGAGGTGTTGGAGGAGCTCAGCTGGAAAGATTGGAACCCTTAAAGCAGGATTGGGGTACCTTTGGCCCTCCAGATGTTGTTGGACTCCCAACATCTGGAGAGGACTGCAGATTCCCCAACTCTGCCTTATTGGTTCACTTCAATTTTAATCTTCAACCTCACCATTGTCACCAAATCCTCCTGCCTAACAGAGCCTTATTTCTTTGTATTGGGGCTCGCCATCTTTGGGTATCAAATTTGGCTTAGTAAGTGAGCGAGCAAGGCCTTTTCCTAAGCTTTTCCCATCCATGACCAAGAAATATAAAACGGGGAAGCTCTTTTGGCTGGACCCACTGCTGTAGGAGCCTAGGGAAGCTTTGGAGTTGCATAGAGTTTGCCTGGCAAGCACAAAACCTTGCTGGTTCTTCTAACTGTGTTTGTTGCCCTCTAAAAGTTGATGTCCTGCCAGTTCTAGTTTTTTTAATATGTCATTGCAGAGCTAGACAAGACACAGGCCAGTCCCTGAAAAGACCATCTTTCTCTTCTCCCCAGAAACGTTTAGTGAAAGACTCTGAACATCACATTATGTGGGGAGTTTTCCCACCTTCGCTTCATGCATTGTCAGCTGCGAGTGTGAAATAGCAGCATGATGAACCATCAAGCCCAAGCATCCAGTTTCTCTAGATGATCTATGAGAGAAAGTTGGGGTGCAATTTAGATGCATCATTCTTGATGACTGACCTTGCTGTCTGGGTCTGGTAGGAGCGGTGGTCCCAAAACATCTGGAATGGCCACAGGTTCCCCATCTCTGCTATAGGGGATGTGTACTGTCTCAGGGAACAATGGTTTCATTTGTTCTGATGCTCCTGACCAAATAACATGCTGCCTTTGGAGGTGCTGCTGCTCTGAACTGTTCCTTATCTCTCTCTCTGTCTCTCTCTCTCTCTCTTTGTCTATAACACACACACACACACACACACACAGAGAGAGAGAGAGAGAGAGAGAGAGAGAGAGAGAGAGAGAGAACTTCTTTGTGGAATGAATCGAGAGTCTTGGAACCAAACGTTTTGCTTGGGTATTTATGGTAAGTGACAGTGCCTGACCGTGGAGATTTGGAAACACTTCTCCTTGCAGCCTCATTTACTCTGAATCCAGGATTGCAGGTGTAGTCCTTTGCTTGGAGGTCTGTCACCATGAGTGCCATTCATTCTAGAGAGCTGTTCAGGGAGAACTGGGCAGTTGAACTTACAATGGAGAGTACATAGCCATCCGCCAACATGTCTGGTGCGTGCCTGATCTTCAGAGCACAAATTGCATCCCAATTTGAACAGATCCTCAGTCTCACATACTCCTTGTCCTCATGGTGCATAACACCAAATTCCACGAATAAGTTAAGCTGGTCTTTAAATCATAGGATTTGAGCCATGAGTTTGCCTCCTGATGATCACTTCTTCCATGGCTGAATTAGGCTTAGTTTTTACTGGGGCAGCAAACCTGCATCAGGTCTATAGCACTTCAGGCTGCAGGAGGAATTTGCATAATACATATTGTTCTCCTGTGTTTATTTTTAAATGTTCCTGCATGTGAAAATGGGGTGTTAAGGGTGTGGGCCTGCCCTTCTGGCATGCTAGTTTTCTGCTTGCAAAGACTTGTTTTGTTGTTGGAGCATCAGTTCATGGCAGTCCCCACCAGCAGTTTGCCATGTTGAAATGTAGGCGGATGGAAGTGCAATACCTCAGTAAGGACTAGGATTTTGTTGTAGCACTAAATAATCAAGCAATAGTGTGAAGGTGTGGATTGCAAGAAAGTGAGACTGACTAGTTGCTGCCTTGGAGTGTGTGGTCTGCTGCTGATATCTGCTGTTTCCACTAGCAGGGATCAGCTTGACACAGTCCTTGCATGACAACAAGTGTGTTGAGTGAATGCAGCCCTCCTTTGCAAAACATCTTTTCCTGATACAGCACATTAAAATATCTGGAAAGTGCTCCATTCCCTAATTCATTAGGGAAACATAAAAAGGTGAAAATTGTGCTTTGAGGAGAAGATTTCATGTACATTATTTATCTTTTTCAGTGAGTTGTTTGTTCCCTGCAACTACTGTAAAGAAAGAAAGAAAGAAAGAAAGAAAGAAAGAAAGAAAGAAAGAAAGAAAGATGGGCTTCATCCTAAGGTGGCCCAGCCAATCAGGGCTTACTTTGCATTTTGAAATCACACCATCATGTGACCAAATACACCAGTTGCGTGGAACACCATTCAGTTCTTAGTACCCTCCCAAATTAACGGGACACAGAGCATGAATTCATCCTGGATTCAACCACTGGGTTGCCAGTTGCCAACCTCACTTTAAACTCTGATAGCTCATTAATTTGGTATAGATTATTTTGAGGCTTGTCTGGAAAGCTGGGGGTGGGGGGGAATGGGCATGAAAGTCTTAGGTAAGAAATGCCACAGTGCTGTTTTTTGGGGAGGAGGTATTCATTCCTTTTCTGCGACAGAAGGACACTTAAGGGCTATGTGTTATATACCTGTTTGAAAATAAGCTTTTGGAACTGAATTGTCTTAGTTGATTTATTTGCATAGACGAGGTTCTTTACTTTGTACATAGCAAAATGAGTTGTGAGTTTGGAGCTTCATCAACCCTTCTGGGATACCAAATTTCTGCAGCATTCAGTTGCCTGCAATTGTTTCAAAACGTGGTTTGGTGTAGACCTAGCACTTTCCAGGTGTTTTGAACTACCAGCACAGTTGTTGTCCAAAACATCTGGAGTGCACCAGGTTGGGGGAGGCTGTTTTCTAGAATACTTATTTCTCCATGTTCCTGTTTCACTGGATGGTGTTGGGGTTTTTTAACCAGTTTCTGAATCTAGATTGTAATACGGGTTGAGCATGCGCCAACAATGAAATCGCAGCTCAACTTTAGTCTTAATTCACCATATGTTCAGAGAAGAGGGAGGCCTGTTTTGATTCTTCAGTGCTTCCCCCTGTGTACAAGGCCTTTAACATGTTATTTGGGCCCAGCGTTGTCCCCGGTCCTGTCTTAAATATTGTAAAAAGTTGTATATAATCATTGCACTGTATTTATAATGGAATCCCTCTTTGACACTGTTCTGCTGTGTGGCTTTTGTTTGGGACTGAGTATTTAAAGACTTCTAGGTTTTCTGTAACTTTTGGCCTGGTGGGTGGAGATGTATGTGAGGGTTTTGTTTTGTTTTGTTCTAAACTTGAGGCACTTGGTGATGTGTGTTTTGTGAACAACAGCAAAAAGAAATAAAATGTTTGAACCAAGCAGGGACCTATTTTGAGTTCTATTTCCATGGTCATTAGGTTTTTTTGTATTTTGTTGTGTGGGAGAGGGTGGATATTTCTAAGCATGCCAGACTAGGACCTGGGAGGCCAGGGTTCAAATCCCCACTCAGCCATGAAGCTTGTTGGGTGACTTTAGGCCAATCGCAGCCTCTCAGCCTAACGCACCTCACAGGGTTGCTGTGGGAATTAAATGAGGAGGGAGAGAACCATGTGGGCCACCGTGAGCTCCATGGAAATAAAGGTGGGAGATAAATGCAACCAATAAAGAAATGCATTAGTATGTCCCAAACTTTTAACTCAGGGTTCACTAACATGATGCCTTCAGGCACCAGTGTAACTCCGGTAAAGGTAAAGGGACCCCTGACCATTAGGTCCAGTCGTGACCGACTCTGGGGTTGCGGCGCTCATTTCGCTTTATTGGCCGAGGGAGCCGGCGTACAGCTTCCGGGTCATGTGGCCAGCATGACTAAGCCGCTTCTGGCGAACCAGAGCAGCGCACGGAAATGCCGTTTACTTTCCCGCTGGAGCGGTACCTATTTATCTACTTGCACTTTGACGTGCTTTCGAACTGCTAGGTTGGCAGGAGCAGGGACCCCCCAAAAAATTGCAATACATGAAAGACTGTTGGCTCCTCCTGTTCAGTTCCTGGTTGCAGTGGCTCAGCCTCTCCTACACTGAACCAACCCCATTAAACATGCCCACACATTGTGGGACGCTGACATTTGATGACCACCCTCCCATTGCAAACAGAGGATAGGTGCAAATAATTTCTTTCCATGAACTGATGTGATAGTAATTGATATAGGTGCCTTTCCCACCCCCCATTTATTTGGGGTGGGGCAGCATGCTGGCACCATTTTGCAGTCCTACCTCTTCTTCTGCTCTTACATGTGGCAACCATTATGCCACACATCCCCACAGGCAGCCATGTTGTGATTTGGGACACCCCCTGTGGCAGCCATTTTGTGACTGCCACCCATAGCGCTGACTCGCTCATTGCTTTTGCAGGAGCTGCTGAGCCAGGAACAGAAATCCTCAGTGTGTGTCCCTTGCCCATACGGCAAGCCACCAGGACCGCTGTTTCCTGGTTAGCCGACTGTTTTCAAGTGCCATTTCCAGGCACCTGCCTTGCTAGAGTAGCCATTAGGTCTTCCTGGTCAGGAAAAGTTTAACCAGGCTTCCTATTTGGCTGGGACTAGTAGTGGCTGGTTCCCATTGGGGCAGAAGACAGGGAACCCAAATAGTAGACAGTAAACAGCTAGAGGCAATGACCGAGAAAGCCAATTCATCCCCTCTGCTGATTTTCCTACAGGGCAACACTGACAGTGCATTCAGACACAGGGATTGTTCCGTTAGCATTCCTGATCAGAAACGCAAGAATTAATGATCCTTTTAGACTGCTGATCAGAAGGTTGGCAGTTCGAATCCCCGCAATGGGGTGAGCTCCCGTTGCTCGGTCCCTGCTCTGCCAACCTAGCAGTTCGAAAGCACATCCAAGTGCAAGTAGATAAATAGGTACCGCTCTGGCGTTTCTGTGCGCTGCTCTGGTTCGCCAGAAGCGGCTTAGTCATGCTGGCCACATGACCCGGAAGCTGTATGCCGGCTCCCTTGGCCACTAAAGCGAGATGAGCACCGCAACCCCAGAGTCATCCTTGACTAGACCTAACGGTCAGGGGTCCCTTTACTTTCTCACCTGTTGCCTTATGGGACTATGGCTTTTGAATCAATATACCACCATGTTGCCACCCACCTTTCATGCACATGTGCGCTTTCGTTCCCTAAATTCACTTGTGGAAATGCCGGGAAAAGAGCTGTAGGCCGGAATACCGCTCTGAATTTAGTTCCACAATTTTCTCTCCCACCTTAAGCAATTATCACAAACAAGTGGGGAACTTCCATGCTGGATGCTGCTGGGTTCCCTGAAGCGACTTTTTTACGTTTTGTGAAAGATCACAAAAGGTGAAAATTTATCAGGTAAATCAGGAAAATGGAATAAAGTGCTGTCTGAATGCAGCCTGAGATGAAGCTGGCAGTCAAAGCCACTTTCAAGTCCACAGAATCCTGAACAAGACAAACAAATCCCCCCAAATTACTGTGGCTTTTTGAAGAAGTATTTGGGATGTATGGACATAGGCTGCCCCCATGTGGCTGTCTGCTGAACAAGGAAGAACTGAAAATACTTTAAGGGCAGAGAAATGGCTGGATTTAAAGCTACTCCAAGGAATCTGCTTTTACTCCCGGGGTGGGGTGGGAGGATTTCTTGCTGCTACTTGCTATGTTATTTCTAGGTGTTTTGTATGGTTGGTTTTTTTTTTTTTTAAATGATATATTGTATTAATGTTTATATTTTTCAAACATGTTGTAAGTCACTTGGAGGCCTTTGGGCAGTAAGTGGTTAACCAGGCTGCCTCTGCTTCATCTATAGATTATTATGTAGATCAGGGATGGCTGGCTAAATATAGGACTCCCAAGTCCCGTCAACCCCCTGCCAACCTGGCCAACAGTCAGGAATGATGGGAGTTGTAGTCCAGCATCATCTGGAGGCCAAAAGAACATTAATGCAGACCTGCTGATCTTTCTTACTGTCATTCTCTTTTTCTTTTTTCTCTTTCTCCAAGCCATGTCAGGCAATGATGAAAATGCTGGACTTGCCAGTTGTCTCTCCCTCAACGGAGGTCAGCCATGGGTCAGGGTTGCTCTCTCTTTGGGTTTCCTGCATGCAACAAAAGGTTGGACTGGATGGTCAGCAGGGGTCACCAATGTGGTGCCCACGAGGGCCAGTATGCCCACCAGTACCTTCTAAGGTGCCCAGGTAAAGGGTAAAGGGACCCCTGACCATTAGGTCCAGTCGCGGCTGACTGGGGTTGCGGCGCTCATCTCGCTTTATTGGCCGAGGGAGCCGGCGTACAGCTTCCGGGTCATGTGGCCAGCATGACTAAGCCGCTTCTGGCGAACCAGAGCAGCACATGGACACGCTGTTTACCTTCCTGCTGGAGTGGTACCTATTTATCTACTTGCACTTTGACGTGCTTTTGAACTGCTGGCAGGAGCAGGGACCAAGCAACGGGAGCTCACCCCGTTGCGGGGCTTCGAATTGCCGACCTTCTGATCGGCAAGTTCTAGGCTCTGTGGTTTAACCCACAGCGCCACCCACGTCCCTTCAAGGTGCCCATGAAATGTCTCAGTAAATACCTTCTCAAAAACCCATGATGCCTGGGAGACTTTTTGCTTTTCTTTATCAGCTCCTAATTGCAGTGGCTTGGCCTCTCCTGCATTACACACACCCTTAATCCCACCCACATTTTTGGAGGGGATGGCAGGATCCACCTTTCCTGAACAGAAGGGAGGTATAAACAGCATCATTCTTGGAATGTGGTGGTAGTTAATGCAGGTGCCTTCTCTCTTCCCCCCCCCCCAATGTGGGTGGGGTTGATTGAAAGCAGGGGCATACCTACAGCATTTTGTGGTCCTGTCTCTTTTTCTGCTCTTTTATCCATCTTGCGTTATGTCACACCCCACAGCAGCCATTTTGTGACTTGCACCCATGGCACTATTCCAAAATACCGTATGTGCCCACTGGCATTAAAAAGGTTGGCGATTCCTCACCTACAGGGCTCCCTCCAACTCTGCTATGCTTATATTTCTGTTCTTGCCGTTTTGAAGAGATTTATATCTGCAACTTGCTAGGAATCTTCCAATTGTGCTTGAAGATATATTAGCAGAGTCCTTTTTGAGCGGCTGAATTAAGAGGCTTCCTCAAGGGCAGGAGCTGCCCTTTGCTACAGAGTCTGGGCCAAGTGCCACAACCAAGGGAAATTCCCCAAGAAACCCCATAGATAAGGCAGGGTCCATGCCTGTTAAGTGTTACGGCATTTTTCAGCAGCAGTGCTTCCTCAAACGTAATCTGCTGTGGAGAAAGTAGATAGTGATAGGTTTTTCTCCCGCTCTTGCATTGCTAGAACTCAGGGCCATCCAATGAAGCTGAATGTTGGAAGATTCAGGACAGATGAAAGGACTTCTTCACATGGAACTTGCGCTCACAAGAGGCAGTGATGACCACCTTCTTGGATGCCTTTAAAAGACATGACTGGTAAGGCTATAGTTGATAGCCAAAATATTTTGTCATTGGCACGGCCAAAGGCAGCATCTCTCTGAATTCCAGTTGCTGGGAATTACAGGTGCGGAGAATGCTGTTGCACTCAGGTCATGCTTTTCGGCTTCCCATTGGCACCTGGTGAGGATGCTGCACATAACCGATGAAAACAGGGATATCCTATTCCATCATATCGTTGTTGTTGTTGTTGTTATACCCCACCCATCTAACTAGGTTGCTCTAAGGCAGCCTTTCTCAACCTGTGGGTCCCCAGATGTTGTTGAACTACAACTCCCATCACCCCTAGCTAGCAAGGACAGAGCTGAGGGATGATGGGACTTGTAGTCCAGCAACATCTGGGGACCCACAGGTTGGGTGGGAAGTGGGACATTCCAGGATCAAATCAGAACTGGGACTGTCCTCGGAAAATAGGGGCACTTGGAGGGCCTGCCAGCAGGCTTTGTCTTATGTCTGGGGTCAGCAAACTTTTTCAGCAGGGGGCCGGTCCACTTTCCCTCAGACCTTGTGGGGGCCAGACTATATTTTGGAAAAAAAACAATGAACGAATTCCTATGCCCCACAAATAACCGAGAGATGCATTTTAAATAAAAGGACACATTCTACTCATGTAAAAACACGCCGATTCCCGGACCATCCGCAGGCCGGATTTAGAAGGCGATTGGGCCAGATCTGGCCCCCAGGTCTTAGTTTGCCTACCCATGTCTTTTGGTCTTATGAGGTCAGATAGAGTTTGATCATATAGCATTTCCGGTGAACCAGAGGTGCTATGCAATGTGTGCCAGCACCATACTAGCATTGGACAAGATGAGCCATTGGCCTGATCCAGCAGGTTCATATGTCTTTATGTGTTTGTGGCACATAGCCCTCACA